AGTCAATGAGATTAGGTGTAGTTATCATTATTAACAAATATTAATATATATTTAATATAATTTGTTCATAACTGCTAGAAACGAGACTCTTAAGGGAATTATCGATGTATAATCTTCCTTAATCTTTTCTTGGAATCAGAGTTCACACATAACATAGAATAATAGGCATTTTGTAAATATGATCGACTTCTGTATTCCTTCAACTTTTGTTTACTCTAATTATCGATCCCTTAAATAAGGGCCAATATTACGAACTTTTTTGATTTAGTTATCAATCATTTAAATCTACTATTAGGTTTACTCATGTGCATGGGGATTGGCATGATTCATTAAATTTGTAATGGCCATTTAGCGATTCTTGTTGATAATGTACAAATTATAAGGTAATTTAACTCCATTTAAGTAGAAAGACGATTTGGGATTATTTTTATTGACATCATAATTATTATCATCTATCATATGTTATTTCTTCACTCTATTAAATGATTTTCTAATTTGATATGATTATAATTATTACTTAAATTAACTGTAACTCTTATGTAATTCAGAGAGTTCTTTGTATTTAGAGTCTTTACTTTAATTCAATTTTGGAATTTTTGGAGAAACCTCTAAACTGTTTAAACTTACTTTACTTGCTTTTCTACTTTTTTTTTGAATATCATAAAAGGATTACTATAAAATATGGTTTTGGTTACTTTTAATTAATTTTGTCTGCTTGTCATGAAAACATCAGGTAATTGAAAGACCATTTTGTTTTATTAATCAAAATCAATTTTAATAAGAGGTTAGCTATGCATAGAGTTGCTATGTAAACGCCATTTTTAATTAAAGAGATTTTGATGGTTATCAGACAATTGAAAATAATCATCATTTTAATTCATATATTATAAATAATACAAAATAGTGTGTTTTAATCAAAGTTCTTGTTCTTAAAAGTTGTTATTGATTTTAATTTTATTATGACATTAAAAGTTGATTTGTTAATGCTTTTTGTGATGGAATTAAATCATTAAACGATTTGCAACATCTCTTAAGATAAAGGGAGAAGTTAGTAAATTATTTTTTTTATGATGTAAATTATGTTTAACACTTTCAAAATATTCTTATTATTTGAGTGTAGGATCAGTAATTTAAATATCAATTTGATCAAGATATTCGTTAATGCTGAATTCTTTTGCATTCATCTTAATTATGAAATAAGTTAATTAATATGATGCATAAATTTAGAATTAATTCTTAATTAATTTTATTTAACTAATTCGGGAGTATAGTTATAAAACTGATTGTATAATATAATATTTTTTATAATAAATGAGCGACGAAGAAGGTTCAAATTTATTTTATGAAAAAAGATTATGAAGAAGAAGAGGAAGAAGAAGAAGAAGAAGAAGAGGAGGAGGAAGAAGAAGAAGAGAAACCATAAGAACGTATATAATAAGAATTGATAAATGATTAGCAACTGTTTAAACATTAGCAAGAGATATTCATGGAGTCTGTTTTTAAGCAAAAAGTATAATGAATAGAATGCACACAAATATTGATCCCCCATAATAATACTATTAGTAATGATATATAAAGTGAATCAGACCACCACCATATTGGGATTATTAAAATTAATATTATGATGGATATCAATAGTAGCCTAATTATTAATATCAATAACCAATTCGATATGAGAAAATAGAGGATCAATAAGATTATTAAGATTATTTAGAATATATGAGATTCAAATAATTTAAGTATTAAATAGTTAATTAATTTTTTTAAGAGAAACTCATTAAAGTGATTTTTCTGGGTAAGGATCTTCAAAGATCATTTAGAATTATTATAAAACACTCTAATAATAAACAATGAAAACATAAGTTTAATAGAATGCAAGTTAATTGTATAGAAGAAATAATATGGATTAAAGTTTTAAGAATAGTACAAAATATGGTTATTATTGAATATTAGATTAAAAAAATGCATTCTCAAATTAAGTGCTATAATATCTAATTATATTATTTGATTTCATCTTTTGTCACTACAGGAACTTGAGGATATTTCTTACATAAATTTTCAAGAGATTATTTTGGTTTAGTAATATCAACATAAAATTCTGTTGCTAATTTACTCAGTAATAAATCTAATAATATCAATTTAATTTCACCCTAAAATGAAGGTAAATTTAAATATCTTGCTGCCAAAAAATATTTATGAATTGATATATTTGATTTTTTTATCATTCTTAATATTTCTAAATCTTGAGGTGTAAATACTATATTTTCATCATCACCTTTGATTTAATATATCAAATCTAATACAATTCACTTCTATTTTAGCAGGTTTAAAATTATTCACAACATAATAGCTTTCAATAATCTTCCATATTTCTAGATTAATATATTAACTTTGTAATTAAATTGGCTATTATTAATAGAAAATACTTCTTAAGATTATAGATCATATAATTGATTCAATAATTAAGAATGATCTTTGAATCTAGGATCTAAGTTAAAAAAGACATTTTCTATTTAAACTTTCATTCCAAATTAATATTTTTCTGTTTTATACAAATTAATTTACCAAAACAGAAAATGAAATTGAAGAACTATGATGAAGATATCCGATTTCAAGTAAGGTAAAGATATGCTACATTATCTGATTGGATGTCAAAATCAATAGATTCAGAAAGGGTACCTGAAGTGAAAACTAGATCTTAATATAATGCAGCTATTAAAATCCAAACACCTGCAATCATTTCACTCCAGTATCCTTATCAATTCTAATACTAGGGCTAAAAGTATTGATACAGTTTTGAATCGTAAACAAAGAATATCAAAGTCTTAATAACCAACGACTTTACAATCATCTAAAATTTACAGAAAATTTATTGATCCTAATTTTATAACAAGATCAATTGATTATTCAGAGTTAGGAGATTCTCAAACCAAAGTTAAAAGGAAGAACCCATTTTAAAATTAGAGGCTTAATAGATAATTTTAGGCCATTTACAATAAAATGAAGTTGATTTTGGAATCATATAATAGTAGAGAAAGAGTCCTTCTATAATATATTGCTAAATTATAAAAAGAAATAGTTACACTAAAATAAGGGCACAATTAAACCATTTGAAGTATCAACATTTTTTTCTTTATTTTTTATCATTATAACATATATAAATAATTATGTCTGAAGGGATTAAAAAGAATGTGAAATCATTCACACCTTACAGATCAAAACCATCTGATATTGCTTCTGTAGATGTTTCAATTGATCTAATGAGACAGTTTAGATTAAAAGTTTAAAATTCACTTGATCTTCAAGAATAATAGTTATCAACTGATTAACCTTTATCCACCGACTTATTTCACAATCATTAATACACTACTTTTGATATTTCATAAAGAGTATCATTAGATGGCAATAATGATATTATGTTTAACAATCTAAGAGGACCATTTGTTAATAGTTCTCTTGATAGCAAACTTTTTCAGAAATCATTTGATATATTTTAATCATAAAATAGGTTAATCAATCCTATGATGTCTTAATTTTTTAACTCACCAAGATAATCATTTTATGCATACCTACCATAATAATAACAAAACGAAATGCCTAGAAATTCTAATACTAGTTTAGATAAATATATTAAACTTACTTAAATAAATTCTTAATCCTAATTTATTGTTAAACCTCCTTCTTATATATAACAAAATCAAAATAACACTAATCTTAATCATTTTAAAAAAGAAGAATTAAAATTATTAAATTAAGATGATTCTGGATAAAGTGAAGTTGTTTAAAGTGAAAGTAGTTGGAAACATAATAAAGATGAATAAAAAGAAATTAAAATAAATAGACGCAATAGAAAAAGATGTATAATTTAAGAAAGCTCTGATTCTTATAAAATTATTAGAAAAAAAAAAGGATCTAAAGTTAATGATACTAAAAATATTACTAAAAACTTCTCTAAAGCAATCATTTCTTATATTCTTAATAATGAAGAAATGATTCAAGAATTTATTAAGAAGGATTAATATGATAATTTTATTTAGTTATTAAAAATTAAAAAGAATACTATGACTAATATAAAATAATTAAGAGAGCTTTGGGTAAATGAAGGTAAGAATCTTGAATTCAATAGAGTTTTTCGTATTTTTAGGTACTTTTATTAATATATTATAAAGCTAGTATTTCTTAAGAAACTAATCTATTGCTTATGTATATAATTCAAGAATTTCAAATACTGCTTGGCATTTAAAATATAGATAAAATCTTTTAAGGGCCCTTAAAGAGCCTGAAAATTTTAAATTCATTAAAGATATATGATTAAATACAATAAAATTAAATGATTTTTCTTATTAAGTAATTTTATTATGTTTGTAATTAATTTTTTATTGCTTCCATAATGAAGAAAGAGGATTATAGAATTATACTTCATTATTCATAATTAACACTAAATTAACTTACAGTCCCTTACTTTCATGAAGAAAAAGGTTGCTAATTCAACTTTTTTGAATTAGATCTACTAACATAGGCTGAATTATAGTAGTATGAATCAAAATAAATTATATGTCCTGTTTGTCATCTAAAAGGTAAGCTAAAATTAGATATTCTTTATTGTTAAAATGAATTTTAAAATGAGCAAAATTAATTTGTCATTAACACATCAAAACAATAAGCCTTAAAATTATAGAAATAAAGTTTCACACATTCTGTTTTTAGTTAGGAACAGGAAGTATTTGAATTATAAAAGTAATTTAATTCTAAAATATTCTTAAAACTCTTAAGAGATTTATCCAGTAATGAATCATCTTTGAAATCTATAGAAAAAATAAATTAAGACGTAAAAAATATTTATAAATTAGAGAAATAATGAAATATTTTAAATTTTTCGTAAAAATTGTTCATAAATTTCTCCTACTTCGATAGGAGTAATAAATTTCAAATTAATTCTATTTTACCACTTATCTAAAATCAAAATAGAATTGGATCTTTATGATGAAACTAATATGAATATTAAAGATTATAATTCAGGCATGATAAAAATAAAATAAGTCTAATTGATTAATGAATATATATATATGATCGTTTAACAAGAAAAGTTGAATTAATTATTTAGAGGAAAGTTTAGATAAATTTTTGATGAGAACAGAAACGAAGCAATTTTTTATATATAATCAATGCCAGGATACACATTATTGGGAGAATCAAGATTATTACATATTAGAAAATAATAAACAATAATGATTGGAAGTATTAAATGATTGTTATAAATTTAATTAGACAGAGGTTCAATAATTGTAACAGATGATATTGATTAAAATATTAATATGTATAAAGTATTAAGTATACCAGAAATAAGTGAAAATTCTTAAGTGATTGTAATAAAAGAATCATAAATCTTATATATAGATTATAATTAAATAGGAATAGGATAAGTTAAAGAATATAACATATCTGAATAAAATTTCATAGAAATAAGATCGAATTTTAAATTATAGGAAAATGTTCGTATTGAATTGTCATTAATTCATAATAATGTATTGTATTTAATGGATAGTGAATGTTTGAATCGTTAAAAAGGCTAGATTTCATATATTATACCAGGAGAGAAGAATTCCTAAACCAAAACAATGAAAATAATAAATCATCATAGTTATATGAAAGTTAAAACTATACCTGCTACTTAAACAAAAGTTGGAGTTGTAGGTTGTACTTTAATTGGATTAATGTTCTAGAATAGTGAAATAGTGTTTCCTGGAATATTGGTTATAAATGATAAAGATAATTTAATTGAGATTGAGCTTATATGAGAAACATTATATAATATTAATTAATCCGTTTTACATGTTATCAAAGGTTTGTATGTTTGGCATTATTCTTATTTCAGTCTTAGTGTTGGCTTAATCTAATGTGGAATTAATTGAGAGTTAAACCAATCCTATACCAACCATGGTTAATTTTGAAGAGTATCAAATAAATGAAGATTAAACATAATAACAACAGGGATAGTTTAGTTTTGATGACACTTTCATCTCTTCTAATACAAATATTATTGAAAATATTCAAAACAATAAATCTGTTGAAGATCCAAATAATTTTATTTTAGACCTTTAGAATGATTCAACTCTTAATTCTTAAATAACCTCAACCTTTACTAATCAAAATTAGATTCAAGTAAGAATATCTTATAATAAAGAGGATGTAAATGTAAATGATATACCAAAATTAGATATGATTCATACGTAAAGTACTTAAACATTTACTTAGTAAGAAACAAATATAATATGTACAAGTTTGATTAAGAATTAGCTAATACTTAAGAGAACACTTTAAATTCTAATTGTATAGTAGTTTATTCATAATGTCATTTCAAAGGAGAGTCATTAGAATTATGTGAATCTTAAAGGAATATTGAGTAATCATTTAATAAACGTAGCAATTTTGACCATGATATTAAATCAATTGAAATTCCTAAAGGATATTCAGTAAGACTGTATAATAAGGAAGATTTTTTAGGTGAAAAGATACTTTTGAAGGAGAGTTAGGAATGTCTTAATAAACCATTAGCTTTAACATAACTGTAGGAGAAATAATGGAATAAATTTACGATTCTTGCTTAAAATGTGAATTTAAGGGCAATTTGATTGATTGACTTAAATAAAATTAATAATAATGATATAATTGATAAATAAAATAGATATAATGATATAATAATAATATAAATGATAATATAATAATTGAATTTATATGTGATTATAAACAAAAAAAGATGAGTTTCTGTTATATTAATAATTTAACAGTAGATAATGAAATATAGTCCAGGATAATAATAATATGGATAAGTGTATAATTATGGTTAGCCATAACAATCTGTTCGAGGACCTTATGTATAAGATTAATAAATAAATAAGTAATAGTATAATAAGGGGAATGAGAATGCCTAAAGTCACACAGTTACTCATCCTCATGTTAGAGAGATGTATCATAGAGAAGCTCCAATAACAGTAGTTAGTAGAGATGAGATAGAGAGTGTTTGGAAAGCCAAATGCTCATAATTAGAGTAAGCATTAACAGAATGTTAAACAGAAGTAATGAGATTAAGAGGAATAGGGGCTACTGAGAAAATTACATATGTAGAAGATACATTAAAGGTATAGATATTGAATATATGAATAGATAAATTAATTATATCTAGAAATAGATAGATTGAATAAGTGTTTGTTAGATATGTCTTTAGAATTAGATTAATACAAACATAAATTGTATATGGCAACTGATAAATAAGCAAGGTAGTAAGCAGAAATTGATATTGATAAAATGAGAGCTATAATGATTGAAAATGAAGCTATGCTTAATGCAGAAATTGTTAGATTAAGAGATTAAAATGAAGAAATATCAAAGAGATATCGTATATTAGAATTGTCTATGGCTGATAGTAGACATTAATTATCACTTAAAGAATATGAAGCTACACTCTCTTAATTAAGATAAGAAATTGATAGAGCATAATTCTCTATTAATAGTTAAAGAGCTGAAACTGAAGAATGGAAATTAAAATATTAAAGACTTGAAGCATAATTAAGAGATTCTGCTTAATATGAAGTTGAAATTAGAAGACTTAAAGAAATGGTTGATAATCGTAATAGAGAAATTGAATCACTTAAATTAAATTCACAATTTGAAAATGATGGAAAATTATAAAATTTATAACTTGATCTTGAAAGATTATAAAATGAATTAAGATCGAAAAATGATGAAACCAATCGTCTTAGATCTTAAATATAATAATAAGAATTAACTATTAAATATTTGAATAATAAAATTACAGAATTAGATAATAAAATATTATAATAGAAATCAGAAAATGATTCTCTTAAAGCTAATTAAATGAATTTTAATAAACCATCTATTTAAACTAATAATGAAGATAAAGAATAAATTGATAGATTAAGAAGTTAAATTTAATAATTAAATATTGAAATTGAAGATTGGAAATCTAGATATAATGAATTAGAAAAGATATATTAAGATCTTGAATATGAATATCAAAATACTAATTCAACATATGAAGAAGTTACTAAACTTACTAATGATGTTTAAATATGGAAAAATAAATTCTAAGAATTAAATAGAGAATATCATTAAGTTTAAGAAGAACTAGTTGTTGCCAATGCTGAATTAGATTCACTCAAAAAGAAATAGAATGAACTCTCTAAATCTGGAGTTAGACCAAGTGTTTCTTCTTATAGACCTGGACAGGTATTTCTTTATTTTTTATTCTTACATAGTATTAGGATGTCTTTCCATAAGCACAGATCTGAAAATGAATATTCTATCATTTTTACATCATATAATATATCACTTATTTTTAACCATTTCTATTTGTATATTATTCTTTATATATATCATAAAGACTAGTATATTACTTTTATTTTATTTCCATTTTTGATATAAATATTAGTTGAAATCTATATATAGAACTAATATAAAATTATAAATTATCATAGAAATAAAATTAATTAATTAATTAATAATCATATTTTTTCTGTAAATTCAAATTATCGCAAAGCTCTTTCTAAAGAATCATCTCCAAGCAATACTTGAATAGGTATCAATTGTAGAGATTTTTTATACATAGTGAATTCTGTTAATAAGTTCTTTCTGAAACAGGTCATAAAAACAATTGAAAAAAACAATTAAGAAAATAAAAATAAGTAAGAAAGGATCTATTTAAATTAATAATATATTAAAAATACCTCATTTATTTGATTAAAACTATGTGTTAGTTCAATCATTCCTTACTTTAACTTTTCTGATACATTCTAAAATGCCAAACAAATTACTTAAGCTCCTTCTAATTCATAAAAGTGAACTTCAGCTCTTTTCGTAAAATTGTTAATAGCTTATTAACTACGAATAGATTGAGATATGTAATTCAAACTAGGTATCATTCCTTTCATTAATACTCCATCCAATGCATATTCACAATATTGAGTTAAATTCAAGTACTTCTATTTTTTATTATATATTTATATACTGGATTTATAAAGTTACAAAGATTTGAATTCTCAACTTAGCTTACAAATTCTATATAGCTATCTGAAAATAAATAATCTCCTTATTATTATTGTGATAAACCATTCACATATACTTACATTACATCTTAAGATTTGTCTACTAAACCATATAAACGATTCAAATCAGTTTTTTCTAAATATGAAAAATTAGACCATCTAAAAAAGATTTCTCTATACACATAAATATTTCCACTTCTAAAACTAAGATCTTAAACTAATCGATAAAAATCTGTTGTCTATTTATACTTTGTTAAATAATTCTTTGTTTCTTCTTGAATTATTACTGAATACACTAAAAAGAATATATAAATGCAAAAAAATGCTATTATTGGAATAATTTTTTACAACTTTCGTTCACCTTACTTTTTGGGTTTCTCTAATCTTGTTTATTAACTTTCTTTCTTCTTTCTATTCACTAAATCTTCTCTCTCTCTAAAATTAAAATCATATTTTGATAATAAATCTTAATTCTATTATATTAAAGTATTTAAATGTTTCAATTTTTAAATTTCTTATTCAAGTGAATTTTTATCTGAATAATAAAATAAACTCAATAATTTTTCATATGTTTTTAAAATACTTCTTTTATAAAATAAAGTAGTGATTCCAATACAAATTGCAATTAATTAATAAATTAACCATATAATAAACCATTAATCTGCTGCAGCTGCACTTCTATTTTTTGAATATTATAAGATTTCGTTTGTTAATTCTTCTAATTTATCTTATAAATTAAAGTAATTTGCAAATTATAATACTTAACAAGCTTAACCATTTGCATTCTTTCTAGCATCAAATACTCGTTTAAATTAATATTAAGCATGTAAAATTGCAAGTAATTCTTCTCTAAAAGATATTTCTTTTGTATAAGTTACAGAATCATTATTTCCCATAAAATAAACTGTTACATATTGATCAGTAAAAAATGTTGATAAATGCTCATTTTATAAAACATCGTATAAATTATTTTGTAAATCAAAATAATATGGAGCATTAAATTAATACAATGGATCTATCAATTTGTATAATGTTGCATTATCAATATACTTTTCACGATATTATTATTAATATGCTGAAATTGTTACTTTTATTGATAAATATAAATCATGTGGTGCCATTATATTAGCATGTAAGGAAATCATATCAATCTCTTAAATAAACATTAATAATTCTGCTGATATCATAGTTATTACAATTAATGCAAACGAAATAAAGAAAGCTGTTTGTAGTAAAAGTAATATTAGATATATTGTCATTTTATCAAACTTCTTTTTCTTAATGATTTTCTCAATCATTTCAAATTTTTTAAATAATTGAGATTCTTTCACTCCTCCAACTGAAGATTATTAAGATTAAATTTCATCAATAACATTATGTTCAGCTTCTCTCTATTTATGAGATTCGTAAATAGAAGATTGTTTTAATGAATCTATATTCATTTATTAAATGTTAAAAAATTCTTATTATATTTCTTTTTTTCTTTCTGTAAGCAATAATCGATGACTTTGAGGAACTATATTATTATTAAGTTCATCTTTTCTAAATGAAGCAATGTTAACAGCATCATCTTCTAATAATTCATTTTATAGAAATTCTTTCATTCTAACATCAAAAATATTTACCTTTTTTGGTTCAGCTTCATCACTTAAATTCATTAAAGATGCAAAACTATCATTAATAAATTAAGCTTCTTAAGATTAAAGAGATGTTATATCAATAATTTATATTGTTTAAAATTTTGAAGTGTCAGTTAAATTTTTAGCCAATTTTGTTATTGTTGAAAATTCAATTAATAAATAAGATTATTAAGCTACATATCTTTTAGTAACTATGATAGAAACAGAATAAAGGCAAATCTAATCCTCTTTTTACCATTATTTTGGATCCAAAATATACATTCCTAAATCTATTCCTTCATCTTAAACTTCCTTTAAATGCTTATCATTTAAAAATCTCATCTCAGTATTTAGTTGAAATGTATCTCTTTCTATATCTTCTTATGGAAATGATGGTATTAAGTATTATAAATAAAGTCCATTAACAATTGATAAGACTTATGGAAGTCCAAGTATTATTTTTTAATTAAAACCTATTTTTTTAAAAAAGTTTTCTGAAAATGTTATTCTTTAATTAGTACCATATGCTAATAGAAAACATTTTTAATCAGGTAATTCTTATAAAAAAGCTGCAAAAACAAGATTTTAATTAGATAAAATTCTTGTAATGTCATAACATAAATAAACAGTCTTAAGTAGACCAATATTAGTTGAAATAAAACTTTGATTAAAACTTTTGTAATATCTGGATTATCCATCATTAAAAAAATTGTGAATAAATGAAGGATGCCAATTTTTCATAAAACGTGGTAATAATTAAAAAAAATGAATATCTTTACATGATTATTTGCCAATCAATTTTAAAAAATATGATGACATTTATTCTATATGAAAATCATCTAATTCTCCTTTAATTGTAAGTATAGCATAAGCTGTCTAATCAACTTAAATATCATAATTTGTGATTTTCTTATTTCTAAACATTTTATCATCTTACATTGATGTAAGAGTAGATGTTTTATTGGCTTCATAATAATTATTCAATAATTCACATTAAAAGAAACAAATACATCTCTAAATACTTGAACATGGATATACTGCATATATTTATTTTAATCTTTTTTTCAATTTATTAAGTTTAAAACATATTTCTTTTGTAAATTTACCTAAATTATTTAAATTTTATTTATCATCCTTTAATATGTTATAATAAAATTCAATTTTATCATTAATAGTTTCTATTGTTTAAGATTGAATTTATTTTAAACATTAATCATAAGTCAAATATGATTAAATAAAATCAGTAACCATTATTTATTAATAAGCATGCATTGAAGTTCCAAGAAATGATTTAAGTTTAAATTTTGCTAAATAAAGAATATAATTTATTCTACATTAATCAATTATATTTAACTAAATTTTTAATCTAATATATTATGTTTAATGTTCATCTGATTTATCTTTTCTTGTTGAAGTTTCATTACAAGATTCTTCATAAACACTCTTTTTTTATATTTCCTTTTTTATTATAAAGTTTTAATTATTGGTATGACAATTCAATAATTAAGTTAAATTCTTTATAGAATCTGTTAACCAACCAAAATCATATTAAAATAATGTTTAAATAATGATTAATTAATTATATTAGTGGCTCTTTTAAGCTTCTTTAGAGTCTAATATAAATTAAACTTTATTGAAAATAAATTATTTTAAAATTTATTACGTAATAGCATTTGCTTATGAAATTTCAGAAATAAAAATTTTATTTGAACAAATACATAATGGATTATGACATAATTTACGATGAAATTTATTAATTAAAGAAGATTTTAAAGGAATCATCATTTATTTTTCTAAATCACATTAATTTAAAATAAGTTTTAATTAATAGACTAACTTATTTAAATCTGGTTCTTCTTTAAACATATTAGCAAAGGCTTCATAATGAATTTTACTATCTAATGTCATTAATCCATAATAAACTAAAGGTAACAACAACAATGGAATAATTAAATTTTCAAACATTTCATTTTGATTAAATGATTTTCCAAAAAAATAAAAACACAAAACAAATTTTAGTGAGGAAATAAAATATATTAATTATCTTGACTCTTTATATATATAAGTTTAAAATAATAATTGATTCATTATTTAAGATAATATGTCTAATAATAATAATACAATATTGGTGAGTTTAACATTATTTTTATTAAGTAAAATACAAAAAATTATGATTTATAATTACTAAATAAGATAGGTTAAATAAGTTAATATTGTAGTTTATGATATATCTAAATAATTATGCTTAAAAGTTAGAGATGTACTGGATATTGTATATGTTATTAAATAATCAACCTACCAGAAGATATATGTAAGTAAAGATAAAATAAGATGAACATATTCCTAACCATTTTTAATACAAGCTGTAAAACTTATTATACAAAGGGTTGAAAATAATAAATGCAAAATTGTATTTGCAAATTATGTATATATTGCTAATATTATTATTGTAATTCTAAAATAGGAGCATTCTTCTACTTTCTAAAATTATTGTTCACGATCCTTAATCCGATAAAGCATAAATGTTATAGTAAATTACCACACTTTTTGAATTGTGAAAATTACCAAAACGACTAAGTATATTCTTGTAAAAGTAATGTCATAATCTAAAAGAAGTACATCTTATCTAAATATTAATAAAGTTATTAGATGAACAATAGAATAATCAGGACTCCACTCTTCTAATCCATTTTCAATTATCATAAAAAGAGGTTGCATTAGCATAATTAATTACATAAGTAATGATAACCATTTAGATGTAATTGAATGATGCTTTTAAATAATCATCATCTAGATCCATAATTAAGTGAAACTAGTTTAATTTTAATTATATATCATATTTAATCAATATTTCAGAGCCTAGTTTTCATTAATGATATTAATTAAAAAATATTGTGCATCAAAAAATCTCTAAAAAGAGAAATTATGAATAAATATCACTCTAAAATAAATACTTATAGAATTTACTAAAAGATTTTAATTATATTTTATAAATATTTATCAAAACAATAAATTTAAGTATTTAGATTATATAAATATAATTTTATTAAATAGCATTAATAAATTAATTTTATTCCTTCTTTAAAGAAGAATTAAGTGATTTTTATATTGTTATATTTTTATAAAGATTATTTTGAATATTTAATTAATGTAAAATTAAAATATTTCTGAAGTATTTAGTAGTAAAGTATGAAAAGATTATTTATAGATCTTTTTTATAAATTAAAGTGAATAATAAAAATTTAATCAATTTATTCAATAAAATTTGCATAGATATGCTGTTTATACACATTCACAGAAAATTCTAGCTTAATTAGATTATTAATTTAAACTGGTTAATGGATCTCTAAAGCGATGACGATCAATTTATTTATTAGTCAAAGTTAATTCAATAACAGCCTAACATTGATCATTATTTAAGATAGGATAAATATATACTGGAGCAAGTGTATACATGTCAATTAATTAATTAAAATGTACTTATTTAGTAAGGTTAGAGAAGAAAGCAGGTTTTTTCTCTTAAGCAATAAGACCACAGACTCCAGCAATACAATTAATTGATTATAAACCTTGGTGACCATATTTAAACATCTAATTATTTTCAATAAATATAATTTCACAGGTAGATATTTGTAATAATTTAGATTGCATTTATTTTACTAAATTGGTAAATTGCAATTTATTATCAGCTTTCATTAAACATAAAAACTAAGTTAGAAGAATATCTTTTTATTTGCATAAATCTTAGATAACAATATCATTTTCAATTTTAGATACAACAATTTTAACAAAAGTACCTAAAAGAGAAATAAAGTATTAGACATCTGAATAAGAGTTATTTTATGTAGGTTAATATACTTCTAAAAGACCAGCAGGTAACACAGTTTCTGTATTTAAAGGATATAGATAAGTATTTTCCTAATAAAAATCATCTCCTTTACTATCTTAATATAATAGATGTCTTTAAGCAGTGAGTTCTATTCATATAATATAATTAAATTACTATTTACAGCTTCTTTTTATTCTAAACAATCTTTGAATGCTCCTTTTGAACAAATTATTTTTTATGATTGACCTTCTTACACTGTTTCAAAAAAACCAGTCCAATAATCTCTAAGCCAAAGTGTTATTCTTTATACTTTTAAGAATTAACTTAAGTTTTATATAAATGAATATAAATCTGAATAATTTCTAATGTTAATTTAACAATTTAAAAATACTTAATGATAATTAATTCAGTTAATTTAATTATAAAATTATTATGTTGTTAACTGAATTCACGATAATTAACCATATGATTAAATAGCCAAATTAAATGTATTCTCTTTTAATCCTAAGGTATAAGATTAAAATGTGAACCAAATTATTCAGGTGTTTATTCAAGAGATGTAGAAATAAATTATTTACATTCAATATTTTAAAAGATGTGTCTAAATATAAAATTGGTTGGAATATCTGTAAAAGTTATAACCATTTTATCTTGATCAATAAATTCAGATTCTGTTTAATGTCTCTAAACTGAAACAATTCTATTAGTAAGTCTATTTAATTTATGATTAAGATTATTATTATTAATTTAGAGTCTAAGATTAATAAATTAATACTTTTATAAATCCTTTTATTTTGATATAGCTTCCATTTTATATTGTTCATTTTCATGTAGAGTATCTAAAAGTGTCATTTTAATTTAATCTTTTTAGAAGATTATATTAGATTCTAATATAATTTAAATTCTTTGTTCAGATCTTTTAAGTTTTTTATTTAATTCTTCATTTTACTTTTATTCAATTTATAATCTTCTTTATAAATTAAGTTTTTCTTCATCATAAAACTTTAATTTTTCTATAAGTATTTAATTATCCTTTTGTAATTGAGTGATAGTGGAATATAATTTAATTTATTATGCTCTAAATTAAGCTAATTCTGTTTTTATTTTCTCATATTCTCTTTATAATTAATTATGCTGAATTTCATTGAATGAGACTTTAGATAATGTTTTAGCCATTCCTTATATAGAATCATTAACAATATTGATTTCTTTTTATTTGAATTTAGAAAAGAGTATAATTTTTGATTGTAGTTACTCATCAACATTGCTATTCAATCTCTAATGAAGAGTCTACAATAATAGAATATCAATATTATACAAAATTCAGATCAGTGCTGTTATTATTTTTATGATGACTACGATCAGTAGAACATTAGCCAGCATCCAAACGATCCAACTTCTTTTTTGACATCAAATTAATAAATTATTTCACTAATTTTAATAGAGAAAAACACAAATAAACAATATTAAAATTATAAAGCATAATATTAAGAACAATTACTAAAACCTATTCTTACAAAAAGATTTAATCAATCAATTTTTATATTAGAACAAAATAGAATTAAACAATTTATTTTGATATTTAACTTTTGAATCTTAATCATCACACAGAGATTATAAATCTATAAAAATATTATTAATATATTAATAATATTATTTTACATATAAAAAGCTTCAAATTTTATCAGTCTGTCCAATACAAAGTATTTAATCAATTTTACAGTTTATTAAATATTATTTTTATAACTCACTAATCTTATATATTTATCATTATTGTAATTTATCTAAAACATGTGAAAATTCCTACTAAATTAATTCAACAATAAAATTATTTATTGATAACAATAAAATGTATCATAAATTTATCATTTCAAATTAACAAACTTATCTAGAACTGAAACCTAATTAGTTACTATATAGTTCTTTAAGTCATTTTACTCTAAGGATTGTTTAGAATAATTTTCATCAGTAACAAAAAACAAAATTTGTTTCCTATAATTTAATTTAGTGTTCAATCGTTATAAAAGTTAAACACCAGCCAAGTAATTCATTTTTGCCTTTTCCTTCCTTACCATATTGCTTACAATTTTAAATTAAGATGTTTTTAAATATATCAACCATCTATACATTTTTACAATACTAATTGCTTTATCTGTAGATTAACAAAAAATAATTGATAGATTTGGGTTTTTAGTTTCTAAATCTTGAGCCAGTTTATAATTATTTTATGGGTTATCATCTACCCAAAGTATTATGTTTACAGTTTTAGCTAATGGAAATTCTTTCATTATAACGATAATTGGCTAATTTTCATTAATTACTACATCTAAAACTTTAAAACTTGTAAATGGAGGTATCAAAACTTCATCTTCATGAGGATATAAAGATAATTGTGAAATATTCTTTGCACTTATTAAATAGGCTAAAAAAATCATACCTTTTTCATTACTAAATTTTTCAGCTACTTTTCTATTAATTGAAAATGATGATACCTAACACCATTAAACTACTTTGCCTTTTTAATAAATTTAAGTATTTTAATAATTTTTAAAACCTCTTCCGCATATCCCTTTGTGATAATCTGAATATTTCAATCCGTCTAATAAACACTTTAAATATTTTTTCCATTTTCCATAATCTTAACACCCTAAATCAATATTCAACTTTCTATAGATTTTATTGGATGTCCATAATATAATTGCTATTAAGTGATGTAATTCATATTTCTAAAATATTTTTCTTTTTTCTTAATTACTGTTAATTTAAGCTAATGTAGTATTAAAAAATTCTTCTATATTGAAGTTTAAAAAATTAAGTGACTCTTGTAAATCTGATAATTATTTTAATTCCAAGCTGTTAATAGAGTTCATAAATTTTATTAAACTTACTCCTTCACTACAAGGTATTGAATAAATAGCTTCAATTTTCAAATCCTATATTTTTATTTAATCCATATTTTATTCTAAATTATAACCATTCAAAAGAAGAAATCCTTATTTTGATTAATCTTCTAAAGTGTAAACAACATCTTTCAATATTTTTACACTTAATTTTTTATTTATCAATATCTAATAAGAAGATTTTTATGTTATAATTTTTATTGGAATGATTTTTTGTTTATCATTTGAAAAAGTCTATTATTATTATTATTATTTTTATATTGGATTGTCAACAATTTTTAGATCTAATTATTCATACATTGTTGTTGAAACTTCTATAGTAGGGCACATTTTTTCCATTTTTTCCATTTTTCTATCATTTTCAATTGGATAACATTGATAGTCTCTAACTGTGTTTTCATCTTTCATTAATATTCCATGAAAGTATAATTGTTAATTTTCAATTTTAATTCCTTTCTTTTTATAAATTAATGCTTTTATTAATTATATTGGCATATCTGGGAAAAACTCTAACTCTTCAATTTAACCATTAATATTAATAGATATTTTATTCATATTATGAGCTAAAAACCCAAAAACAACATAATTATTTGGATGTTCCATTATAAGATTATAAACTTGCGCTTTTTAATCTAAATGATTAATGGAAACTATTTAAATAAAAATATTTTCTTAATTCAATAATTTATCCATTTTTGTTAGTTTTTATATATGAAAGTCAGGATTTGGTTCAAATGCCTTCCATCCAAATTCTGTATAAAATGGATGATCTGCTGTACAATCTATTATTCCATTCTCAGTCTCAATTCTTATCAAATCAAAATAATCATCTGTTTTTCTTTTATCTTTGACTGTTGATGTTTTATATTATTTAGATACTTCATCATAGCATAATATTTTATCACCTTTTTCTATTTCTAAAATCATCTTCGTTGATTTATCACTTAAAGTTATTGGTGCATAAAAAGGAAAACACCCTCCATAATGTATCTCGTGTATTTCTATTGTATCACCATGATTTAAATGGGTATATCGGTTTTCTATGCAATCCTGACCTTTATAGAGTTTCCAATCTAACAAATAAAAAGAAATTTACTCTAAGTTCTTGGTACTCTAATATTTTCAGGCAGCTCTACCCCATATTCTTTGTTTTTGTTAACATGTTTTATTTTTATTTAAATTCTTTCTCCATCGCCCTTAATACTTTCAAGAAATGTAAACACATCACAACCTCCACCAAATATAACCTCAAATTCAACTTTTAGAACTGAATTGTTATCTATATTATATTCATTTAAAGTTTTATGAGTATACAATTTTCTACCCTTGTAAATGAAATTACAATCATCAAAAAAATCAATTTTCGTATATTTATTTTTACATTACTTTTTCAGTTCTTCAATAGTGACTTGTGGTTCAGTTATAATGGTTAGATGTTCATTCACACCTAAATTATTTGCATCTAAGAATAAAAGCAGTTATTGTTGTTATTGATTAAAAAATTGTGGAATTCCAGAGCCCAAACTTAATTCTTCTACTATTGGTGGTAATTCTTCATTATCCTCAATTTAATCTTCATATTAATACATTAATATAATTATTTATTTTAGTTTTAATATTCTATAAATTAAAATTCATTTCCTTCCATTTAAGATATTCAATAAATGTTTCAATCTGGAAAGAAGTCTCCATTATTATTGACTACGATATTTAAAATTACAATTTCAATGTAACATTCCAAAAAAAAAGAAATTATTATATATTGAATTCTAAAGGATCTACTTCTCTTTATTTAAAATCTTAATTAAACCTGGTTCATTTTAATAAATTCAAATCTTCAGTTCTCTTCTTATCTTTAATACTCTCTAAAAGATGGTAAATTAAAAGACTTCTTATTTTTAATATTGAAATTAAAAATACATATAAAGAGCATACTTGATTGGTTGATGGTACCTATCGTCTCTATTTTTAAATACCAGGTTTAAATAATTAATTGTTTGCAGAATTCAAAACCTATAAATCATAAGATTAACTAATTTTTAGGTTTAATTTTATAAACTAGTTATTGTATCAACTTACTTATCCGAAAAATATAACATTTTTAGAAATATCTTTTTAGTTCTATATTTCATTATTAATTTTTTAATTTCAGCTGCTTAATGAAAAATTGCATATATTTGATATTGACCAGTAAATTACAACAATTATTTAATTACATAGAAGATTAACAAGCGGATAACCAAATAAATAAACCTTTTTTAGTATTTTCAGATCTAAATGTTTATTCGTTATATGTTAATTTATTCCATAATCAAATATAAAAATTTCATCCTGGCTTACAAAACAAAATCTAAAATCTTAATCAAAATTTATGATTCCTTTAAGATTTAAATATTATTATACAACTTAAGATAAAAAGAGTCAAAGAGTTATATTTTAATCTTTTATTTATCATTTGTGTGTAAAGTGCTATCAAGAAATTAGAATTCCTTTACTCTTTTTTTATTATTAATTGATGATATCTTCATTGAGCTAATCTCAGAATAACTGTTAAAATATAAAGTACATAAGCATATCTAAATAGATTGCATATATTTAATTTGTTTCCAATATTTGATCAGATTTATTATGAATTATAAGTAAATTTATGTTGATGATGATCAAGATCTCTTTTAATTTAATGAAAATAGCAGTTTTCAGATGCACTTATTTTGATTGATATTTAGAAATAATCTTAGAATGCTAAATTAAATATATTATATATTTAAAATTAAGGATTGTATGTTAAGTTTGGATTGCTGAAACATCTAATTTATTATTCATTGATCCCCATTAAAAAAAATAAAATGAGATCGAAGAAGAGTTGTGAAAAATAAGTTTATTTTTTTATACACAAATAAATTAATGAATTAAAGTAATAAGATTAGTATAGACGAATCATTTAGAAAAATAATCTGCAAGGATGTTTAGGAAGCAACCTTAAAAGAATTTTTAGAACAACTAAATTAATTAAATTATGATGAAACTAGTACATACTTATCAGGATTGGTGTATTGATTTGATTTTATTAAGTTAGCTATCTGTTCACAAGAAAGAATTGGCCTTAACTTGGTGAGTATTTATTGAAGAAGTGTGCAGAACATATAGCATTTTATGAGATAGTATTTTCAAATTTCTCATTACTAGATCAAATGGTCTTATGAAGCATATACTTATAAAGAGAGACAGACAACTGAAAATAGAGTAGCTGTATTTGATTAAAAAATTGAAGAAGCCATGGTAAATCAGATTTCAGAAAATTAATTTCAAGAAAAAGAGAGCAGATCAAATTATGTAAATTCCATCCAAAGATTTGTGACTTGTTTGACTGTGTTATCATTACATCTTAAGAATGTTCCACTTAATGAAAGATAATTATATTTAAGAAGAAATCTTATAAAAGGGAATAGAGCTTTAGAAAGTTTTCGTCGCAATAATCCAGGAATAAAATATTGCAAAGGAATAATTTTACCATTTAAAGGTAGATCATAAATGGTTGTTCGTATAATTGATACAGAAGCAATATCATTTAATACTAAAAAAAGAGTACCATACAAATTAGTAGTTGAAACAGTTGATATGGATGAATATGAAGAACGAGAACATTAAGTTATCACACTTTAAAAATAATTGTCAATTGATTCTTAGGCCTTTTTGGAATTCGATGTTATGCATCAGTTTGATTATACTGTATTTGAAGATTTTTTATAGGATAAAAAAGATAAGGTATTAATGTAGGTTTTTTTATTTAGTTAGCTAGGTAATAAATGATCAATTAAAATAAAAAAAGATTTGATTAACAATTTGCTCCTTTAAAAAAGGAATAAATAGTACACAGAAGAAGTTGCATTGATCAAATATAATCTTATACTAATAAATAATTATATGAAAAAGATTTTAAAGACATGGTAAAACAAGAAGAAAAATTAAAGCATAGTGATAAAGAATTAGATAAAATAACATTTCTTGATTAAATTGCTAATGGTATAAAATAGAATTAATTTAAGATTATCCAAATAAAAAAGCAATAATTGAAAAGATATAAAAATAATTAAATGATAAAAAGAATATTATTTAATAATAAGAGACATAATAGATATAATCAACTTAAAATGATTTAAAAAGTGGACCATTTAGTGAGTAATGGGAAGATAAAAAGTAGATAATACAATCTCAATCACCTTATGGATAATTCAATTCATATTGTTTAAGAAGTTTATTAATAAAAGGAGGTGATGATTTAAGATAAGAATAAATGATGATGCAAATTATAAAAGTATCAGAAGATGTAATAAATTTATTTGATTTTTTAGATCTTAAGTTAAGTAGGTTTATATGTTAAGTCATATGAGATAATAATAACTTCAGTTGATTCAGGGATTTTAGAATTTTGTAATGATACTATGTCTTTAGATCAATTAAAGAAATCTATGCCTTAGATGACACTAAGAGAAATCTTTAATAGTATTTTTGGTGATAATTTTGAAGAAGCTTAACTTAATTTTATATTAAGTTTAACTTCTTATAGTTTATTATAATATCTATTTTAAATAAAAGATAGACATAATGGGAATATTTTGATTGATAATTAAGGTCATATAATTCATATTGATTTTGGATTTATTTTAACAATAGCTCCTGGAGGTATAAAATTTGAATCAGCTCCATTTAAATTAACTAAAGAATATATAGAATTATTGGATGGATTAGATAGTGGGATGTTTTAATTATTTAAAAGTAAATTATTATTAGGATATTTGGAATTAAGAAAAAATATTGATAAGTTTGCTTTTATTTTAGAAGCTATGAAAATAGATAATGAATTACCATGTTTAGAAAAGTTTGATATGAAATGTTTTAAAGATAGATTCAAAATAGACCTAAATGAGCAATAACTTGAGGAACATATTCACAAAATAGTTGATCAAAGTGCCAATAATAGATATACAAAATACTATGATGATTTTTAAAAATTGACAAATGGCATAATTCCTTGATTATTATATTAATGAACAACAATAGTCATACAAAATTTGATATTCTTCCTAAAATTATGACAACATAGCACAAATTACTTGAACCAGTCTATCTCAGGAATACTTAAAGCAAATTTGCACGTAATGAAAGCAAGTTGTTACCTCTTATTTAAAGAAGTTCCATTCTACCATAGAGTCCAAATACAAAACAATTAGTTGTCTAAAGTATAATAAATTATTTATTAAAGGACTTGTCCATAGCTTAGATTTTAGTTCAAGACATTTTGGTGCTGCATGTGATAGAGGTTTTTAAGGTTTGTCTAAATTTCATTATTCACAAAAATTTGGCCATTCGACTACCAGATTATAACCATTGAATAGACATCTAATTGCAGAACTAACTGATACAGAAGACACTGAATCTATTCCAAAAGAAGAAAAGACATATTTTAAGAAAATTTACAAATATCAAAAGATGCCTATACTTGCATTAATAAAATCTTTCGAAATAGAGTGGATTAGAGAAATTGAAGATGAAGTAAATAAAAAATCAACAAAACCTCTTTAATTAAATTTTTAAATGGCATTAGCTATATTTAATACTCATTCTGATCCTTTAGATTTCTTTTAAAAAAATCTATAATTATTAGAAAGAAATACTGTAGCTTTAAAATAAAAAGGTTTGAATAGATTAAAGTATAAAATTAATCAATTTGAAACTGAAGAATGTCAAAGAGTCATTGTTATCAAAAATCCATCAGGTTAAGGATTCTTTAGAATCTATTTTCCTATCATTCAATTATATTAATAATAATACTAACACATATAAACTATTGAACTATCACCATTAAAACTTTATCATATTGTTAAGAATAACTTCTTTGAAATGTAATCATTTGTAGAATAATTTGATCTTGAAAAATTATAAATATCTATTTAATCTAAGCCAGAAGATAACCTTATATTAAAAGATTTAAATGAACCAGATGTACAATAATAAACAACATTAACAGATATTTAAATTGATCAAAACACTGTTTTATAAGATAATCCACTATAAATAAAAGTTTAAACTGGATTACCTATTAATAAAGAAATTGGAATTCTCATTATTAATGGTATTTCATAATCAATCATTTTTTAGAAAAACATGAATTCCCAGAACAAATCTTATAAAAGAGATCCATCAGAAAAATTGTGAAGTTCGATAATAATTACTATACAACTGATTTTTTACCTTCTTAAATTTTAATTAGAGAGAAAAAATCATAAAAAATTATTAAAATGTATTCTCCTACTCTCAAAGAATTAGATTCCATTTTTGTTCTACTTAATCAAATTAGTATGCAATAGATATTAGATCAAAATATTGTGCCAATCTTTGATATGCCACCTGAAGCCTTTGATTACAAAGAATTTAAAAAAGGAACCAAAATTAAATTAAATTTACCAAATATTACTGAATAACCCCTTGAAATTACAGAAGAATAAATTAATAATGGTCTTTTTAATTCATGGACTAAAGAAATTGAAATCAATAACAAAGATTTATAAATCATAATAGAGTATATATTACTTTATAAATTAGACCATGTATGTTGGAAATTTACAATTAATTGAATAGTAGTACAATTAAAAAAATATGCACTTCAAAAGAACTTACTTAAGTTCTATCCAGTAGATATTTAATTGGATTTAAATTAATATGAAATTAATTACATTTTGTATTAATTCATATATGTTTATCACAATCACATTCACATTTAAAATTAGTTATATACATTTCTTTATTAATATGAGTTGAATGGCAATCTAAGGAACACATTCGACAAAGTATTTTATTACATGTTTTGCATCTAAAAATATAAAAAAAATTATACTTAAACTAAACTTCATATCTATTTTTATCTTTATTACAAATTGCTTAAGAACAAGTTCCTAATAAATTACAATAACATTTAAAATCTTTAGTGTCATTTGATTCAATAAAAGTATGATTCTTCTTTATTGTATTTATGTTATATTGACTTTATGTTAATGAATCTGAACAAACTGTTATTGCTTCATTTTTATTCATATTAACACTATTGCACTTAGAATGACAATATGTTACACATGTGCTACATATTTGAAATTAACGCTTTAAAAAGAAATAATGAGATTTAGAACATTTTATACATTCATACATCTAACTTAATTTGACCTATATACCTTGATTACATTTTGTGGTTCCATAATCCTACTATTTTTAAATCTCATTATTATGCATAATGATTGTTAAGGTACTATTTGTACAATAAAATTATAAGACAAACTTATTTAAGAAAGGAAATATCTTTTTTAATTCTCTGAATTTTTCTTTTTCAAATATTCTATCAAATCGAATGATTATAATTTAAAGTTATTTGAGCTACTCAAATATATTAAATAATTTTTCAATGAACTCAATATTGATGTTATTTCCTACAAGTGATAATTATAATTTTTCTAAATTTTTAAGTTTAGAAATATTGTTCTTCAATTTTTCTTAGACCATTTTATCATAATTTGTAATTTAATCCATAATTAAGGTTAAATCTTTAAGTAAAGATTTGGATCCCAAATACTCAAGAAACAAACTTATTTCAGAATTTTTAGATTACAATTTAGTTAAATTGATATATAACTTTTTAAGTACAACTGTCCTTAATGATGTAACAAGAAATGAAAAAGTCTGATGTATTCCACAATTTTCATAATCTAAGGATAGTTCTTCCAAAGATTAATTAAATTACCATAATTAAGATGTTTAAGATAAGCTTAATTTAATATTTGGTATTCTAAATTCAAGTGAAGTACAATTATATCTACTTAATTTCCACATTATAGTTCTATGATCTGATTCAGTTATTTCAGATTAAAATATTAACTTTATTCTAGGAATATGCTAAATTTTTGTTAGAAATTATATAATATTATTAATTTAAGATTATTTTGTATTAACAATAATTTCTAGTAAAGTTATTGCTTAAAAGTTCATAGAACCAAGATTTTCAGACCATCTGTAATTAAGATTTTGTTCATTAGAATCATCAATTAATTCTAAAATTAGTATTTATATGTCATTTTCTGGAGATAAATGTAATTCTGGGGTTTAATTATTTATTTTTAAATTTAAGAATTTACAACTTTTAGGCAATTAACATTTTTTTTATTGTTATTTTTTTTCATTAAATAGGCAAATATAGTTTTAAAATTGTTATGAATTATTTAATTCTTCATAACTGCAATATAGAAAATCACTAAAAGGTTTTGTATCAGTCAATATAATTGATTGTGTTATTTGTATAGTTTAAGAAAAGCTTTCAGTGTGAATTTATTTACTTTCAATTACAGATTGATGGAATTTAGAGAATTGCCTTTATTATTAATTTGTTTGTAAATGATTTGGTGATGCAGAAGCTTAATAAGATTTAGTTTTGAAGGATTAAGAATTTTTAACAGAACTAGGTGTTGGAGGTTTATTAAAAAATTACGTATCTTTAATGTGTAAATTCTAAGTTGATGAATTTTTGGGAGATTTTGTGATTTATAATTTTCTAGATGATTCTATTAATAGGTTGACTTGTGATTTTTATTTCTTTGAGTTACTCAAATTGGATGATAAATTTCTAATTGATTTTTACCTTTCTTCTTTATAAAAATTAGATCCTGTATTTCTGCTTCTATTTATTATAACATCAGGAGAAAGATAATCTTGTTAAGTATGACATTTTTTTGGTGATTCAAATGATTCAAAGGTTGTACCTTTAGATAACAGAATCTACTGATTTTAATATTCTTTCAATTATTAATAGATCTATTTTAATTCAATAAAATCAGGTCTAACATGAGGATTTATTTACAACATCTTTTTAAGGATATCTATAATAAGATTATCATCAGCAGTAATTCTTTTAACATGCTTTAAATAATCATTTATAATTTCTTCTTCAACTTAAGAATTAACCTTCTATCTTGAATTCCATAATTATAATGTAACTAAGTAAAGTAAGCATAGTCCCAGAGAGTAAACATCACTTTTAAAAGGATTGTGTTTAAATCTATTTGTTTCAGCATTCAATAATTCAGGTGCTAAGTAAGACTTAGTTCCGACAACACTTATGGTGGAAATTGTTTCCACTTTTGAACTACAGCCAACATCACATGCTTTGAGTTAAAATCCTTCCATTATGAGAATATTTTCTAATTTTATATCACGATGAGCTATGTTTTTTTATTACAGATATTCAAATATATTTATTAACTATTCCAATATTTTATGCAATTCCTCAATCTCTAAATATTATTTCTCTCTTTATTTCAGATATTACTCTAGATTTTACTAACCTTTCTCCATAAGTAAATACGCAAATTATTAGCTTTGAGTATATTTATCTTAAGTGACAGTTTCTAATATCATATAATCAATCAGATTGATAACATAAGGAGATGGTGATAATGATTGCATAATTTTGATTTCATTTTCAATGTTGCATTAATTGATTATGACTTACTTAGTAAATAGGAATAGTTTACTTTTAATGCATAAATATGACCATTGACTGAGACATTATAAACCATGTTATTGCCTTGTCCTAAATGTCCATTGTCGATCAAATTTTTACGAAAATCAAGACCTCTAATAAATTTCATCTAATTTAGTTAGGAACTCAGATCCATATTATATTAATTAAAATAAATCACTTAAGTGGATGAAATGACAATGATTCCTCATATACCATTTATTTGAGTATAGCTTCAGTAGGTTTGAAACTGTCCCATCCCCAATCGAAAGTGCAATCACAGATTGGTTCTTCTTCTGGATTATGGAGCCCTTCAAAATAAGGATGTGCCAAACACTCTTAAACTGTTAAACGTTTGTCTGGATTGAAAGTAACCATTTTATCTAATAAATCTAGGGCCAAAGGTTGAGCATGAGGATACAAGTTCTTCCATTATTATTTAGGTTTTTTTGGGAGACTTTTCAAGTAAGTGAGTGCATTTTTATTACCAATAAATCTAACATCATCATTTGTAGGCGTTCCTAAGACCTATATTATTCTTTAAACTTAATCAAGATAATCTTCACCAGGGAATAATGGTTATCTACCTAATAATTCTGCCAAAATGCAACCTAGAGCATAGATATCAACTGATTTATTATATTCAGATGCATTTAAGATAACTTCAGGTGCTCTATACCATCGAGTAACTACATATCTAGATAAATTTTTAGTTTATACTCAGTTTTAAATTCACCTTCATCTTCATAACCACGAGCTAATCCAAAATCACATATTTTTAAATCACAATTCTTATTCAAAAGTAGATTGCTTGGTTTAAGATCTCTATGAATGATATTAGCTGAGTGAATATATAATAATCCTCTTAATGCTTAATATAAAAAATATTGAATATGTTCGTCTGTTAATTCTTGTTTCGAATATATAACTCTATGCAAATCTGTTTCCATTAGATCAGTAATTATATATATATCTTTATAATTCTATGGATGTTCAGGTCTTTACAAATCAAGTAGTGAGACAATATTCTCATGATCAAAGAATTCTTATGAATTATAATCATATCAATTACTTAATAATTTAATTTCACGTACTATTCTTTTTGCATCTATAAGATCTGAAAAAGCGTCTGATATTTTTTTGATTGCCACCAATTATTGACTTTTTTTATTTAAAGCTGAACACACTACTCCATAAGCTCCATGTCCAATCTGTTTAATAAATTAATATTTATCATCAACTATAAAGGTCTACCCATTGCAATCAAATGCATGTTTTCCTTTAGGGATCACTTATTTAGACTTCATTTATAATATTTATTTTAAAATATATATTAGATCAGTAATACTCCCTTTTTGAATTGAAAAATAATAGTTATGTAAATTCTTATTTCTTATTACTTTCACTAATCAAGTCTTAATTGATTGTTTTGAATATTGTTATATATATTATAATAATTATTTATTTTATTAATGTCACATAAACCATCTCATAACCCTGCTCTTTTTGATTAATATATTCAATATGATGGTCCTGAAGGAGAAGGATTTAGAATAGCCCAATCAGATAACTCTGCTGATATTTATATTGTAGATGATTATGGTGGTTGGGTTGATAAAGAATTAAATTATTATGATAGAGATGGAGAACCTGCAGGATACTTTGATTAAGATTATAACTTTTATGATATGTAAGGATACAGAATTCCGGGTGGTTTTAAGGGTGGAAAATCTATTGAGAGAGAAATTAAAAAAAAATAAAAATACCTTGATAGTGTTCCAGATAATACTAAGTAAAAGTTTGGTAATTTCTATGTCCTTATATTAAGTTGTTGAAATCTAAAATCTACCTTCCAACACAGTACCTATTTAAATCATCAATTATATTCTTGATAGATGTGATTTGAAATAGGCCCAAATCGAAGAGTGCAAAAAAGTACAAAAATAAGCTACTAAAGGTTATGTTGTTGTTACAGGAGCAGACAAAGTTTAAAAGTTATTAATTTTAGAAGGACGAAAATTTAGATTGTAAGATAAAGTAACCAATATTCCAAATAATTAGGATGGTAAATATACAAGCAAAGAAATTTAAATATTTGTTAGAGAAGCAAAATTTAACAATGGAAAACAATTCCCAAACAATAATAATAATTCTAAATATAATCAATAAGAATAGATTGAATAAGAAGATGATGGATATAAAATTGCTTTTGAAAATCTAGACACCAAAAAAACAAATCAAGAATTTATAAACTGGATTGTTAGTCAAACTAATTGTGAACCAGAAGAAATTGAACTTAAAAGACCTAACTAAAAACCATCAGGATAATTCCTCTTATAAAATGAAAATCTTATGTACTTAATTTTGAAATAAAATGGAAGATAATTTGGTGATTCACGTATTACTTTTAAACAAAGTATTTTATTCTCTTATTATAATTTTAGTATCCAAATAATGAGGTTTGGAAGAATTAATAGAGATGTGCATGTGTGATCTATAATACATATAAATAATATTTATTAAATCTAACATCATAAATATCTTTTCCTTGGAAATTTTATTTACAATATATTTTAAATTATAATATCTAAAATGATCGTACCTGCCATAATCAAAACTAAGAAAATGTCAAAATGATCTCTAAAATAAGATTATCATATTACATTTCAGAATTAAAGTCAACCAAATCTAAAAATGATTAAGTTGGTTTACAAAACACAAATAACATTGTTATTGTAAATGAAAGAATTGAGTATGCCATATAAACATAATTCTTATAAAAATATTCTTTAAATGGTTTAGAGATAATAAAGATGAAAGGTAAAAATTAGCTGTAAATTTAGGCTATAATAACAGTAGTTGTATTAAGCATTCCAACTCTAAGATAGTCCTAGATTGGAGGTTTTGGCTTTTCAAAATGATGATTTTCAGCATTCATAACAATAGCTACAGATACCAGTAGACCACCAGTAAAAATAAATACATGAGTATAAAATGAAAGTTGGTTATTTACTTTAATAAATATGATAGTTTACATGAATACATATCATCTAAAGGCAATTCTTTAGATAGATTTGGTAATGCTTTTGTTAATGTCATAGATGCCATAATAGGAATGTAACATAAAAAGCTAAGGAATAATAATTAAAAGTCACTATAATTTTAACCTTCAAGAGCCAAACAAGTATAAGCACAAGTAGCTAGAAAACTTAATAAAGTATAGAGAGGAAATATTTCACTCAAGGTCTAAGCTGTTGCTCTTCCTTATGCTAATATTGTCACAATACATTTAATAGATTAATCTAAAGATGAGAAATGAGCTGTATATGAAGCATCAGCTTACGAGAATGAGACTCCAATATCTGCTTATGAAATAGCTGACTTTAATCATAATAATAATTACACAATCATTTGATCCATCTCCTATCATAGCAACACAGCATTTTGATTATTGATGTATAAATATAACTTCTTTTTTTTAGTGTGGTTTAACTCTAGCAAATACAATTGTTTTCTAATATAAAGAAGATATGTCCAATTAATTTTGATTACAAAATTCCATAAAATCTCCTGTTAATGCAAACTTATGGTTTAAAGTGTAAATGTAATTTTGCAAATCTTTTAAATCTATTTGATACATTTTTTATTATATTATTTATTATTTTCCAACTACTCTATTTATATCTACCTCTAAAATCTCTGAATTTCTAATATCAAATAATTTAACAACCTCATCTGCTATACCAATATTATATGCAGTATTCACAGTTGTCAAAGGATTATCTCCACTTAGAATCTAAATCATTATTATTTGTTTACCTTAACTTTTAAATTTGATTCAATCAATTATTTCATAACTTCAGCTGTATCGTTTTTTAATTGATTTTCAAAAATTAAATATCCTAGAAAATTTAGATTGACTTCTAATTACATTCTATCTAAATTGATATGTTCCTATTTAATTTCTTTTTAAGCTAAACTTATAACTCTATATCCTTGATTAACATAAAAAGATAATTAAGAATTCATTTCTTCATTTAAAGAGTTTAATTTAGTCTGTAATTTTTCAGGAGCACCTTTAGAACATAAATAATATTTATTTTCACTTTGAACAATAACTGACATCATCATTAATTCAGAATTGAAATCAAATATTTTAATAATTTTATAATTATCTTAATCTTAAGTTGTAATTGTGATATCATCATTATCAAATTATATTTTAGATTTGCTATATTTAAACATTTCAAGATCCAATATATCTCCCATTAATTATCCTTCAGATTGACAAATATGATGACAACAACTTATACATATATTACAATCTTATTTATCCCATAATCCTATAACAGTTAATTCATTAGTTGTTAAAGTACCTGTTTTATCAAAGCATGCAACATCAATTTATCCTGAAATATGAATTTTATCCATATTGCTACCAATAATATTATTATTTTTTAAACGTAGTAATGCAATAGTAGCAGTTAATGAAAAAAAGATAGGCATAGCAGGTGGGAATATCCAAGTTAAAGTACTAAATATATTTGCTAAAATTAATTCAGTTGTATAATCTAAATATATTACTATAGTAGCAGCAGCAATTATTACATTGAAAATACCAAATCCACATAAAAATTTAATTGCTTAAGTGTAAAATTTATGAGTCACTTTATGAGGGTATAATACATTTCTAAAATACTAGCCTCTAATTGTTGAATAATTAGTTCTTATTATTTAAGCAGTTGATCCAGTATTTACTTCTAAAATCTTTGTACCTTCAAATAAAATCTATCCTGTTTACTTTGGTACAGGATTACTCTCACCTGTTAATGTTGCTTCATTTAATAACGCCATACCATTTATTATACAATCAGCTGGAACTATCATTGTTTATAAAATGATTATATCTCCTGGTACAAGTTCATTAACATCAATAGTTATTTAATCATTATTCCTAATTACTCTTACTTATTAATGAATTGCAGCTAATGATTATAATCTATTTAAAGATTATCTAAGTAAATAAAACTTTATGAATGTTGAAATCAATGAACAAGACATCATTACAATTGCAAAATAAAAAAATCCTTAAACCAACCAAATTACAACACATAAATATTATAATGTATAAAACGGTGTAGAAAGTTCTTCTAATGTAAATTCCAGAAATCCTATCATTGGAATTTTCATTAATGCTGATCCATAATCTTTTTATCTTACTTATACCTCTTAACTTGTTAAATTATTAGAGTTTATTGGTTCAAATTCTAAAGGTTTAAACTTATCTTCTTAATATTGATATTTTAAGAATCTAAGTTTCTTTATTTTTTTATTACCTAAATTTGAAATGGATATTCTTTCCTTCTCTAATTACTTAACAGATCTCATTATGTGGATTTGTTTTAATATGAGTTGCCTTATCTAAAGTACTAGCTATGTACAAAAAATTTATAAATTAAGAAGGAAACCATCTAAAATAAAAACCAGCCAGAAACCCAGTACTCACACATAATAATACCTAATTATATACCAAATCAATACAAGCATAAATAATCGCTCATAGCTGATTTTAACACATTATATTGATTTTAATTTATGTTCCCCTTCTATTTGACTGTTTATAATTTATAATTCCATAATTAATAAATTTATTATAATTCAATCATTTTTTTAGTTCTGATCATCATTAAATAAGAATAATATCTACTACATAAGATCTTCAGCTTTTGCTCTTAATAATTAACTTGATTGAATCTTTATCATCAATCTTTAACGTTGTCTATCTTCTTTAAATTTAATTCCAAATTCAATTTAATTTAAATACATCTACATTATTAAACAATTTTCAGATTAAACTAATGATTAAAAATACCTTTTAAAATCTACCAGTTAGTTAATAAATTTATGATTCGGAGTATTAATATTCGATTTGATTACACATTTCATATCTAATTATATTACTTAATATATACGTTTATTATCTTTCCATTTTTCCTTTAATGTTACAATATCTTCTATTTATGATAGACCAAATTTAATTAATGAAACAGGTAATAAAATATGATACTATTATTCATTTATTGAAAACTCTAAGATTGGTTATTTCAAAAATTCAGTGTATTAAAATTTCAATTAGATCTTAAATGTTGTGTATTTTTCAAGAACACTTCCATCTTAAACATTCAAAGCATTGAGTTAATTGTCTAAATAAATATGTTAATTTTTACTTGAAGGAACTTATAAATTAATTTTGGTAATAGAAATATTATTTTGACTTTTATTTCTTATATGTAATTATAAATTAAGATCTTCATCAGCCATTTTAGTTATACAACCTACCTATAAAACTTTATCTTCATATAAAACAGCTCTTGACATCAGTAATGAAAATTTAAAATCATCAATTTGATTGGAGTATGGTTAAGAACATCCTGTTAGAATATCTAAAAATAAACTAGCATCATAATTGATTTCAATTTTTGATATTTTATTTTAGTCTTTAGGAGCTATTGAAAATCTTACTGGAACATTGGTTTCTATTAAATTAGGAGTTTTGAGAAATTGTTCTAAATATTATGTAATTGGACATTTATGATCTTTATTATTAGCACTAATTTATTTGAACTATTTTTCAATCATTTTAATTTTATTTAATAATGAATCTTAATTACATTGATAATCTGAAATTTTTCTTTAATTTTCACAACTTTCATTATTTATTAATTTAATTTACTCTTTAAGTGTTTTATTTTCTGCTGAAAGATCTTATATATTTAATTTAGATTATTTATTGAATTCAGTTAGATTTATTAATTATTTGTTCATAGAATTATAGACATCAGTCCATTTTTATGATTGTAATTTAAATTATTTGAAATCTTATTCATATTTTTCAATATTTGATTTATATTATTTGATTTCAAATTCATATTCAGTATTAGATTATGATAACCTTTATATTTCTTTATTTAATTTTCTTTTTTCTTCTTGATGGTTCTTTTCTTATTATGGATCATTCATAAGTATTGTGTAATTGAGTTATTCTTAAGTTTAGACTTCTGCATCAGCCATTCTTAATACATTTTTCCTAGATTTAATAGAAAAATCAAGAGAAATTTGTATAACTTAACTATTAGTTTACATATTCTTTGTGGAATAAATATTGTTTGATAATTAATTTGGTTTTTTAAAAGGATCTAGATTATCAATATCTACTTCGATATTTTCAAACTTAATAACCTTACTACCTTAATCAGAATAAGTATCAGATTTATATCTAGAATTTTATTTAACAAATTCTAATTTGTTTGAATAAATATCATCAGGATTTTATTTTTTTGCACCAATATCCCATTACAAATTAAAATCTGTTTCCATATGAGTAAAATCATCAACATTTTATTTATTTTCTTATTCATTTTCTGATATAGGTTTTTCTTTATAAGAATCAACACTTTTTGAAGCCATAGATTCTAGATTTGGATATGGTTCATTAAATTTAAATATATTTGAATCTGGTTTGCTATCAACTTCTGTTTTAAATTCACTTCTGTTTCCCATAACATTTGAATGACCTGTAAATACATCTTATGGTGGTTTAGAATCAACATTCCACTAAAGATTTGGAAATTATTATTCATCATTATTCTAAGATGTAATAGAGGGTTCGCTTTATGCTTAAGGAAGCATAGTGGGTCTCATTTTTTGTTTAACTTCTTCTTTATCTTAATTAGAATCTTTTGCTTCAATATTTTAATTAACATCAAATCCTTAATCCCATTAGACTTAATTTTATTAATTTTATTATATTCCCCATCCATTATAAGAATCAGGATCTGTATTTATTCTTTTTGAATCAAATGGTAAATTATTATTATTAGCTTTATTATCAAAACCTTATTGAAATGGATTTTCAAAATATTATTATTAATCTTATTTTTAATCTGCCATATTCCATTATGTTTAAAATTGATTATCAGGATTATCAAATTAAAAATCTGATTCAGGAATCTTTTTAACTTCTTATTATTATTAATTCCAAGAAATTGGCACTTGGGAATCCCATTAATCTTATTTTGGTGTTTACTCTTATTATATTTAAGGTAATTCCTATTTCTGTTATATTTAAGGTAAATCCTATTTCTCTTATTATTAAGGTGGTTATATTTATGCTTATTCATTTTATTATTTTTAAAGTTTTTATTAAATTAAATCTTATTATGTTTTTTCTATGTCATCTTATTCAAAATTAGCAACTTAAGTAAAACAAAAAGGATTATCATTTTAAGGAACTTATTTTGGAACTTCTTATATTTAGTCTGATGATTGTTTTTATTTTTCAACTTTAGGTATTTTTTTAGGTTCTTCTTAATGAAATTTAAGTGTAGAAATAAAATCTTATAATTTAGGATGATGTTTATTTTTAAATGCATTCCATGACATAGATTTCTTTTGACATTTTTCTATATCAGAAATTAACTCATTTGTTTTAGTACTAAGTTTGATTAAATCATCAATTAATATTTCTTTATGTGGATTTTCTATTTCTTCTAATTCATTCATTTAATTTTGAATTGGTTTTACAATTTATTAAAGTTCTGGACAAAATTCAGATAAATCTATAATATAATAAAATAAGATTACATGAAACATCTTCATTTTCTTTTAGAACATCAACAACAAGTAATAAAAGACCTTTTAGACTTTCAAAAGTTTCAGATGCAGTTATAAATGCAGATTTATCATTTTTATTTTGATCAGAAACAGGTGGTTTTTATATTGGTTTAGGTGTTTCTTAATTTATTTATTATCTTTGAGGTGTTTCTATTTCTTTTGGTGGTTGTTACTTTTTTATTTTTTAATCATTTTGATTTTAAATTTGCTCTATTTTTTTAAAGTATTTGAATTAAGTAGGAAATCTAATACCTGCTTATAATAATTCACTATATACAGTTTTAAATGGACTAGGCTACATCTTCTAATCTGTAGATAATTAAAAATATATTGACCAATTATATAGGCATTCTAATAATAGTAAATAAAATTCATCTCCAGGATCAGGTGGATTAAATAATTTATTTTTATCTCCCTTCAAAGATTATTTTGCGATTGTTTTTAAACGATCCAATATTTTTATTGTAACATAATCTGCCATTTCTTTCTGTCTTGTATCCATTGCATCTTTAAGAAGCTATTATTAACTAATATAAATACCATTAATGCATTAAATTTTGTTTAAAATGGAAATTTTGATTTTAAGGTTTTCTTAACTGTGTCAACTAATGGATCAATATATAAATGACTTCCATTTTTTATATTTTTTATAAAAATAATCTTCTCTTAATCTAGAAGTGTCTGATCAGCCATTAACTCTGCTAGTTTCATAGCGTTTTTGTTTTAGAATTCTTTCTTATCTTTTTCCATTGTATTTAAAAAAAATATTATTTTTTAAATTGTTATCATACTACCATTTAATGCTAAGAATCCTAAAGAACTTGAACAAATGTTTTAATTTCATAGAAGAAGTTAAACAATTTAATTTGACAATGGACCTTAAAAAATCACAGATGCAGCCTAAGATTTTATTAATTCCATATTGGTGATTGATCCTAAATAAAGATTTGATATATCATAGGCTGCGAATCATCCACTTATATAAAGTACTTTTTATTTTTCTACGAGATCCACATCCACATGCGAATAAATAAAATTGATGTATTTGTTAATAATTATCAATCTAATTATTATCAAAGCTATTTAGAAAACAAAAAACTTTATTCTCCTTTTATTAATAACATTTTATAGTTTACAATTCATATCAATTCAATAGAATAAAATCGAAAAAATTAAGAATATTTTATATTATGAATTTATAAAGTAATAGGGATTCTTGCTTATTATATTTATATTATTTTAAAATCGACATAGTATGATTATCTATATTTATAATCTAATTTTATCTTAAACTTATGTATCAGGATTGTAATTATTATACTTAAGGGACCCAATCTTCTTATTATATATTTTTAAAAATAATTCTTAGATCAAAAAATTGAGTGAAATCAAAAAAAATGTTTTGTTGAATAAACTTCAAATAAAAACAACATGTTTTATGTCCTAGTTTTTGATTTAAAGCTATTCTTTATGTTTATAAATTGAAAAGACATGATCAATATTATATAATTAATTTTTTATTAATAGAATAAGTGATTATAATTTAATAGAAAATCATCTAATTCTTTCTTAGATAAATATTTTAAATGATAGAATTGTATTGTCAATAAGAAAATCATGAAAATGAGACAATTATTGGTGTGTGTACAAATGAAATATGTAGAAATAAAAGATTATGTTGTTTGGATTGTGTAAAAGAGTTTCATTCGACTCATAATAATGATATTTAAGGATTACGATCTTTAAAAAATTAACTAACAATTTGTGAAGTATAAATAGAAAAAATGATAGAAAGTATTGGAGTAATTATTCAATTTTTAAATTAACTTAAAGAATTGGAACAAATAATTTAGAACTCAAAGGAGTATTTATCCAAAATAAAAAGACAAGAGTTTTAAAATTTAGGAAATAAAGATTATGATCGTTTTATAAATGAGCTCCTAATTATTAAATAAATTGATGAAGCATTTTTAAAAATAAAGGATATTTCTAATGAGGAATTTAGTTAAAAATTTAAGGAAATTAAAACAAAAATTGAATCTTTTTATGAATACTAAGATTCACAAATATCGAATAATAGCAATATTAAAATATAAAATGAATTGCCTTAATAATTAGATAGATAATTAAAATTAAATCATTCAGCTTCATTATTTTTATCTAATAACAATGAGCTTCCAGAATAAAGATCTCCTATTAATTCTTAAATAAGTTTAGAATCACCAAGATCATTAATTATCATATAAAAAAAAAGAAGCGAAATGCTTCCCAATTACAATATTTTAGATTAATAAAGTAGTAATTAAGTAGAGTGGAATAACTAATCTCCTCTTAAAGAAAAAATTTTTTAATTTATAAAATCTAAATTTATTTCACCTCAATAATCTGGTAACTATTTTAATGCTCAAAAATATAATTGTTCAATTCCTGACGGATTTACAAATTATAAAATTGGATATTTCCATTTAATAACCAAAAAGGAATATGTAAATGATGAAAGAATTACTTATGAAGAAGCAAATTAATAATTACTTTTAGATTTAACATATTTCTAAAATATAGTAGAAAACTATTTATAACATTTAAAGATAAATTTAAATAATTATCCTGAAAATATGAAAATGCTTATTGTACTAGTAGTTTTTATAGAAAAGAATGAAAAATCAATCTCTGAAATATTTATCAACAAAGATTATTAAGAGCTATACAAAAAAATAAATGGTTTAAAGTTATGCTCAAATAAAGCAAAACATATATGTGAAAAGAAAACATATTTAAAAGAGATTTGCTCTTTTTTTAAGACTTTATATCGTTGTTCTAATGGATAACCAAGGAAATGATTAAAATTTATTTATATTTATTAATAAAATTCGTAATTTTACAATATAAAAAATACTTTTTATCAGTTTTTAATTAGAATGACTGAAAAAAAAATTATAATAAACATTGAAGAAACTATTATTATTATTAATTGTTTATTTTGGAAATTAGAAATGGAAAATTGACCTGGTAAAAGTAGTAAAATTGTTTGAGAAAATAAATATATATTTTTCACAAAATAAAATGGAAGAATGATAAATAAAAATTAATGAAAGGAGATAAAAATATTTTTATTTTGATATTTATGGGGATAATAAATCAAATTCTTTTTTTTATGGGAAGGATCTTCCTCAAATCATTTATAAAATATTATTATCTAACTGTTCCATCTCTTCTATGAAAACGATCTTTAAAGAAATCTAAAACTTTATAAATTTGAGTTTTCAAAATATTAGTGCCTTTTGTTTTTGGAAATAAAAATTTTTCAATTTCCATATAGAGATGATTAAATGTTTATAAAAATGCTAAGTTCTTAACAGTTGCAAAATCTTTAAAAATAAAAAGAACTGACAACATTAACATTCGTATGTTTTCAGGAATATCTTCAATTTTTCTATTATTTCTTTAATAGAATTCATATAATTGTATTTCAAATTAGTCTAAATCAGTTTCTAAATATTTATCAGCTTAACCTTATGTTATTCTATATGTTTTTGGGTCAATTTAAATTTTATCTTTAAAAAGTGGATGATTATAACCAATAATATATCCTAAATAATCAGGTAAATTTAGTTAAGGATGTAGATCACAAATAAAATAAATTGTTTTATTATTATTATCTGCTTATTTTGTTTTTGTTGCAAATTTCAATTTGATAAATGCAATAAGTTCCTTTCTTAATGATGAATTTTTTGATATTTCAATACAATTATAACAAATGATATTTTCTTCATCTACTTATATTTCACATTATTCTAATTCTTATTTACAATTTTAACATTATTATTTTTATTATAATAAACTAGTATCTAAGGATTTCTGTATTTAGGATTCTATATTCTGTTAAGAAATTTGATAATTTTCTATTTATTATTAAAATTATTCTTGAATGGAACACTAATTTTAAAATTATTCTATATTTTAACTTATCTAATTGTTAGTAATTATTAATTAAGTCAATTAATCTTATTGACATTATATTTATTTGATCATAATTATTAGTTCTTAAACTAGCCTTATAGAATTTTTCTACTTTATTGAATCATTTTTAAATAGCTTTAATGTTATCAAATAATCAATACATAGTTCAAGATCAGAAATGATTATTGTATCTGATAAATGCTAGTTATGCTCGTTTACAAAACAATCATCACAATAAAGTAGTTTTTTATTACAGGAATTATTTAAACAAACACCATATGATTCTTTATTTTCATGAATTGAACAATAAGATGATGATAGTTTAAAACTTTCCATAATATTAATATTGCTTTCAAATAATATTATTCTTAAATCTATTACTTTACCAAAAAATTATTTATAAATTTAGAAATAAAAAAATCAATTAGAAAAATCTACTTCTGAATAAATATAATCAAATGATATTAAATCATAGATCTTATTTAATTATAAAATTATTCCAACATAACTCCAATAACTCCACTTTATAAAATTATATGTACAGTAAACAAACTATCGGAAATTATAATAATTAGGTTTCATTTTAATAGGTTTCATTGATCGACTTGAAATGCGTAATAAAGAACAATTAATTATAGCTAGACTGTTCTAATAAAGTAATAATGTATGAAAGAAATTCATAAAATAGAGCAAAATATTACTTTATTATTTTTATTTTTAATTTAATTTTTTTACATTTCATTTTTAAAATAATAAATAATCCAGAATTAGAGATTGTAAAATTAAAAAAGAATAATGATAAACTACAAAATATTTTCTAGATTTAATTAGAAATTATAATTTTAAAGTATATATTAAATAAAAATAATATTAGTTAAATTATTTATGTTATTATAAATTTCATAGAAATACTACTATTAATAAACTGAAATAAGTGAGCAAAATTGAGTAGACTAAGGAATCACATTCAACACAATTTCCAATCCATTTATAATTTCCACTAGTAGAATTATAACATGTATTTATATTTAAATAATTTGTATTTTCTGCTTCAACACATTTTTATTGTTTAATTTCACATAATATTTTAGTTTTTTAATCAATTTTAACGCTAGTGCATTCATCAAGAGTTAAATCTTCACATTATTTTTTTTCACATTTATTATTAGCATATTTACAACCATATTCTACACATTTAGTTTTAAAATTGTTTAAATCCGAACATTCAGAAAATAGAGAGTATGAATCACATTTATTATCATTATTAATTGCACATCCAGTATAAAGTTTTTCTTTTCCAATACAAGTTGCTAAAGTCTAATCAGAACAAGTAACATAGTCTTCTTCTAAGCATTATTTAACTTTATAGACACATCCTTAGGAAGCAGGACAATTTTATTCATTATAATTAGAACATCCTTTATATTCTTCACATTTATTATCTTTGTTCCAATAACATGGACAATCTTAATTTGATGAAAATTCTTCACATTTATACATATGAGATATACAAGAATTATCTTCCCATTTACATTAATAACCTGTTGTTAATGGAGTGCATTATGATTAGATTGTAAATACAGCACAATAATTATCATATGATTCACACTAATCATTACTCCAATAACAATAACTGCTAAATTGACAATCTTACATTCTAAGTTCACTACAATCACAATGCGATGTAGTATCAATTGTAATATTACTATTCACAACAACTATTAACGCTAAGAAACATACAAGTTAATTTACAATCATATAATTTTAATTATGGTTTCAATACTCATAAATTTGGTGAGATGTGTGTCATATTTATAATAATTACTTAAAGATTTATTTGATATATAAATGTACCTATTATTATTATTACTTTATATTAATAATTCAATATAATTATTTTTTAAATGGATTAAAAAGAAGAAAATAATAATAATGACAATCTATTCAAGAATATTATTTTTGGAAATCAAATCTAAAATTCTTATGGTAATTTTCGATCATTCTGTGCTGCTATTGCACATTAAGATTAGATTAATATTATTATGGATTATATTAAAACAAATGAAAAATTTAGGAGATATAACAGATTCAGTTATGCATATCGTGTTTATGAATAGCAATAATTTTTTGTGACTTAGGATAAACCAGGATAAGAATAATAAGAGAATAGAATTATAGAAGGTTTTCATGAAGATGAAACTTTGGAAGGAAGTGGAGAAAAGTTATTGCATTTATTATAAAAATTTAGTAATGAAATCTAGCATAATTTGAATAGATGTCGAAAATGTGTTAATAATATCAGCGATTTAATAATATAATCCCCTTTATAGATTTGAACCTTCTCATTATAGAATAATTGTAGAGAGATCAAAAGATTTATTGAATAATTTATATACAAAAGTGATATAATAAGAGGAAGAAGAATAAAAATAATAAGAGGCTTTACATTAATAGAACTTAGCATAGGGAAAGATAATTAAAGTTTAAGCAAAGTTGCCTAAGACTTAATTAGAAATTCCATAATTTCATTAATAAGCTAAATTTGCAAAACCAGAAGATAGATTATTAAATAGACCAGGTCATTTTTATGCTGAAAATCCTGGGTTCAAACCTCCAAAGAAAAGTTAATAATAATAATAATAGTAATAACAAAGTTAGCTTCCTCCAATTTCAGAATAAAAGAAATTAAAAGACTTAAGTAAATTATTTACTTATTTATTTAAATAGATATGAGATTAAAAAATATAGCATATTAGTTAGAAAAGATTTTAGAGTCATTGACAGAAAAGGAGTATTTATAATTTAAATTTATTGCTAAATATGATTAAAATAAATTGGTTGAGAAAGTGTTAGGATTAATTATGCTTATATTTGATATTGATAATAGAGATTAATTAGCTACAGACTTTGATATATAAAATAAATTATAAAATGCAACTGTTAATGATTTAACAGAAAAAAAAGTAAGGAAAATAAATGAAACTTTAAGAGGAGATAGAAGATTAAATGCATATGGTTTAGCTAGTGTAAATCCATTAATTTCAACTATATTTGCATTTATAGTACTACTAATTAGAAGTTATGAAATAGGAAATGATATGCTTAAAATAACATAGAGTATTGCAGTATAAGAATCAGAAGAGAATTAACTTCTTGAAGATCCTATATGATTATTATGAATTTATAAATCAAGTTAACTAAATAATTTAATTTAAATATACATTTATAACATTAAAATTAAAATTAAATGGCAAAGAGAGGTGATCCAAAGACACTTGTATTGAACAACTTTGAAGAATTAAAATTTGTAGACAACATCTACTGCCCATAGCGTGGACAATTACGATTATTTCGATTTCATCCCTTTGCGAAGTACAAATGTACGTTCCTAACAGATATATGGTTTCGAAATTAGTGTGTTCTGTTCCAGTTTAATAGATGGATGTAAACCAATAATAGCAGTTACTTAAACAATATAAAGAACGTTGTAAGATTAAACAACCACATATATTCTATTCGATTGAAAGTGAAAGCCAAAAAACAATGAAACCTGGTTAATTTGGATAGACAGAAGTATTTTAGATATTTGTTTTTTTTGAATATGGTCAATTAACTCTCCATGAATTAACTGAAAGAAGATAAATAAAGAGGTATTTAGTACCTGAACCAGAAGTCTGGTGTCTTATTAAAGGAATAATGCAAGCAATGCATTTCTTTTAAAATAACAATATTCCTCATGGTATGATTACTACTAAAACTATCTATTTTGATGAAGAATATCTTCTATATCGAGTTTATGATTAAGAATTAATTGGAGGAAGATGGGGCAATTTTAATAAATATTAGTAAACAAAGGATCCTGAAATTTAAGTGTTTTTAGCTCCAGAAACGAAGCCCTTTTTAAATTCTGAGGCTAGTTTATTAGAGACAGCATAAATAAATCCATTTAAAGTAGATGTATTTGCTTTTGGGTAAAAATAGAATTATAATTTATAGAATTGTACTACTATAATGTCTGACCTTGTTTTAAGCTTTCGAAAATCCTTTGAAATGGTTAGATCAATTCTATTCAAAAAATCTAATCACATATATAACTTAATGCATTCAACCTGATCCAAATAAGCGTTAAGATTGGATTGGATTGTATCAATTGCCTTTAGAACCAAGCCAAGACTAAAAAATAAACGAAAGAAATTCATTGATTCAGTCTCATTTTGAAAATAGAGGCTAAAAAACATTTAGATGAATTATATTAAATTATTATGAGTAGACACAAAACTCAATTCAAAACCATCAAAAAGAGGACTAATAAGACTTCTGATTTGACAGAGAAGTTCAAAAAAAATCTACAAGAACAACTAGATTCTGATGATGATGATGGAGATTAATAAAATGAGTAGAAATCTAAACATGAAAGTGTAAATAATTTTCTTTATCTACTTTTAGTTAGTCAATGAATATTTAGCATTTACTTAATTAGAATAAGCACTCACAACAGGATTGAGAGCTGCTATTTCTGGAGATTTAGTTCCTAAAAATCCTTGGTGTGAAGTATCAAGAACACTTGGAGTATAAAATCTTAAAACTGACATTTACACAACTTTTGAAAAATTAGCTAAGAATTTCAGAAAGACACCTTGTATTGAAACTAGAAAATATCATATTTATAAAATTAGTTATAGTTTCAAACAAAAGACAAGAATAATTAATTCTTAGAATGAATTAGAAGAAGTCTTAGAAGAATAAAAATTTGAAGTTTATGGATATGAAAGGATGCTTGAATATGTTTTCCTACCTAATTTAAAAGAATTTTATTTTGCTATTTAGAATATATTGCCTTCATTTATTAAAGAATATCCTTAAGGTAGAATATAGGTTGTTAATTCATTATCTGGAGGATATATAATTAAATCTGGTTTAATTACTTATCCTAAAGCTCATCCAAAAGATTTGGAAATAAATTGTGAATGTTTTATTTAAGCAAGTTCTGATGAGATTGCTTTTGATATGTTCGCAAATTTTGTTTTTGAAGATTGTTAAAGTATCAATAATAAATAAGATTTAAATCTAATAAAAGTATTTTTAATATACTTTTTTGATTAAGAGAAGAAGGAATAAAAGAAAATAACATGGAAAATGAAAAATATTAGTAATTCTAATAAAAATAGATTTATAAATGAAATAAAAGAATATACTAAAAGTCGTAGTAGCATATATTGGAAGGGATATTGTAGAGTAAAGGGATTTGAGAATTTAGATTTAATGGAAGGAATAGATGAGAATAATCCAGAAGGATTTTAATATATAGAAGTATATAAAATATATAATCTTCATTTATTTAAAAATGATGGTTAATAAATATAAAAAATATCATATTAGAATTAACCATTAGGATCATTACTAAAAGGTGTATTTTTTGATGAAGGATAAGCTTAGATATATGCATCATTTTTTTATAAAGATAATGAAACATTTAATAAGAGTATTTATTATAAGGATTTTGTAAAGAATCATTTAATGTTAGTTTTAAAAAAATGGGAAGAATAAAATATAGGAGCATCAGCTTGGGAATTATTTTATTTAGCATTGTATATTGAAAATGCAGATCAAAGAAGAGATTTATTAGATTCAATAATTTAGATTATTAGTAGTGATTATTCATCTCTTATTTAATTAACAAAATTAAATAATATTCTTTAAATGTTAATGGAGGAATATGATAAAAAGTAATAAGCACTTTTAAGACCAATTATAACATCAACTTATAATGTTTATAGATAAGAATTAATGGTAACATTTGGAAGATCATCTGGAAGTGATATTATTAGATATAGAGAATTCTTATTTAGATTATTAAGAGAAATGGAAGATAGATAAGGTGGATTTTTAATAGAAGAAAATTCTTATTAAGTTTTAAAAGCTATGGTTAAAGTAACTAAATTTATAGGAATAGGTAATTTATAAAGAGTTGGAGCTATTACTGTTAGTTTATCACTTTATATATTTGATTCACTTAAATAAAATAAATTAATATCTGAAAATTCTGGATATTATACATATGAAGAATTTTAATCATTGAAAGCCCCTAAAAAAATGTTGCATGTAAGTACAGAAATATAAGCTAAAAAAATAGATAAAGAATTTAAATATAAAAAAGAAGGTGATATAGAAGATGTAATAATTTTATAATTCTTAAATGAATATGATCTTTTTGATAATTTATATTATATTTTAAGAGATATCTTTTTTGGTAAATAGTTACCTAATGCTTTACCTACAGCATAATTTAAAGTAGAAACAAAAGCTATAAAATATCAATTATTTGAAATAGAAAGAAAAGAAGTATATGATTAAATGATTAATTAATTAAGTGAAGATAAACGTATAAATTATGGAAATGATCCTAGTATGGAACTATATAATTTTATAACTGAAGATATGGATGATTTAGATCTAAAACCAATTATTGGATGGAAATAATGTTTATATTATGCTGCTGTTTTTGAAATATCTGGTCTTAAAGCTTATCTTGATGAATTTCCATGGAGAAAAGCATTAAAAAGACCTATACCTGAAGCTTATAAAGTTATGCCAATTTTAGCAGTCTCAGGTACTTATCTATTTCATGATGCTGATGTCATTAATAGAACTTATGGAGAATGGGGTTTACATTGGGATTGGATTATTAAAGGAGCTTCATATCCACATGCTTAATAAATATTTATTGATACTATACTTAAATATGTATCATGGTTAGAAGTATCTACAGAAATGATGGTTATGGGATTCTTTACTAAAAAAAATAGAATTGAACCTTTTTTAACTATTGAAGAAATTCTTAAAGCTGAAGATCTCTCTGAAATTAGATAAAGATTACTTAGTAAATTTACTGAAGGAAAGGCTGTTTTTTTTAAAACCATCTTTAAAGTTGAAACTAGATTTAAAAATGTTAATTTCATTATCAATTTACACTATATTGATTAAAGTGGATCCAATTTATAAAGTTTATTATAAGAAGATATTTGTGAACATTATTTTAGAGTCTTCTTTGATTTAAGTGAATTTAAATTATGGAATAGACTCTATCCTTATTCTAATAATAGAGCTCTTAAATTATTAACCTAATAATAATAAAATGTATTTTATACTGGTAGTCTTAATGATGCTATTAAATTAGAATTGATTAAATTCTTTGTAACAGAAAGTGAAGAAATATTTTTAACGATGTGCAGAATTCTATTTTCATATTCAGAATCCTTTTATAATTATTCAAAAGAAGCTGAAACCTTTTATTTTCTTTTCAAATATCTAAATGAAATCAAAAACAAAGAAAGACCTAAGATTGAATCTGCCAATGATATTAAAGATTATTATTCAGAATGGTAAAAAGGTTTACAAGATGATTTAATTGCTTATGATAATATTTATTTTGATTCCATAGGAGCTACAGTTATGAATTATTTATAACATGGTACCTAAGCATTTGAAAATAATGAAACAGATTTTGATAGTTATGCCAGCAAAATGATTAAGTTGTATGATATGTGTTAAATCATTTCTGATTCTGTAGTCCTAACATATCGACAACTTTTATTAGAAGATTATGGTTACACTTTACTATGGTTACCAAAATAAAGATGATTAATTAGAAATTATATTATTCAAATTTATTTCCCTTTAATATATTCATCATAATCCCACTTAGATCTTTATTTTCTCTGTTCAATATATTAAATATTTATTATATATATTTAAATTTATTAAATGTTCAAATTAAACTCTTTATATCTATTTATCCTCTATTTATTAACATTTTGTTTGTTGTTGTAAAGTCTGATCCAATTTTTATTTTTATTACTATTATTTGTATTTTTAGTAATTATTTATAGAATAAACGCTAATTTCAGCACAATTACTCTAGATAAATTACTTTCTTATAAAGTAAATAATGATGATTTTTTTTTAAATTAACATTAAGTAAAACATTATTTATTACATGTTTTCTCTAATTTATAATTTAATTAAATTTTTCCTTCCAAAATATATAAACTCTTTATTTATTAATCACATATTTGATCATTTAAAAATTATCATAATAGAGTCATTTAAGCTTTTAAATAACAATTTAAAATCATTTGGATGAATGAATTTATTTTAATTATAAAAACAAAAATTAAGGAATAATCTTTAAATAGAACAATGATGATAATCATAAAATAAAATTAAAAGAAATTTCCTTTTTTAGGAAAAAGAATTTGTTATGATTTATAGTTAAGAATACAATATTATAATATTAATACTTATTTCAATAATTGATTAGTTATCTCCATTTTCAGTTAGTCCAAATTCTTAGAACTCTTGAATTTCTTATAAATAATCCGATAAATACTAGTTATATAGGAAAAATAGGAGAATTAAGTTAATATTTATATGACTCATGATTAAATTACAGATTTGATATTTGAGATCATATTTTTCAATATATCTTTGACTTCTGGGAATAGTTCTACTGTTTCTAAAATTTCATCATCTTATCTAATGATTTATTAGTTTTCTTTGATTAAACTCTCAAAATCCCTAATATATTTGTAAACAATAATACTTGCCCAGAATTTAAGTCCAACGATATCTTAAATACTTATAATAACGATTTTTGATAGTACTTAAGGTCTTTTATGGAAGGTATGAGGATATGACTTTGAATTTAGGTCCTATTTTAATTACAGAAGAGAGGATTAATCGATCTTCTTTTGGTGTAAAGGTTTCAGAAAGTGGAATTCTACTTCTTTGATTAACAACTGAACGTTTTAATGTATAGAATAGTCTTTTACGTTTGATTTTCTTCTTAATAGTTAACTTACATTTAGAATTCTTAGAAATAGTTTCTAATTAATATTATTTTTCTCTTTTAATCATATATCTGGTTGGGAGAGGAAGTGAGGGAATGGTTTTTGTTAGTGTTAAAACATTAGATATATCACCTGAAATAGACATTAATGTTGAAATAACTAAAAATTAAATTATATAGTATATCTGTTTTATTAGTATTAATTATAAAGATATTAAAATATATTAATATGATGACTTAATATAATTTATCATAATAATGATTTTGTCATTACTCTGTTTTATTGGATTTGTTGTAGGTTTCCCAAAAGAAGATGAAGTTGATGGATCAACATGGTCTAAGTTTAAGATTCCATTTTCTGGAAAGATGTAAGGAATAAGTTATAATAATTAGGTATTCTGGTTATTTACCAATCGATGACGCTGGTAAAAAGCAATTCCATTATTTTGCATTTCCAGCATTTAGTTTAGCTGGACCATTATAGGCTACATTTCCATTAGTATTGTGGTTAAATGGAGGTCCTGGATGTTCATCTCTTTATGGAGCAATGGTTGAAAATGGTCCATTCACAGTAGAATTAGGTACAAATAATTTTAAATAAAATCTATTCACATGGTTGAATTTTGTAATAATGAATTACTATTATGATAGGCTAATATGTTTTATTTAGAAAGTCCAGCAGGAGTAGGATTTTCTTTTGGAAATACAACCACAGATGATAAGAGTACAGCTAAGGATAATTTAAAAGCAGTATTAGAATTCTTTAAGAAATTCCCAGAATATAAAAGCATAGACTTTTATATAGCTGGAGAAAGTTGGGCTGGAATATACATTCCTACATTAGCAAATGAGATTATTGATTATAATTCTAATGCAGCACCAGGTGATAGAATAAGATTAAAGGGATTAATGATTGGTAATGGATGTACAGATCCTACAGAATGTACAGATCTAGGATTTAATTTCCCTGTTCATTTTTATAAATTCCTTCATAACCATGGATTTATTAGTGAAAAATTAAATGATAAAATTGAATAAATGACAAGTTATTGTCATATGAAAGCCTATCCAGAATGTATGGAAATCTATGGAGAAGTTATGGAATAAATTAATGGAGATGAGTAATAATACTTTATTTATTATTTTAGTGATTATTATTTTAATCCATATAATGTATATGGAAAATGTTATTAATTACCATTTTATAATGAGAATGGATAATTAATCAAAGGTAAAAGGTTCAAATTACATCCAATGAAAGAAGGTGTAGTTGGATAAGTTAATGAATGTTCAGAATCAGAAGCTTTATTCCTTTATCTTAATAATGCTGCTTTTAGAAAGGTTAACTATGTACATTTATTACTTAGGCACTTCATATTAGAGAGGATGCTGGCTATTGGAACGATTGCTCTAATATTGATTATAATAAAGATCCTGGTGCTACTTATCATTTATATCCTAAACTTTTAAAAAATGGAATCAGAATATTAAAATTCAGTGGAGATGTTGATGCTATTGTTCCTATTACTGGTACTTTGTATTGGATTGACAAATTGTAAAAAGAATTAAGTCATTAAATATTATTATCAATTTAGATCTACCTACTATTGAAGAATGGAGACCTTGGTATAAACCAGGAGAAAAAGGAACAGAACCATAAAATGCTGGTAATGTATGGGAAATTGATGGCTTAACCTTTGTATCTGTAAGAAATGCTGGACACATGGTACCTATGGACTAACCTGAAGCAGCTAGTATAATGGCTAGTCATTTCATATTTGAGATGCCTTTGCCATCAGATATACTGTGATGGATATATATATAAAGTGTTGCATTTATATAATTAATTAAATGGGTGCTTTGTGCCCTCGTTCAAATATTGAGGTCGTGCATGTTGAATAAAATTAGAATGAGATTATGATCGATCCTCAAGTGGAAATTGATACTCTTATTAATTAAGAAACAAACTATAAACTTAGTTTAAGTCGTAACTTTTCACTCAATAATCCGACTCTGTAAACTTGTGATTAAGTAATATAATCAATCCTCTCTATCTCACTTTCTTTTATGGTAAAAGATTTTTCAGAGCAGATAAATTTCTTGAAATTGTAAATACATAAACAGATACAAGAGCTCATAAATCATAAAATAGATTTTCAAGATGAGTTATTAAAAATGCTTGTGGATTATTATGAATTTCTTAGTTATGTTTAAGAGAATGGAGCAACTAAAGTAGTTACTTGGTGGAAAGAACCAAAAACTGTAGTGGATCTTTAATAAGCAATTAAACATTGGTCTCAATAATTCTTTAAATATGGAGGTCGTCTTAGAAGAGAAAAAGCATTTAGATAACTAAATTTTGAACCTAAAACTCCTGAACGTTTTGTAAAAACGCGAGAATGGATAAAAAAGTAAACAGAAGGTTAATAAGACTAACCTGAACCTAAATAAGTTTAAACAATTGAGCATAATGTATAAATTGAAGATGGTTTTTAAGAAATATGATAGTATATTTCATTATTAAAATTAAAATGAACGCTAATAATATATATGTACATATTCATACATAACATAACTCTTATTTTAGCCATCATTTGAAATGGACAGTGAATAACATTAATACATCAAATTAAAATTTGTAATCCTGGAAAAAGATTGGCCTTATCCAAACTTTGAAATAATTGTAGCTTACAATGATCCTCTGATGTTCATAAATAAAGAATTATAAGATAGACATGGTGGTATAACAGATATCAGATTATATCTAGATGCTGAAAAGTAAAATCAGTAAATTATTTATTGTAAATAGATTACAATACATATTCAATAAAAAAATAGGAGATGCTTTGACTATAAAAGGATCAAGTTCTCATGAAACTGCTCCTATTGTTACTATTTATTATGATTTTAAAAACGCAATAAAATCACCTGTTCAATTATTTTGATCATTATAAAATATAATAAACATGTAAATAAAATAGATAATAATATAAATCAATATCCTGGTGGGAATGGATTTTATGATTATTAAGTATAATCATCAGCAAATTTATGATTAACTTCTTTATGATGTTCTTCATCTTTTCTGATAGCTTTGACTACATCTAATAATGTTGCATTTTATGATAATTTCCAATATTCAATAGAATTTTAATGAGCTGGTCTAGTTTTCCATGAATGAATAGAACTGCCTTCCATTTCAATTTCATCAATCATATGAGTATAAGTTTTAACTGCTTCTTCTTCTAAATATCCAACTATTCTATGACATACTCTTGGTTATATCATATAAGCAATAGAATATAATGCAACATACCATAATTAAGCTAATATTACACCTGATCTAAATATTAATGATGGTTTTTTTATAGTAAGAAATGTTAATAAATGAACTCTTTCATTTTCTGCTTCTTCTAATAATGTATGTATCCAACCTAAATCTCTTTTCATCCCTCTTAATGATCTTAAATGTCTATGCATTCCTGCTACAAATCCTGGTACACCTGCTACTGTCTCTAAAAATAGAACTCTATTTATCCATTTCTTTTCTGATATTATATTGTCCTACCATGGAAATACTTTTCTATATCCACTTAAAACATCAAATCCTACTCTCATTGACTAAATAAATAAATGAGCAAATCTATCACCAAAAGTTATTGGTTATTTATGATCTATCTTAACATTGTTTACTTCCTCTTATTTCCATATAGGATGTGGCATTGCATATATTACATTCTTTTTATCCTAACCTTAAGGCTTAGTTGAACAAAAGGTTTTCCAAAATTGTTTATTAATTCTTAAAATCATAATTAAAATTGTAAATACTGTTTTAGATTTTTATATTGTGTAATAATGCGTAATAAAATATATAATAATTGTTTAATTATTGAATTGGAATTAATTAAAAATGTTTTCTATTTTTTTATTACTAGAATCACTAATAATACATTCTTTGAATATATATTTTAAAATTAATTTGATGTATTGAAACTTAAGAAACAATAAAGATAATGATATATGTTATAAACAATATAACTTACTAATATATGTATATAATGAATATAATAATAAAATCAACGCTTTGATTTTGGTTGCCATTAGTCTTTTTGAGACTGTTATTTATCTTCAGAATTATTGACTATTTCAGCATATACTTCAGAATTTGTATTAATGTTTTTTTATTCAATAAATGCTTTCTTATATTATTCCTCTCTTAATTTTCTTTATTCATAAAATGCCAACATCATTTTTTCTTATTATTCATCCCATTCTCTAGCTTTTTAAAAGCGTAATTATTCTTGTTTATAACTAAATATTAGATAATATTAGTTACAATAATTCAACTTATTCTTCAGTAGGTGGTTATTCTATTCTTTTATAAAGCCAATCATAATATGCTAAATCATTAACTATTCTCTCCTTATCATCTTTAAAACGAATCTAAAGGTATTATAGGATTGTATATTACTTCTCTTCTAGTAGGTAAACCATAATAAGAATAATATTGATAAAACTTATTACCCATGCGATCTTGTCCTACACAGATTCTATTAAGTTTTTAGTCTTCTAATTCTTCTTTAAATTAGGCATATCTAAGATATAGCTTAGTAGATTTGAGGGCACTTTTGAGAGCTTGGTATCGTAAATATATTTTATATAAACTATTCATATGAATGAGAAGAAAGATGTTTGAAAAGAGAATAATACTTACCATAAATAAATTTACCTTTTTTTGTGTTATTCATGATGATGATCACTCATTTATGTTTCTTTTTAGATTTTTCTCTCTTTTTGTTCTTCTTAAATTCACTCTCGTCTCTCTTCTTATGTTTTTTAGCACTCTTAGATCGAGATCTTTGTTTTTTCGATACTTTTCCTTCATCTATAAATAATGAAATAGATATATGAAACAACCTTTTTTATTTTTACGTCTTTTATCTTCTTCATCCTTCTCTAGTTATTCATCTTTAGTCTTCTTTTATACTTCTTCACTCTTTGATCTTCTCAATTCTCCTAATCCACCTCCCAAATAACGTGGTCTCCATTTAAGAATTGTTCTACCTCTCTCTATATCTACAATCACTTTACGACCATCAATACGCTTATCTACTGCATATTTATATGCTGATTTTACACTGTTCTTACTTTCATACTCTTTTATTTATGATCACCTACTTACCAATGAATGCATAGCCTCTAGCTTTATCATTTATTTAATCTCGAACTATTCTTACTGATTTTATTGGACCATATTCTTCAAATTCTTTACGTAATTTCTTATCTGTTGTTACAAAATTTAATCTTCCAACAAATAATGTTTTATATGGGTCAGATGTAATATTTCCATCTTCAAATGGATTCCATTTTTACAATCGCATCTTCACTTACTCCCCATGTTATTTCTATTATTCTAATTTCTTTTAAATTTTAATAGGTATCTTTGATGGTTTTACAATATCTACATAATCATTATTAATCTTACCTTTTTCTCTTTCTTCCCTTTCCATCTACTCATATTCATCTTCAAATTTATCTAACATCCATTCTGCTTTTCTTCCAACACTTAAAATTGGATCATAAGGTCTACATTTTGGTTTTAATTAAGATCTTATATGAGCAATTTATGGAATGACAAAGATTGGTTACATCTTTAGATTAAAATAGAATACATACATCTGGTGGGAAATCAGGTTTACGTATATTAGCTGCTTATTAAACTTAGATTGGATTATTCATAGCATGAGCAAGTGGCATCATAGGAGTAGGTGCTTGATAATACATATTTAATAAATTAAATAATAATGTAATGGGAATTATTACCTAGTGATGTAAATGATTACTCACCAAGAACAGGACATACAGTGATAGCATATAAAGATTGTATATATGTATTTGGAGGGATTGATGAATAAGATAGATAGAATGATATGTATAAATATTAAAAAGGATGGACAAAGTTGAAATTATAAGGAGAGATTCCATCAGCAAGATCTGGATCATTAGGATGTGTATATGAAGATTAATTTTATTTATTTGGAGGTTACACATGGAAACATGGAGAATATTTTAATGATTTATTTCGTTTTAATCCTTAAAATAATATATGGGAAAAGATAACTCCAAAAACATAAGCACCTCCAGCAAGAGTTGATCATTCATTTACAATATAAAAGAATTTATGTTATATATTTGGAGGATCAAATGGTCAAAAACGATTTAATGATTTACATGAATTAAATTTAAGTACTTTAGAATGGAAAGCATTAAGTTAAGTTAGATAATTAAGTGCCCGTTTAGGACATACAATAACATCATATTAAAATGAATTATATTTATTTGGTGGATGGGATGGTAATAATACATTAAATGATTTATGGGTATATTCAAATAGTAATGGTACTTTTCAGACAGTGAAATAATAAAACCCACCAGCCGGAAGATATAGACATACAGCAAATGTATATAAGGGATTTCTATTTATTTTTGGAGGAGTAGATTAGAATTAGGAAAGATTTAATGATTTATAAAGATTTGATTTTTAGACATCTATATGGAGTAGAATAGTAGTTTAAAATCCTCCATCGCCTCGTTCTTTTCATAAATGTGTTGTATTAGGTAATTATTTATATTTGGTTGGTGGATTTGATGGTTAAAGAAGAAATGATGTACATAGAATAAATTTAGATTCAGAGAATGGTAGATAATAGATTGAATAAATAAGATAGGCACCTCATTTAATGTGGATATAACTAGATCTTAAAGATCGTTTTACACCAAGAACTGGACATACTGCTTGTGTACTTTAAAATAAAATATATTTATTTGGAGGCGTAGATTAATCTGGTAATATTAATAATGATTTAAATTGTTTTGATGGCAATTCTTGGTCAGTAATTATAACTCAAGGTTAAATACCATCAGCTAGATCTGGAGCTAAAATGGTTGCTGTTGATGATTAATTAATGTTATTTGGTGGATATGTTTAAACATAAAGTTAAATCTATTGTAATGATTTGTATAGATTTAATATTAAAACTAATACATTCATTAAAGAAATATAATAAAATACTAATCCTGCTAAAAGAACTGATCATTCCTTAGTTGAATATTGTAATGGAATCTATATTTTTGGAGGAAAAGGAGAAAATAAATAAATTTTTAATGATGTTTGGAAATTTAAACAATCATGGATTGAATTAGATCATGATTAATAAATTACTGGAAGATTTGGTCATACTTCTGTACCATATTAAAATTCAATGTTTATTTTTGGTGGATGGGATGGAACTAGTTGTTTAGATGAAATGTATGAATATTCATTTGTTACTAATACCTTTTATGAAATTAGAAGATGCAGTGGATAAAAACCTAAAGCCAGATATAGACATGAAGCATTAGTTTATAATTCAAATATGTTTCTATTTGGTGGTGTAGATCATTTATAAATTAGATATAATGATTTACATTAATATAATTTTAAAAAAAGAGAATGGATTAAAATTAATACATCTGGAAGTATTCCATCAGCTAGAACTTTTCATAAATTAGTTAATCTTGAAAATCAATTCTTTCTATTAGGTGGATATGATGGATAAAGATTAAATGATATGTATACCATCTTTGTCACTAAAACTGAAAAAATCAATTTCACTTATCCTTAAGAAGATTCCTCAATTCTTTAAGATGAAGAAGTTGTCACCCTCAAAGAATAAGTTAAAGAATTAACTAATAAAATTTAAAGAGAAGAAGAAAAACATCTCTGTAAAATATGTTTCATTAGATAAATTGATAGTGTTCTTATGGAATGTTGTCATTTCATACTTTGCTTTAATTGTACTGAAAATCTTAAAAATGTATTACTTTTATATATATACATATATAGTGTCCTATTTGTAGATAAGTTATAACCAGAGTAATTAAAACAAGTATGTTTTGATTTAACTATTATTTTTATTTTTATTATTATTAAATCATTAAAAAAAATAGAATTATTTAAATTCTTATTGATTTTCAATTAAATCATTAATTATAATCAATCCATTATTAAAATCAATCCTATGATTCTTATGAATTTTTATCCTTTATTTAAATTATAATTGCCTTAATGTACTATATTTATCATACATTATAAATTTGCAACTTTATTTTTGTTTCGTCTGCAAGCTAATTTATATTTTAGTTTGAAATAAATTAACTTTTCTTCAAACATTTCCAACAAGAATTTTCGTAAATTTTTACTAAATTTACTTACCTTTTTGTAAGAGGATATAATAAATTTTATAATTTTTATTAAAAAAAAATCTATAATTGAAATCGTAAAAATAATGAATTCAAAGTATAAGATTAATTATAAATTTATATAATCTAATTAACTAATATAATAAAGATGATAAGATAATAAATTAGATAAAAAACATAAATGTGTTATACTCTCATAATTATAGTATGAGAATAATTGAATGTCTTAGATATAAATAAGCTATAAATATAAATTATTTAGGAAAAAAGTGAAAGATAAAGTTGAATTCCAGAATATCAAAAATTATTATCAAATAATTATATTAATTAAAAATTTAATTCTTCTTAAATACTTAAAAATAAGAAAATAATGATTTAGTATAGTATAGGAGATGTATTATTGTAATTAAATTTATACATTAATTTGAAATGTTCTAATAAAGTTCAAATTATTTATAGCATTTTAATAAATAAAATTAATATTATAAAAAAATTAAATGCTTCAATCTTTTATATGTTAAATAAAAAAATATAGGCGTCTAATAAAAAAAAATTATATTTTTACTTCAATATGTTTATTGATCAACTTATCTAATTAAAATGGTAATACAATATTAAAACCTTTTGATTTTAATTGGTTTATAAATAATTAGGTTAATTATATTTGGGATTATTGTTCTATCTTATTCTAATTAATTTGCTTACATTTAATATTTTGATTATAAATAACAAATCATATAAAATTAGAAAGAATTGTACAAGTCTATTTTTAGATTTTTAGTATTTATAAAATTATATTTTATATGTATTTATTCAAAAGCTGAAAAATTTTAAAGGAAATTATATAATTAGTTTTGTAGTTATTTTTAGACACATTAGATCTTATATTTTAATTGTCAATTTAATGAACGAACAATAAGGATGGTGAGATTATTATTTAATATAAATATAAAATTCTTTTTTATCATTCTATTCTAAAAACTTCTGAGATGACAAAAGATTAATAAAAAGAGATGGTTTTTCTTTTTACATTAGAACCAAATAATAATTTTTACTCCATATTTATATTTTTTTTCAAAATTAATTAATTAAAAAAATCTATGCTAAATATTTTAAAAAATATTGATTTATTTGGAGTACCATTTATATAAGGAATAGACCAAAAGTAGTCTAAATATTAGAGCATATTCGGTGGAGTATTATCCTTATTAATTTTTTCATTCAGTTTTGGATATGCTATTTGGATTATTTATTTATGGCAAACAAAATAAATGAATCCTAAAGTATCAACTTCCAGATTTGTTTCTGACTACTCAGCCCTTAATCTCAATAATGACTTCATTAAACTATATTATTGGTAGTATGATGATAATCTAATTGATCCTTTTTAAACAAAAATTCTCTTGCCTCTGGTTATTTACAATAGATAAAATTAGTTAACATAACCATAGCTTATAACAAATTAAACAGTTACTAGTCATGGGAATACATATATACCAAAAATAGAATTAGGTTTTTCAAATATAGATGGAGAAATATATACATCTGAAGAAATGTATATATAAATAGTATTCTGCTCAGAAATTTATCTAAAGTCAGATGAGAAGTGTGCATCTGAAGAGCTAATTTAACAATTTTTTAAATAAGCTTCTAATTTGGTTGTGGTTCAAATTTATTCAACGACTTTGAATTCTAGAGATGGATCAGAATAAATTGGATTATAAGAATTCTATATTTAGATAGAAGAAAAATTTTGTTATACAATGAATACATTTTTAGAAACAAATTTATATGAACTCTAGGATTATTTTTTATTTGGAACATCTTAATTTAAGGAATATGTTTCTGGAGCTGTAGTACAAACCTAAACAAGTTCATCTGAGTATTGTTATAAGAATTTTAATAATAATGCACTTTCTTTAATATATTTGGGAATGAATGGAAATCAAATGAAAACTATATTTGAGTATCCTCGTATTGGAGATATTTTGGCAAATATTGGATCTATCATATCACTATTATTCATGAGTAAATATGTAATTATTATTTTAAACCAATATTCTTTAAAATAAAGAATAATANTTTAAAGGAAATTATATAATTAGTTTTGTAGTTATTTTTAGACACATTAGATCTTATATTTTAATTGTCAATTTAATGAACGAACAATAAGGATGGTGAGATTATTATTTAATATAAATATAAAATTCTTTTTTATCATTCTATTCTAAAAACTTCTGAGATGACAAAAGATTAATAAAAAGAGATGGTTTTTCTTTTTACATTAGAACCAAATAATAATTTTTACTCCATATTTATATTTTTTTTCAAAATTAATTAATTAAAAAAATCTATGCTAAATATTTTAAAAAATATTGATTTATTTGGAGTACCATTTATATAAGGAATAGACCAAAAGTAGTCTAAATATTAGAGCATATTCGGTGGAGTATTATCCTTATTAATTTTTTCATTCAGTTTTGGATATGCTATTTGGATTATTTATTTATGGCAAACAAAATAAATGAATCCTAAAGTATCAACTTCCAGATTTGTTTCTGACTACTCAGCCCTTAATCTCAATAATGACTTCATTAAACTATATTATTGGTAGTATGATGATAATCTAATTGATCCTTTTTAAACAAAAATTCTCTTGCCTCTGGTTATTTACAATAGATAAAATTAGTTAACATAACCATAGCTTATAACAAATTAAACAGTTACTAGTCATGGGAATACATATATACCAAAAATAGAATTAGGTTTTTCAAATATAGATGGAGAAATATATACATCTGAAGAAATGTATATATAAATAGTATTCTGCTCAGAAATTTATCTAAAGTCAGATGAGAAGTGTGCATCTGAAGAGCTAATTTAACAATTTTTTAAATAAGCTTCTAATTTGGTTGTGGTTCAAATTTATTCAACGACTTTGAATTCTAGAGATGGATCAGAATAAATTGGATTATAAGAATTCTATATTTAGATAGAAGAAAAATTTTGTTATACAATGAATACATTTTTAGAAACAAATTTATATGAACTCTAGGATTATTTTTTATTTGGAACATCTTAATTTAAGGAATATGTTTCTGGAGCTGTAGTACAAACCTAAACAAGTTCATCTGAGTATTGTTATAAGAATTTTAATAATAATGCACTTTCTTTAATATATTTGGGAATGAATGGAAATCAAATGAAAACTATATTTGAGTATCCTCGTATTGGAGATATTTTGGCAAATATTGGATCTATCATATCACTATTATTCATGAGTAAATATGTAATTATTATTTTAAACCAATATTCTTTAAAATAAAGAATAATAAAAGAATTGATATCATTTTATTATCCGTAATTTAAAAATGTTTGTATCACCAAAAATTGGAGATAAAAAATTGTTATGGTTAAGATAAATCAAATTGATTTAGATATAAAAGAATTTAAAAAATTTTACGACAGAGCCCAGGAATAAATGTAATAAAAATTAAGTTATCTAAATTTATTATATGAAATATCTCGATTATATTTTATTATAAGGTCATCTAAATCTAGAGAAGAGCTTTTAAAATCTCATCATATTGGAATTAAAATAAATCATAATTAAACTAGGGAATAGGATGTTAATTCAAATTACAAATCAGTGTATTAAGCATAATCAAGTCGAGAAAATATCTAATTAAATGAAGATGATGCAGAAATATTATCATTATAAAAAAAGAGATCAGAAAATAATTATAATCTTATTCCAGAAGAAATATTTAATGAAACCGATTTTTATGTAGCCAATAAAATAGAATGATTATTTTATAATATTTTTATATTACATATTATTATATCACTATATAAAGATTTGATGCCTTCAATTAATGGTTTACCTCCTAATAATCAAGTAATTTTAACTCTGATTCTATGTGGAAATTTTTTAATTTATCTAGGTATGATTTGAAATATGTATCTTAATACAATTTAAATAAAAATTCAATAGCAAAATTTCTAATAAATTAAAGAGAAATTTATAAAAATTAGAATATTTCATAAATAAAATCTTTGAATTTTTTATATTAAATTTATTTAAATAATTATAATTTTTTATTGCAAATTAATCTTATTAATATGATATTTTATATTTAAAAAATAATCTAAAATTTAATATAAATAAAATATAAAAGTATATTATTTGTCCAATTATTTAAACCTCTATTCTAAATGTATATTTTAAATTATTAATTTACTTTGAATTTCTAACTATGTTTATTTTAATAATAATCATTTTCTCATTTATTTTATTTTCTAAGCACACGAAAATAAAAAAATAATTCATATATTATTTTAGCAAATTAATAATGAGAATATGTTTGAAAATAAATTAAAAATTCTTATTGATCAATATTTTAAAATCATTTCAAATAAACTTTATTATGCATGTTTTCTGCCACTTCCTTAAAATAGTTAACAACAGAAAAATTATTATGTTTACTAAGACAAGAAATACAATTATATAATGGTATAACTTATAAGGTTAATTATTATAATTTTACCTATTAGTTGAATTGAATATGTAATGTCAATATCATAAATATTGTTTATTTGAATATTTAAAATAAAATATAATCAAATCAACTTTTTAAGAAAATGATGAGTTAATTAAATCTATTTTAAGTATATTTGAATATATTAAAGTTTTATAATTTGAAGCAATTAACTACGTTAATAAATGGTTGGAGAAACTTCAAAAATCTGGTAAAATTGAATTTTCTATAAACAATATAGCTCATATTTAAAATATTGCTTCTAAATATATCTCAATTAATGATGAATTAATGTTTACAAATAATAAGACCATATTAATTGTATTCTCAAAAATAATATTATGATAATTTGTAATTGAATTATTGTACTATTTTAATTACAATTATACATTTAGAAGAGCAATAAAAAATTTAAGAAATTTAATTTTGAAATCTCTTTTTTTTATGGGAAGGAACTTCCTTGAAATCATTTATAAAATTTTATTATCTAACTGTTCCATCTTTTCTATGAAAACGATCTTTAAAGAAATCTTTAACATTTTCAATATGAGTTTTCAAAATATTAAAACCTTTTTTTTTTGGATATTAAAATTTTGCAATTTCCTTATAGAGATGATTAAATGTTTATAAAAATGCTAAGTTCTTAACAGTTTTAAAATCTTTAAAAATAAAAAGAACTGACAACATTAACATTCGTATGTTTTCAGGAATATCTTCAATTTTTCTATTATTTCTTTAATAGAAATCATATAATTGTATTTCAAATTAGTCTAAATCAGTTTCTAAATATTTATCAGCTTAATCTTATGTTATTTTATGTTTCTTTGGGTCAATTTAAATTTAATCTTTTAAAAGCGGATGATTATAACCAATAATATATCCTAAATAATTAGGTAAATTTAGAAAAGGATGTAGATCACAATAAAAATACATTGTTTTATTATTATTATCTGCTTATTTTGTTTATGTTGCAAATTTCAATTTGATAAATGCAATAAGTTCCTTTCTTAATGATGAATTTTTTGATATTTCAATACAATTATCATGTAAAAAGAATGATCCTGACATTGATCTTGGTCCTAATTTATTACATTAATGACATTTTATACATTCTTTACAATAAATTTAATTTTCAATCTATTACAGAGTATTATTATAAAACTTTTAACATTTAGAACATTTTTAACCTTTACAACTTTAACAAATGATATTTACTTCATCTACTTATATTTCACATTATTCTAATTCTTATTTACATTTTTAACATTATTATTTTTATTATAATAAACTAGTATCTAAGGATTTCTGTATTTAGGATTCTATATTCTGTTAAGAAATTTGATTATTAAAATTATTCTTAAATGGAACACTAATTTTATAATTATTCTATATTTTAACTTATCTAATTATTGGTAATTATTAATTAAGTCAATTAATCTTATTGACATTATATTTATTTGATCATAATTATTAGTTCTTAAACTAACCTTATAGAATTTTTCTACTTTATTGAATCATTTTTAAATAGCTTTAATGTTATCAAATAATCAATGCATAGTTAAGATCAGAAGGATTATTGTATCTGATAAATGCTAGTTATGCTCGTTTACAAAACAATCATCACAATAAAGTAGTTTTTTATTAAAGGAATTATTTAAACAAACACCATATGATTCTTTATTTTCATGAATTGAACAATAAGATGATGACAGTTTACAACTTTCCATAATATTAATATTGCTTTAAAATAACTATTTTTCTATTAAAATATTTGACTTTATANTTGATAAATGCAATAAGTTCCTTTCTTAATGATGAATTTTTTGATATTTCAATACAATTATCATGTAAAAAGAATGATCCTGACATTGATCTTGGTCCTAATTTATTACATTAATGACATTTTATACATTCTTTACAATAAATTTAATTTTCAATCTATTACAGAGTATTATTATAAAACTTTTAACATTTAGAACATTTTTAACCTTTACAACTTTAACAAATGATATTTACTTCATCTACTTATATTTCACATTATTCTAATTCTTATTTACATTTTTAACATTATTATTTTTATTATAATAAACTAGTATCTAAGGATTTCTGTATTTAGGATTCTATATTCTGTTAAGAAATTTGATTATTAAAATTATTCTTAAATGGAACACTAATTTTATAATTATTCTATATTTTAACTTATCTAATTATTGGTAATTATTAATTAAGTCAATTAATCTTATTGACATTATATTTATTTGATCATAATTATTAGTTCTTAAACTAACCTTATAGAATTTTTCTACTTTATTGAATCATTTTTAAATAGCTTTAATGTTATCAAATAATCAATGCATAGTTAAGATCAGAAGGATTATTGTATCTGATAAATGCTAGTTATGCTCGTTTACAAAACAATCATCACAATAAAGTAGTTTTTTATTAAAGGAATTATTTAAACAAACACCATATGATTCTTTATTTTCATGAATTGAACAATAAGATGATGACAGTTTACAACTTTCCATAATATTAATATTGCTTTAAAATAACTATTTTTCTATTAAAATATTTGACTTTATATATGATTATGTATTATAACTCTATTACTTTTCCTAAAATTGATTATATTATAAATTTAGAAATAAAAAAATCAATAAATCATTAGCAAATTAAATTAGGAAATACTTTCTCTAATTTTGTGAAAGTGAATGAATAATAAACAAATAATCATCAATTTTCATAATTGAGTTTCATAAAATAGAATTTATTGATTAATTTGAAAATAAAAATAAAAACATGATAGTTTATTCTTTTTTAGAGTATTAAAACTGAAAAATTAATTATATTTAGACTTTAAAAGTTAAGTAGTCAAATTACTAATTTTAGATGGAAATTCCTAAAATAGGGCAACATATATAGCTTTATTATTTTATGGTAAATTAAATTTATGTGACAATTTTTTAAAAACATAAATCTTAAAAGTCTTGAGCTAATTTTAAGGATGAATCTGAACTATAAAATTGAACACTATTTTAGTAATTATTCAGATTAAGAATAATAATATTATATTTTCTTTTATTCGTAAGAACTCTCATTTAATAAAGATTTAAAATTAAAAATTCAATTTGATTTGTTTATTTTAAAATCTATAACAAATTATAAAATTTATCATCTCCTTATATAATAAGTGAAATTAGTTACAAATTTAGAATATTTTTTGAGATGTTATAATAGATAAAACATAATTTTAGCTCCAAATTAATGTAAAATAAATGTAGTAAATTAAGTCATCTATAATTTAAGTACCTCTATCGTTTTTAGAGAATAACATTCTCCAAGGATGGAAGATTGCTTTTAATAATCAATTGATTATAATTCTTTTATGGAGCATCGATAGTAAGGTATTTCCTTCATCTTTTGCTATTTTGATTTAGACTTTAAATAATTTTATTTTTACTTTAATTGTTTAATAAGAATAACAATAATAGTTAAATCACAAAATTTTTGTTTTAATTTCTCTGCTTATAACTTACTATTATTCAGTCATCAAATATACACAAATAATCCGATTTTAAGATTTCAGTAAAATTAAAGCAGAGTATGAAATGGAAACATTCTATAAGAACAAATAGTTTTTTTCTACTTCATTTAAGTAGATGAAGTAAATATCATTTGTTAAAGTTGTAAAGGTTAAAAATGTTCTAAATGTTAAAAGTTTTATAATAATACTCTGTAATAGATTGAAAATTAAATTTATTGTAAAGAATGTATAAAATGTCATTAATGTAATAAATTAGGACCAAGATCAATGTCAGGATCATTCTTTTTACATGATAATTGTATTGAAATATCAAAAAATTCATCATTAAGAAAGGAACTTATTGCATTTATCAAATTGAAATTTGCAACAAAAACAAAATAAGCAGATAATAATAATAAAATAATGTATTTTTATTGTGATCCATATCCTTTTCTAAATTTACCTGATTATTTAGGATATATTATTGGTTATAATCATCCGCTTTTAAAAGATTAAATTTAAATTGGCCCAAAGAAACATAAAATAACATAAGATTAAGCTGATAAATATTTAGAAACTGATTTAGACTAATTTGAAATACAATTATATGAATACTATTAAAGAAATAAGAGAAAAATTGAAGATATTCCTGAAAACATACGAATGTTAATGTTGTCAGTTCTTTTTATTTTTAAAGATTTTTAAACTGTTTAGGAATTAGCATTTTTATAAACATTTGATCATCTCTATTATTAAATTGATAAATTTTAATATCCAAAAACAAAAGGCCCTAATATTTTGAAAATTCAAATTGAAAAAGTTTTAGATTTCTTTAAAGATCGTTTTCATAGAAGAGATGGAACAGTTAGATAATAATATTTTATAAATGATTTCAGGAAGATCCTTCCCATAAAAAAAAGAAATTGATTTATTATCCCCATAAATATCAAAATAAAAATATTTTTATCTCCTTTCATTAATTTTTATTTATCATTCTTCCATTTGATTTTGTGAAAAATATATATTTATTTTCTCAAACAATTTTACTACTTTTACCAGGTCAATTTTTCATTTCTAATTTCCAAAAAAAACAATTAATAATAATAATAGTTTCTTCAATGTTTATTATATTTTTTTTTAAGTCATTTTAATGAAAAACTGATAAAAAGTATTTTTTATATTGTAAAATTACGAACTTTATTAATAAACAAACATAAATATTAATCATTTCCTTGGTTATCCATTAGAACAACGATATAAAGTCTTAAAAAAAGAGCAAATCTCTTTTAAATATGTTTTCTTTTCACATAAATGTTTAGTTTTATTTGAGCATAACTTTAAACCTTCTATTTTTTTGTATAACTCTTAATAATCTTTGTTGATAAATATTTCAGAGATTGATTTTTCATTCTTTTCTATAAAAACTACTAATACAATAAGCATTTTCATATTTTCAGGATAATTATTTAAATTTATCCTTAAATGTTATAAATAGTTTTCTACTATATTTTAGAAATATGTTAAATCCAAAAGTAATTATTAATTTGCTTCTTCATAAGTAATTCTTTCATCATTTACATATTCCTTTTTGGTTATTAAATGGAAATATCCAATTTTATAATTTGTATATTCGTCAGGAATTGAACAATTATATTTTTGAGCATTAAAATAGTTACCAGATTATTAAGGTGAAATAAATTTAGATTTTATAAATTAAAAAATTTTTTCTTTAAGGGAAAATTAGTTATTCCACTCTACCTTATTACTCTTTTAATTAGAAATATTGTAATTGGGAAGAATTCCATTTCTTTTTTATATGATAATTAATGATCCTGGTTATTCTAAACTTTTTTAGGAATTAATACTAAATCTTTATTCTGGAAGCTCATTGTTATTAAATAAAAATAATGAAGCTGAATGATTTAATTTTAATTATCTATCTAATTATTAAGGCAATTCATTTTATATTTTAATATTGCTATTATTCGATATTTGTGAATCTTAGTATTCATAAAAAGATTCAATTTTTGTTTTAATTTCCTTAAATTTTTAACTAAATTCATCATTAGAAATATCCTTTATTTTTAAAAATGCTTCTTCAATTTATTTAACAATTAGGAGCTCATTTATAAAACGATCATAATCTTTATTTCCTAAATTTTAAAACTCTTGTCTTTTTATTTTGGATAAATACTCCTTTGAGTTCTAAATTATTTGTTCCAATTCTTTAAGTTAATTTAAAAATTGAATAATTACTCCAATACTTTATATCGTATTTTCTATTATTTCTTCACAATTTCTTAGTTAATTTTTTAAATATCGTAACCCTTAAATATCATAATTATGAGTCGAATGAAACTCTTTTACACAATCCAAACAACATAATCTTTTATTTCTACATATTTCATTTGTACACACACCAACAATTTACTAATTTTCATGATTTTCTTATTGACAATACAATTCTATCATTAAAAATATTTATATAAGAAATAATTAAATTGTCTATTAAAATATGATCACTTATTCTTTTAAAAAATTAATTATAGAATATTGATCATGTATTTTCAATTAATAACCATAAAGAATATCTTTAAATCAAAAATTAAGACATAAAACTTGTAGTTTTTATTTGAAGTTTATTCAACAAAAAATTTTTTCTTGATTTCACTCAATTTTTTGATCTTAGAACTATTTTTAAAACATAAGAAGATTTTGTACCTTAATTATAATAATTACAATCCCGATACTTAAGTTTAAGATAAAATTAGATAATAAATATAGATAATCATACTAAGTTGATTTTGAAATAATATTAATAATAAGCAAGAATCCCTATTACTTTATAAATTCATAATATAAAATATTCTTAATTTTTTCGATTTTATTCTATTGAATTGATATGAACTGAAAACTTTAAAATTTTATTAAAAAAAGGAGAAGAAAGTTTTTTGTTTTCTAAATAGCTTTGATAATAATTTGGTTGATAATTATTAACAAATACATCAATTTTATTTATTCGCATGTGGATGTGGATCTCGTAGAAAAATAAAAAGTACTTTATATAAGTGGATGATTCGCAGCCTATGCAGCCTATGATATATCAAATCTTTATTTAGGATCAATCACCAATATGGAATTAATAAAATCTTAGGCTGCATCTGTGATTTTTTAGGGTCTATTGTCAAATTAAATTGTTTAACTTCTTCTATGAAGTTAAAACATAAGTTCAAGTACTTTAGGATTCTTAGCATTAAATGGTACCTTTCCTATTTATTTCATAATTTCATACCAAACAACATTTCATAAAATACTATACCAAGTGCCCATAAATCTGTTTTTGAAGAATATTGATAATAAGAATATATTTCAGGGGCCATGTATAATGGAGTTCCTATTTATAAAACTTCTCTACATATACTAAATACATACTTTGTATAACGTGGATTTAAATCAATTGCAAATCCAAAATCTGCTAATTTAGGTATTTAATTTGAAACTAAAATATTTTATGTCTTAATATCTCTATGGACAATATTTCTTTCCTTTAAATAAAGTAAGGCTTTAATAAGATACTTTAAAATCTTTACTGCATTATGTTCTGGTAGATATCCTTTTTTTTCTATTATAGATTGTAAATCACCTAAAAAATATAATGATTATTTACCATCAAAACATATTCAGTTACAATATAGATATCATTTATTGTTTCAAGGTATTTGTATAATTTAAGCAAACATTTATTATCCACTGATTTAAGGATATTTATTTCATTAACTAATAAATTTCGAAAAATTTAATTGTTTTAAATGCTTTTCCTATCAATAATCTTGATAGCCACAATCTCATTTGTATTTTAATTCAGACCTTTATAGACTGAACTGAATTCTCCTGTTCCAATCACATCATTTAAATTATAAACATATTCACCAATTTCTTTCTAAATAATTTATATAATTAATACTAGTATGCCTGTAGAATTTTAAAATGATTTATTCTCAAACTTGATCATATGGACTAGAAGATGAACCCTCTATTTTTTTAATGCTTTAAGGTTGTTAATTTAATTGTTATTATTACATATAATAATTATTAATATTTATAATAATCTGATATAATAATAGTCAACTACATAAGAAGGGAGAATTATTGATAATATAATATTGAATGATAAATAAAATCAATTTCTTTTTTTTGTGGGAAGGATCTTCTTGATATCATTTATAAAATTTTATTATCTAACTGTTCCATCTTTTCTATGAAAACGATCTTTAAAGAAATCTAAAACTTTTTCAATATGAGTTTTCAAAATATTAGGGCCTTTTGTTTTTGGATATTAAAATTTTTCAATTTCCTTATAGAGATGATTAAATGTTTATAAAAATGCTAAGTTCTAAACAGTTTCAAAATCTTTAAAAATAAAAAGAACTGCCAACATTAACATTCGTATGTTTTCAGAAATATCTTCAATTTTTCTATTATTTCTTTAATAGAATTCATATAATTGTATTTCAAATTAGTCTAAATCAGTTTCTAAATATTTATCAGCTTAACCTTATGTTATTTTATGTTTCTTTGGGTCAATTTAAGTTTTATCTTTAAAAAGTGGATGATTATAACCAATAATATATCCTAAATAATTAGGTAAATTTAGAAAAGGATATGGATCACAATAAAAATAAATTGTTTTATTATTATTATCTGCTTATTTTGTTTTTGTTGCAAATTTCAATTTGATAAATGCAATAAGTTCCTTTCTTAATGATGAATTTTTTGATATTTCAATACAATTATCATGTAAAAAGAATGATCCTGACATTGATCTTGGTCCTAATTTATTACATTAATGACATTTTATACATTCTTTACAATAAATTTAATTTTCAATCTATTACAGAGTATTATTATAAAACTTTTAACATTTAGAACATTTTTAACCTTTACAACTTTAACAAATGATATTTACTTCATCTACTTATATTTCACATTATTCTAATTCTTATTTACATTTTTAACATTATTATTTTTATTATAATAAACTAGTATCTAAGGATTCTTATGTTGATAAACTATCGAGACTATCATTTCTTTATATTTTAGCCTCTAAATTTTCTTAATTCAATTCTACAATTTGCTTACTTGGATCATTTTCTAATTCTTGTGTCTTATTCTTCAATTCATCATTTATCTCATCAGTACAACCATCTATGCCTCCTCTTATATCAATGATTTATTTATCATCTTCTACATTTAATTTTAAATTTGGACTTTTAAAAGGTTAATAATTTGGAATGAGATTCTAATTAAATATTTCTTCAATAAATTTATAATTCATTGGAATTCCTTTTTCAAACATATATTTAGCTAAATAATTAGCCATTAAAACTTGTCTTAATCTAAATAGAACAGGATATTTTTCTCCTATTGAATCATAAATTTTAGCAAATTATTTAGCAAATCTATATGCACCATTATTTTCATCTTATATAACTTCATCTTATAATTATTCATTTACAACTTTTGCATCAACAGCCATATCAATTTTTTCAATTACTAATTTGTGTATATGATTGTGTTTATCTTCTATTATGTTTAATTTTAATTTTCCAATTTTAAGGAATAATCTAGCAAAATATTCTGGATCTAACTTATATAATGGTTATATATCTAAATTTCCATATTCAAAAGGACGAGTTTATAATGGTTCTCTTTATAAGACTTCTATTCCTAAACTCATTTATTTTAAAAGAAAATCAGCTTAATATAATACTTCTCCAACTGTTGTTCCTTCTAAATATTAAGGAAAATAAATCTTTTATTAAAAAGGTTGATTCATTTCTTAATCATTTTCTTCAGGTTCTAATGAAAATGTCATATCAATTTAATATTCTGCAAATTATGGATCATAATAAACTTTTAAAAATGTTATTAAATCTGATATCTATATCTTAGTCTATGCTTATTCATCAAGAACAAAACTAAAATTGTTTTCAGTAATTTTAACACCAACAATGTTATTTAAATTAGGATTTTACCAAAAATTATTATTAATTTTAGGTTAAAATCTATAAGTAGATGAAATTTTATTTAGGAATGCATTAATTTCATCTTGTCTACATAAATAATGAGCATTAACTTTTTCATTTGGTCTATAATATATGTAACTCTCTAAAATAGCTTCTTATATTTTATTTTCTAATGCAAGATCAATTGATTTTTTATATAATACTAATGGCCAATTTCTAAAAGATAAATCTATTAATAATAATTATGCTTATGATGTAAGATCGTCAAAGTTTGCAGTCGGATATTCTTATTTTAAAAATCTTCTTAATTTTAAGCAATTTGAATCATAATCAGCCATAAATAAATAATTAACTTATCCATCTGTTAAACCATTTTTATATGCTAATACTTCTTTTGGATTACATATATGAGAATATCCAATTATTTAATATTCTTGATCACTTACATTTACAGGATACCATTTATTTTATTCCTGATTATAGCTGATCAAATCATATTTTCTTCCTTCTTAATCTCTTAAAAATTCTAACCATTCAACACTTTTATGATTACAAGATTCTAAATTAGTATCAATAGCAAATATTAAAAATAATTCCAATGTTTAATATCTATCATTAACTATTTCAGTTGCTATTGCTAGATCTTCTTCATTTACTTAAGGTATTTCCAATTTCCAAATACCTTGTTTTTTTCCATTTCCTTATTCATCAAAATGTTCTTCGAAAAACTTTTTTTCCTCCAAGTATTTTACTTATAAAATATTGTTTTAATTTTCATTGTTAATGTGCTTTCTTTTATTAAATTACAATGCTTTATAGAAATTGTTATTTTAGCATTCTTAAATCAATTTAGAATAATGCAAAACTCTGCCTGTATTAATCATAATTGATAAAAGTAGATATTAGCATCCTAAATTTAATTATTAAAATGCTTATTCGCCATATTTTTCATCAAACTCATATTGAAGTACAATTTTCGAAGTATCGATATCTTAAATCAATAAATCTTAAGCTTAATCCTAATTTATGCCTTCCTTATATTTTTCATAATCTTCATCACTTTCAATCAAATGATTATAACCAATCAACCATTTTGTTCCTATTTCATTACAAACTTTTGGGACATTAATAAAACGATCACTCACTTATTACCTTGTGAACTCTAAAAAATAATTCATTAAATATATATGTACTATAATATTAACTATCTAGTATACTTTTATTACTATTTTGAATTCTATTAAAGTCTAAATTCTATTATTTCTATTAATATTTTTTAAAAATTATTAATTAATCAAATTAAGAAGGGTATCTAGGAAAAAAAAATAATATTATTTTTAGAATGATGAAAAATGTGATAAATCTACTATTTATAAAATATTTTTTAGTATATTTTTCATGAAAAAATCTCATCTACTATTTTATTATACCATTGATTGAAAGGTATGCAATCATTTTTAAATTTATCAAAAAGATAATCAAAATCCATAGTAAATATATGAGCTTATCCTAAATCAAGTTTAACACATTGAGTAATCTAAGAATCATAAATAATAAAAATACCAATTTAAAAAATTCATAATAAGGATCACATTATTTTTCTTTGCTAATGTTAAGAAAAGCCAAGGATTTAATTTTTGGTCTTGATTAGATATCACATCTAGTATTTGCAGGATTGATGATAGTAAAAGAATTACGAATTGAGGATATACTAGGTTAAATTTTTTCCCATTTAAAATTAATTTAATTATGTGAAATACAATTTGAATACTAGCTTCTTTTTTATTCAGATTTAAGTTCTATAGATTCATTCTAACTGTCCACAATAGCATCATTATTTTACTGTATTTTTGAATTATAACTTGAGTTTGTTTAAACATTAGCTAATTGCTCAGTTAAATTTGTTATTAAATATTACTAATCCTCATATTTCTTCTAGAGTTATTCAAATTACAATTATAATTATCCTTTTTCCCTGGAGAGTTAAAGTATCTGTTTATCAATTTCTTATTGTACACTCATTAAGGTTTAAATCTAATCTCGATATTATTGATTTTGCTAATGAAGCTTTTTTCTTAACTCTGTTTCGACCTTTAGGATTTCTTTTTCGGATTTTTATGATTTCTCTTCAAAGTATTACAACTATAATTCTAATTATTGACAAATATCTATCTATCTAACTAAATCCCTTTTTTGTTCTTCAAGTTGATTTGTTTATTTTGAAAACTAAAAATTGAGCATATCGATTTCAGCCTATTTAGATTTCAATTTAAGGCAAACTTCACTTTTGTAATTTTACACTTCCTCTAAATAAACAACTATAAATATTTCTATATTTTACAGAAGGTGTTAATAAGTTCATGACACATTTAATCAAGTTGACCATGTTCAAGTGTTGAATTTAGAAGGTCTTCACATTTTGTTAAAAAATCAATTGTTTATGAGTCTGTGACTGGATTCATTACTTAATCAAAAAAAGATAGTGATAAAAAAATTAAGTTGTATTACATTCTGATTACACCATATATATACATACATATTTTTTATCATTTTGAATTATCCCTATATAAAAATAGAAATTAAAATCTTCCAAAATTATAACAAACGATGAATTAAATATATATTAAAAAATGAAATAAAATCTCTTCATCCTAATCGCTCAACTTAAGCTTGAATAAAATTTACAATTGGTTCATTAGTTTCTCCTAGTGTTTTACTGGAGTAATTCGAAGCATATTTAAAAACTCTAATCTTTATTTTTTTAATTCAATTATGTTTAAAATAAGTTTTAATATAATTATTGATTTTGTCCCTTAAAACTTTATGGTTCCATTTCCTATTTGAAAACTCTCAATTTATTTTTATTAAATCCAATCCAATATTTCTGAGACTCACATTCATTTTATTATTCCTAATTAAATATTTAATATTACTTTTTTAGTAACAACTAGATCTTTTGCTGTTTTTTCAACATAAAACAACACTTTTACTATCTTCTTATATTGTATCTTCTCTTAAAATCTAACTTCAAAATATGGACATAACCATCTATCAATATATTATCAATGAATTAATTCTAACGATTTTAATTGTTTTTTTCTGGCAAATCTCTAATGATACTTTTAAATAAAGTTATTTCTCCTTTTTTATTAAGAGCATGAAGATCTGATTCATTTACCCATATTTAAAATACTCTTAATTAAGATACTTTCTCTATTTTCTTTCTTTTAAATTAGCATTCTGGTTGTAACTCTCATAATCTCTCCCTAAATCTTTGAAATATCTCAATTATTTATTTTTTGTTTAATGAGAGTGAATTGAATAATTTATCCTAAAATTACTGATTCTTTATTGAATTATGATTGTTTACTTTTTTTAGTCAACTTAAGTATTTTAAAATCTCTTTTTAAGGTTATGATACTCTCCCTTTTTTATTTTTTAGATATTATATAGGATGAACAATTTTAGTTAAATATTAATTCAATCTACCCTCATCTTATAAAATGCAACATAAATAGTAGTTATTTCGATCATACTTTATGAGTTTACTTAAATATTGATCCATTATGTATTTACTTATAATATTCCATTTATTTTAAAAATATCACAATTTTCTAAATGACTCATGAAATTTCTTTCTATTTAAATAAAAAATAAATCTCAACTCTATTTACTATTTTGTAATAAGATTTAAATTAAATCTTAGACTTCTACATAGTATTATGGACTGTTTATTTATAAGAACATAATATTATTATAAGTTTACAAAGATTTAGTTGTGTATGTATGTAAAGATATATGAAGATTTGAAATAAAAAGATTTAAATATTGACTAAGTAAATTTGAAGTATAGGATTAGATAAATGTGAAGGATGAATAAGATTGAAGTAATATGGGGTAGAATAGAAAGTTAGTTTTAAGAATTAGATAAATAAATAATATAATTAATGTAAGGAAACGAAGATATTAACAAAGTGTACACTTTGGAGAAAACATTAGGAGAGTATAAAAATATTATAAGTAAAGGGGAGCATTTGGAGTAGTGAAGAGAGCAGTGAAAAAGAGTACAGGTGAACATTTCGCAGTAAAAATAATTAACAAGTATGAGATTAATATAAAATAAAAGGGAGAATTTATCAAATGAAGATTTATTAGCATTATAAACAGAAGTGGAGATATTGACATAAGTATGATAAATAAAGATAATAATAATAGATTGATCATCCGAATGTAGTAAAATTGTATGAGATATATGAAGATGATACATATTTTTATATGGTATTAGAATTAATGACAGGTGGAGAGGTATTAACAAATAATTAAATGATAATATAAAGTTATTTGAAAGAATAGTAGAGAAGGATCATTTTAGTGAGAAAGAAGCAGCTGCAACACTTAGACCAATAATTGATGCACTTGCATATTGTCATAAGATGGGAATTGTTCATAGAGATCTTAAACCAGAAAATTTATTATATTCAACAATGGAACCTGGAGCCTTATTAAAAGTAAGTGATTTTGGACTTGCACGATTTGTTGGTTCTGAAGAAGTTATGATGACATAATGTGGTACACCTGGTTATGTTGCACCTGAAATTATTAATGGTAAAGGTTATACTGAAGCTATTGATTTCTGGTCTGTTGGTGTTATACTTTACATCATGTATAAATCATATCTCTAATTGCATAGGCTTTGTGGATTCCCTCCATTTTATGATGAAGATAATGATAAACTATTCTAAATGATCAAAACTGGAAACTTTGCATTCCCTTCACCATATTGGGATCAGATTAGTAATGAAGGTTTATTATATGCCTATCTTTTCTCTAGCTAAAGATTTAATTAAAGGTTTATTAACCATTGATCCAGCCAAAAGACTTACAACTGATAAAATACTCAAACATCCATGGCTACTTAATAATACCCATAAATCTATTGCAAATCTATAAGCTAAATTAAAGGATTATAGAGCATCTAAAAAAATCAAGGTATACAGAATTTCTAATCTTATTTAGAAAATTGCAAATGTCCTCACTATTGCTAGAGGATGGGGTAAAATGGCCTAAGTCAAGAAAAATTGATATCATTACAAATCAATAATTATATATATATATATTTTTAATGTTCCTCATCAAACCATAAACACCTACTTTTGGAGATAAAAAACTATAATCCAAACCAGTTATTCATGTCCCTGAAATTACTAATCAATCTCGCTTCTATAGTGTTCCTACTAGATAAACACAATAATAAAGTAGAAGTTCATCTATTCGAAAAAAAAATGACCTCTTAGTATACAATATATCTATCATTATATCTAGATTAAGAAATGGAAGGAACTCTATGAAGAATAAACCAGCTATTATTTGCGTCTCCTTAAAGTTAATAATATTAATCATATTGAACTTCCAAAATTTTAACTATAAAAATGATTTTATTCTTATTAATTAAATAAATTAATACTCTATTATTAGTATGTACTTTCAAATAATTATTAATATCTAATTCAATAAGAATTTTTTATTTTCTTATCATCTTTTCAATTCTTAATTCCATTAATCAAAACATAATTAATCATTTTCATATTCATCAAAATATTAATATCATGATGAAACCAAAAATGTGTCATCTAAATTACCAACCAGTCACTAGTTTGAATTGTCAAACTCTAGATTTTGATTTATTAGAGTTAGAGAAGATTAATTTTTCAGTTAAAATGGAACACATGGCTGAACAACTTAATAAAGAATAAGAAATCACTACCCCAACTTTTAATTTTCAAATCAATAAAATCTAAGGACCCGCCAAAGAAATAAGCAACAGGATTCAAAATATACTATACGTTTCCCCTAATAAATTAATCAAATCCCATAGAAAGTTGCCCAAAATCTTAAAAGAGCCCTTAAAAAACACCTGAATTTTATATTTTATTATGTATTCAATGATAACTCCACATTTTAAATTTGGTATGACAAGATTTATTAATTTTTATTTTAGACTCATAAAACATGAATAATTTATATTATCTATAAGAATTTAATAATCAACATCATCGATTTTACTAAACTTTCAAAATGTTGTTCAACACAAACATTTTAATTTTATTGTTGTATAAGCTTTCGTATTCTCAAATTTTAATTCGCTCAAAGGTCAGGATTAATATTAATTTAATACTTATGACTTAATGTCCGTCTTTAATTCAATTATTAAAGCAGTATTAAACTCTTCAGCAAACAAAATATAAATTATTATAAAAATTGCATATAAAAATGATTTTATATTTTAATTATAGAATTTTAATATCATTTTGTTATTTATTTATTCTTATTTATATTATCCATACATTTAGCAAAAGCCTCTTTCATTAATTTATCAATGTTTATTGTGGTTATATAATTTATTTTGTAATTGATGTGGATTTAAATTTAATAAATTTAAATAATTTCCTAAAGCTAAGAAATCTAAAACATAATATAATTGTTGTTAAATCATGAATTATTATATATTTTTTCTAGACTTAATAAATTGATATTAAGATATGAATTTATAAATAAAAAATGGAGATTTTTAAATATTATTTCTAAAAATAAAAAATATCATTTGATTTTAATTTGAAAAATGAAGAAGTAGATGTATAATTAAAACAAAAGAAATAAAAACAATTTTTTTATATATTTAAAGATGGTAGTATATAAAATAAATATAATTTATAGATTTTGTTGTTAATTTTATTTATTCTTAATCATATAATGGAAGACAAAGTTCAGAAATAATATATTGAGTGTGTAAGAAAGCTGCAAAGATTTACCCAAAGTAGTGTGCATGACTAAATTAGACTATCCTGATAGAGTGCCAGGGAAGATATTATAAAAATTACAAGTTCTATAAGCATCAATAGATAATCAAAAGATGGTAAAAGTGGAATCATTGTCTGAAGTGGAGATATAATAATTAATAACACCTTCAATTCCTGTGAAATATCGTATGTATATAGACATTGTGAGTTCACTTATATATTTTGAAGATGAGGTATCGGGACGTCTTGAGATGAAAAAAAAATCAGGATGGTTTTGGAATAATAAAACATTAAAATTAAATATGTTGGATCGTTAACTTAGTATATCAAGGAATGATCCAAAGAAAAGAGATAAATAATTATAGCTATCAGATTTTTCATTAAAATGGTATAAAAATAATTCATAGATTTTTAAAGGTGTGAATCAATGAAGAATAAATATTGTTTTTAACTTTGTGGAAGGGAGATATTTCTATTTGGATGTGAAGATTTATAATAAGCAGAGAAATGGTTTAATTATTTGAGATAATGTTGTGCTTTTATTGATGATGATTAATTAAAAAAGATAAAGTATGATAATATTATTAATAGAAGATAATAGAAATAACTTTAACGTTAATCAGAAGATTTAAGTTAAACAATTAATAATACATATTCTTAGAAGAGATCTGAAATAATATAATCAAAGTAATAAAATATGATTGATGAAACAATGAAGAATCATCATAAGAGTTAGATATAAGTACCTAAAAAGTATAAGGAAAATGTATAATAGTCAAATGATTAGAAATAATAAGTAATAGAGAAACAATAACAAGTTTAAGTAAGTCAAAATGTAAAAGAAAATATATCAAGAAATGAAAATAATGTTCCAGCTCTTTTGTAGAATGTAATAAATAAATAAGATTTATTTTCAATTGATAGATTGATGGATGATTCATAATATTAATTAATTAGTTTTAAAAATAAATTGAGGTAAAACTTTCATGATTTATGAGTAGATTATTATAACATAAAACATAAAATGAAAAAATAAAGGCAATAGTAAATGTAACAAGTGATAACATAATCGCAATAGTATCAGCTTTGGTATGTCCTGATGTGATGAAGTAATGGAATACTTAGATTGATTAGACTATAATTTTAGATATTATGGTAAATAGTAATTCAATGATCATTTCTGAACTGAGAAAGAAATTCGGTATGTTATATTTGAAACGATCTTATACATATTTAAGATATGTTTTTAAAGATTAAAATAATTATTTCATAGTAGATAAGAGTTTATCATATTAAAATAATCAATAATAGAATGCTTATTAATTTGAGGGATAAATTTAATTAAGTATAATAGCTGTAATTCCATAATAATAATAATAAGTAATGATAATATGGGAAACAGAAACTAAAAATGGAGGATATGCAAATGATGCTTAATTGTCGTTGCATTATGTTTCAGAATTATAAAATTTAGATTGTTATTTAATTTAAAAGCAATTTAAGATTCCAACTCCAATAATATTAGAAAAGGCAATTAAACAACCACTTGATGTGGAAATAATAGAATAATATTAACCTTAAAAAATTATTGAAGTATCAATTGATTCTTCTTTTTCTGATGTAGATTGCAAACAATTTCAATCATAAATCATATTGGATGAAGAACCAGAAACATAAATTGATAAAAATAATTATTTTTAATTATTAGACTTAGTAATTAAGAACCCTGGTTTAATTTATTGGTCTGCAATTCATTAATATAAATTAACACCAAATGAACCAGATAATATTTATTATAAAGAGACTGTTGATCATAAAAATATTATATTGTAGAGTGATTGGGAAATCTTAGATAAAGGTGGCTTGAGATTTGTAAATAAAAAGAAATTAGAAATCTAGAAAGAAGTTATAACATTTATGTTAAAAAAATTAGGATCTAATTTACTTATGGGTAAATCATTAATTAGTATTTCATTACCTGTAAATATTTTTGAAAGAAGATCAAATTTAGAAAGAGCTTGTTATAGTTTAGGATATATGTGGTTATTAGAAAAGGCAGGAGAATTATAAGATCCTATTGAATAAATGAAATTGGTTGCATAATTTTCACTTGCATATAATATAATGTTTTTAAATATGGAAAAACCATTCAATCCAATATTAGGAGAAACCTTTTAAGGATATATGAATGGAAATCTATTATATAGTGAATAGATCTCTCATCATCCACCTGTATTAGGATTATATGTACTTGGTAGAAACTTTAAATTAACAGGACATTTAGAATCTTAAGCAAATTTTAGTGCTAATTCAATTACTGGATAGAATTATGGATATCTCAAAGTAACATTTCCAAATAAAACATCTATAATATTTAATGTAATGCCTGGTGTTATATAAGGTATGACTATTGGTCATAGATAATTTTATTATAATGGAGTTGGTTGGTTAGTTGATTTAGATAATAAATTATTTTGTGATATTGTAGTAACAGCTTTTCCAGGAATGTTTAGTAAAAAGATTACACCCTAAGATTTTATGGAAGGATATATTGTAAAAGGTTCTATGAAAGATGTTAATAAATTTAATCTAGAAACTTATCGAAAATATTAAGGAATAAAAGCTTTACCTTAATAAGATAAACTTTCGATTATTAGTGGTAGATGGACAACAGGAATGATTATTGATGGAATAGAGGTATTAAATTGGTTCAAACATTTTCCATATAAATTGAAATATGAAGATTATCCTTTAGCATCTGATAGTAATTATAGAGAAGATTTAATTGCTTTGAAAACAGGTGATTTAAATGTAGCATAAGATAGGAAAGAGTAAATGGAAATAAAGTAAAGACATGATAAGAAAATAAGATAAAAGAAAAATCATTGATTGTATAGATTTTAGTATTCTTATAATTGATAATCTTAAATTAGTGAATCTATAAATGATTCTTATATAATATATAGATTGATAAAATATTGATCTGAAATTTAGAATACATATATATATATATTTATATTATTATTCATTAAGTAAAATAATATCTTCGTTCCATCCAGAAAGCAGCCCTTTTTGAGTAAGACATCATTTGCATTTATAAATGATACTTAGATAATGAATAAAAGAATACATTTTTTGCCTTACGATATTAATCTCTAACTTTATCATCGAGCATATCTAAATAAAGATCATATTAATTCTTTTTATTAGACCAAGGAATTGCCTGATGATAAAGTAATTGTCGTACACAATCATTGTATCCAGAACGGATTCCAAAGAAGAGTGAAGTTCTTCCAAGCTAGATTATACAATAATAAGTACAATATCACGTCGATTAACATCTGCATGGTATTCTAAAAGTAATTCTACCATTTCTATATGATTGCGAATGACTGCATGATGAAGTGGAGTTAATTTCGATGAATCAAATTCATAAACCAAATATCTATTCTCCTATAATTCTCTATGTGTAAGTTCAAGTTTATTGGATTTAACTAAATCAAAGAATAATTTAGCTCTCTCATTGCTATATGCAACAAGTGGATATACTCTATGTTAAATTAAATCTTCAAGATTTAGATTCAATTCATGTAATCTAAATAAGAAGATCTTAATCATATTTAATATTTTTTATCTTCTCATTTTCTTAAATTATTCTGGATTAATAACTTCATTTTTAGGTTATACATCTAATAAACATGAATCCAAATTAAGTTATTTACGTTCATATTTAGAACTTATGCTTTTAGATTTGAAATCTACATAACATTTTCTATGATATTCTTATCGAGTTAGTTCATCAAATCTCTCAATCTCTTACCTCTATTTAATTAATTCTTATGCAGTATATTTCTCTGCTTCATCCAATTAAAGTTATTCTGAATTTAACAAATATAATACTTAGAATAATTTCTTCATCTTTTAACATATTGAATAAAGCAATATTAATAGGATGATTCTATGCTCTGTCCAAATCAGTATATTAGATGTCCTCTATATGTAATTCTTTAAAAATCTAATTTGGATCTCTTTTCTATGATTTTAATACTTTCAAACTATCATCTTAATAATATTTTGAAAAACGAACTCTATTAGCATTTGTTAATTCATATCTAGGATTCGAGAGTCTTCTTGGAGGTGAACGTAATGATTCATGCTGTCTAGTAATACTCTTCATTCTAAGCATGTGTTCACTCATGCCCTTTACTATACGTAATGGCTATTTATAAATAAACTACCTTTCCTTATTCTCTTATACATCATTTTGTATTACTTTTTAAATTACTACATCTTTTTTTATCTTATCTAATATCATCATTTATTCACCATTAAATTTCTTTAAAAAATTGTTATAATTAGCAGCAGTTGCCATTTATTTTATACGACTTATTTATACACGTTCTGTTACTGGTTGTTGTTACACAAACAATGATTTTTATTTTTCCAACCATTTTACACGTTTATGTTGAGGCATAGCAAGTAAATCAACTGTCTTCTCTATACTTCTACTTGTATTCCATGTATGTGGAACTTCAGATAAAGCTGTATGATTCTTTCGTAAAAGTGGCTATTAAATTAGTTGCTAAACTTAAACTAAACTCATCTATTTGCTTTTCCTGTTAGTCATTTAAGTTTTTGGAGTTGCTGTTTATGGTTAAGAACACTTCAATCTCTCAAAAGATTCATGTGTCTTTGCTTATCGAGTAGTCTTTTCATTACTCTCTATTAAACTTGATAAAAGACACCGATGAGTGGGTGCTTTCATTTTATAAAATAATTAACTCATTATATTTTCAATTCAATCAATAATATATTTTCATTAACAACTAAAATATTTATTTATATATATATATTCAATTACTTAAATTTATTATCTAAGTAGAAATACATTATATATTCTCTTCTAATTAATATAATTTATAAAAGATAATTAAACAAATATTATTTAATCAATTACATTTATCCATTATCATTAATTATAAGTATTAAGACAACCAAATACTTTATTAAAATATTTATATATTTTTCCTCTTATTGATTTCTCATTTTATAACTCATCATCAAATCTCTCATCTTATTCTATTTCACTAACAAACATCGATTACTATAAGCTTTTCTAATTTGTCATAAAGATTCCCTCCTCTCTTTTAGCAGACATAAAAGATTGTCTTAATTCTTCTTCATACTCTACTATCACCTTCTTACAATCCCCCACAAATTTTACACTTACATGATCCTTATATTAATTTAATGTATAAATTAGAGCCTCCGTTATTTTTTTCTATTCCTCTGCCTCACTTAATAATTTATATCTCTCTCCACTATTGTTTACATTTCTACTTTTTTCCAATAGTTCTCTTAATATAAAGATATGTGAATTAAGTTTCCCTTTTATTTTTTCCTTCACTTCATCTCTTTACAATTATTACAACTTTTTTCTCATTTGCATTAACTCTTTTTTTTCTATCAAACTCTAAGGATTTAATTTTGAAATCATTTCCATTGCCTCCTCACAACTTAATTCATTATTTGTTATCTATTTCTCAACTCCTTCTAGATAGGATGTCAAATTACTCTATAGCATTATAAATTCTTATATAGAAATATAATTCTGTATAACAATTTTATTTAAAAAACTAAATTTATTTTCTCTCTTATCATCTCAATGACGACCCAAATCAAATTAAAAAAAAAAAAACATTTCCCTAAATCAACTATTATATTTATATGAGAAAATAAAATAACTCCATTAACAAGGATGAATGTCTTAATTTTTATCTAATTCAATAGACTAAATGTTATATACACTCATATTTACATCTTAATAATATTAATTATTAGCCTTTTGTCATATCTTAGATAGATGCATGCATTAGGGTTAATTATTAAATTTGTTGTATGAAATGAGATATATAAAAAATATATAAAATATACATATATATTTAAAAGATTTTAAAATGTAAAATTGAATATAAAGTTAATGAAGTTGAAGTAGTTTGATCATATTTTCTCTTTATTTAAAAAAAATATAGAATGAAATTTGAAATATAAGGATTTTATAAAACAACAAAAACAAATATTTATGACAGAGTTATTATGATATAAAATGAGAAAATGAAAATAATTTAATTTATATTCAACAACAATCATCATTTTTCTTTTTCTTCTTTTATCCTAAACTTGTTTATAATTCTTTATCATCTTCTTCATCATTTCTGTAAAATGTGCCTAATTTAATACCTAAATTTTCATTGTTTTGATCGATTAATTTGTTTTCAATTTTTTCATAGATTCTCATAGCCATTTATTAAAAAACTTAGTCAACATATTATCCAGTTTTGGCTGAAGTTTCAATATAATGTATTCTATATTATTCTGCAAATTATTTGCCTTCATCTGCTGAAACTTAGCGTCTATTTACATGATTAATTTACTCATTCTCTAAATCAACTTTATTGCCAACAATTACTATATCTACAGATTCATGAGCACAATCTAATATTTCATTATACCATCTCATAATATTATGGAATGATTATCTATTTGTAATATCAAAAACAAGTAAAACTCCTATTGAACTACTATTAACATAAATTAAAGAAACCCTTTATAATAAGAACGAGTGATGGATCTAAATGATTCTTAACCAGCCTATCATTTAAGTTCAATATAGTACTGTGTCCCAAATTTATATTTTAAATTGTTTATTCTTATATTTGAATCCTTAAGATCCAAATTCTACTCCGATTGTAGCATCATGTTCTTCTTTAAATTTACCTTCTGTGTATTTCAATAATAGGCAACTCTTACCAACACCTTATTTATTTTAAAATCATCAGAATACTTGTATCTCCTACAATTATGAATTTAAAGAGATAGTGATATAAATCCATTTATATTAATATGAAATAATAATAAACAAAAGAACCACACTTTAATGGAGAATTTGAAGATAGTGGAAGTGACACTGAAGACAATTCAAAAAAGAAGACAACATTGATTATGAATGTATCAGGTTTCTCATTATTTCTATCATTTTAGATACACAATATGATGTTGTAAAGTTTGTAGGTAAAAAGTTATTTAAATGGATTTTATAATATGAGCCTGATGCAAATAATTGGGATATGTTTTGGACAGATGCTGCTGTTTAACCTGAAACACTTGGAAAAATGCAACGTATTTTTATAAATAAATCATAGCTTATCAAAAAATTAATCATTTTCCTGGAATGTATTCACTTGCTAGAAAGAATCATTTAGGAAGAAATCTTATGAAAATGAGAAAATAATTCTCTGATGAATATAAATTCTTTCCATAAACATGGTTATTACCAGCTGAATATGGAGACTTCAAAAATTAATTTGTTAAAGGAAAAGCAAGAACTTTTATTGTTAAACCAGAAGCTAGTTGTTAAGGAAGAGGTATATTTTTAACTAGAAATATTAATGATATTAATCCAAGTGATCATTATGTTGCATAGAGATATCTGCATAGACCATTTCTTATTGAAGGATTAAAATTTGATCTCAGAGTTTATGTCTTACTTGCTGGAACTGATCCTATGAGAATATATGTTTATTAAGATGGTTTAGTTAGATTTGCTACAGAACCATATGTTCCACCTAATTCATCAAATTTAGAAGATATGTGTATGCATCTCACTAATTATGCTATTAATAAAGAGAATCCAAATTTTGTATTTAATAAAGATGCAAGTAGAATGGATATTGGACATAAGAGATCTATAAAGGCTGTATTTGGTAAATTAGAATAGGAAGGTCATGATATAAAGAAACTTTGGTAAGAAATGTATGAATTATTTATAAAAACCTTTTGTACAGTTTAACCAATATTGAGTCATCATTATAGATCTTGTCAACCAGATAATTATGCTAATAATATGTGTTTTGAAATATTAGGTTTTGATATATTTTTGAATCACAAATTGTAACCTATATTATTGGAAGTAAATCATACTCCTAGTTTCACAACAGATACTCCTCTTGATTCTTTGATAAAGAAAAATTTAATAAGAGATACTTTGAAGTTGATGAATGTTAGTTAAAAAGCAAAAGAATAAATAATAGCATCAAGGAAGGAATCTTTATAACAAAGAGTATTGACAGGTAAGAAGGTAAAGTTAACAATGGAAGAAAAGGTTTAATAAATGAAGTAATGGGAGAAATAGAGAGATGAATATGAGAATTCACATTTAGGAGATTATGTTAAGATATACCCTTTGGAAGATTGTTAAAAATATGATAAATACATAGAATTTGCATCATCATTATAAGATAGTTGGACAGGAACAAGTATAATATATTTATAAATTAATATAGATATAAAAAGAAATCAAAAGAAAGATTTAAAAGATTCTTAGATTCCTTAATAATAATAATAAATTTAATAAACAAAAACTAATATGGTGAGAACTAAATTAAAACCTAATACTCCTGCAAATAATTTACCAAAACTTTAAAATATGCCAAGACCTGAAAGTATTAATGTTCATGGCGAAGATGAATAGGTTAGTGCAAAAGTGAACAAATTATCTAATATAAAAATATAACCAAGATAATAATCTGAACCACCAATTTTAAGAGTAAAAAAAGATATGAAAAAATAAACTTAATAAGTGATTGGGAAACCATGTTTACAACCAAAATTATTTGATATGGAATCTATAGGATAAGACAAACTAAATAATAAAAGATAACAGTATCAATAATTGATGCTTGCAAAATGATAATATATTTATATAATATTTTATTATTTTCTACATCATCCTAATAATAATCATGAAGGTAACATAACCAAAGGAATACCTTATTTCCAACTTTGTAAATATTTATATACAAAATCTGCTGTAATAATCTAGGGTTATAATAATATAAGTACAATTGAAATCATTTATGCCACCATTACAAAATAGCCGCTTAACCATGGAGCTACACTTATAGTCGATTCATCTGCACTTCTATTAAGCTCTTCATATGAATAAAACCAAAATATCACACATATTAATTTATTGAGAGCCTAAGTAATTACAAAATTAGATGTATGATATTCAATTATTCCCTCTATATTATTGTTGAATTCTAACCTCTCTTTGTAAAAAGGTGTATCTATGGTAATATTGCAAATGATTCCATATATAAAGCAAACACCCAAGAGATATCACAAAATGAATGTGAATTCAATCCTGGATGTATATAATATGCAATTATTAACATTACAGGGGTAAAGTAATACCATTAAAATAACTCTTACTTATTGTTTTTTATGCTAAATGCTGTTAAAATGCAAAATATAAGTGATAATATTTCAAATAATCGATAAACATAATCTCCTGTTGCATCTGAAGGTAAATAACCCTATTTATGCATAATCATTTTACTTCAAAGGTTAAAATTGAAAATAATCTTGCTAATAATGCTTATGCACAACAAATAAACGTTTATTTACTTAATCCACTTGTCTCTTTTGTTATTGAAATTGTCACAAATACTAATCCAAATCCAAAGCATTATATTCCACAAGCAAGTGTTAATATAAAACTAAATTCACCTGAACTAAAAAATAGGTATATTAATATAGTTGAAACCAGAAAGGTAATCCAAAGGGTATAATTTAATTATTATTTCATTATTAAAATTAATGGAGGAAAATTAAAATTTAGAAGAGAATACATATTCATAAGAAGAAGTAGATCGTATTACTTAAGAATCTATTGAAAGTGTTTTAAAAGAAGTATAATATGATGAGTCTAAAGTATAAACATAAAATTTACTCTAAGGTATAAGGTTGGATTAATGCAATTTGTGAAAAAGTTACACAATAATTAATTGAATTGGGGAAACCATATAAGTACATATGAACTTTAATATTTAAGATATATTGTTCACTGTATGATTATGTAAAGAAATGGAGCTGGAGCATTTGTTACAACTTCGTAATGGTGGGATACTGTTGCTGATGGATAAATTATTATATCTTGGCCAAAAGATAAATAAGCAAAATAAGAGCAATAAAAAAATACTCTCCATTGCATTTGTAGTGTATTTGCAGTAAGCATGATTTGAATTATAATTATAATTTATGAAATTAAATTTAAGACTCTCAAATATCAGAAAAAAATATGATCACTTTAGCTACATCCTATCTGAATTGATCAATCAAGATATTAATATCTAACTTACTATATTTGATTCAAACCCAAAAACAGATATTCTTATTTAAAAATTAGAATTTCTAAACTTTTTAAATTTGGATAATTTTTATTAAATATCATTACGCGAATTCTCAGATATAATTAAATATGACAAGAACCTTGAATCAAATCTAAAATAATATATTTCATAGTTATTTAATACTCAAATTATATGGTTTATATAGGATTAATTCATATTCACTCATCTTGATTGTGAAAAAGAGATTCATCAATTCCTTAATAAGTTGTTCTATTGTTAGACTTAATTTATATAATATGTAGATTACATGAAAAACAATTATTAAATTTAAGCCTATTCACCTTAATAAGAGGCTCCTTTAAAAGGTTATAAAAATTCCATTTAAAAATAGTAAAATAGTACTCAAAAATTATATACACTCTATGGATTTAAAAAATAACTTAAATCATAGGATGTTTTTACTAAAAAAGTTGTTAGACATGAATAATAATACAATATGCATTATGTATTTATTGAATTTTATGTTCCTTAAATTAAAGAATGGATTGAAAAGTATTTATATACTTATGTAGAAGTGCGCAAAGGTCAATAGATTGTAATAAATATAAATTTAAAAACATAAGATAGATTTATATGGACCATATCATCTTGTTAGTAAAGCTGAAGAAATATTATTTAAAGAATATTCTGCTCTTAATCCATATTGTGGAATACTCAAATTTAAAGATCTTGATGATGACTCAATCTAACTTATGTAAATTAAAGATGCTTTGATTCAAAACTCTTATTATGATTATGAAGTGGATAAAAAAAATTAGAATTCTTTAGAAGAATTAGAAAATTCTTTAAAAACTGTAAAATCTAAAATATTTTCAGCAATATTAGTTATTGGTAATACTATAAACATATATTTAGATTATAAAAATGCCTAGCTTTGTGATAATGCAAAGTTTTACTTTAACTTTGATTTAGATAGAAAAAATATCGAAATTTAATTAGAAAAGGAAATTTATAAACTTGCTTAGACGTAACTTGATGGAAAAGCTATAAGTTATTTTGCTATTATTAACGGAGGTTTGTAGCATTCTATTTTTTTAAAGAAATTAAATGATGACCTAGAGATTTTTAGAGAAACTATTTACAATAATATTTAAATCAATTATTTAAGAAATTAGAAAATTGACGTTATTCATAATATTCAAAATCAATATCAGATTAAATTAAAATTTCAATAAAACTGTATCGTTATTTTAGGAAGAAAATAATAATTGGATTATTTTATTTAATTTCTTATGAAAATTACATCTCCTCAAGCTGAAATAATTGATTTTTATTTTTTCAAAAATCAATTTAATTTTAAATAAATAAATTATGATTATAAGGATAGATTCTAAAGAATACTCTAATAATGTGAATGTTAAAGTATATTTAACCTTTAAATTAATTAATAGGTTCTACAGAATAACAAGAATTAAGAATTAAAATTTCAAGCAAGGATGCAAATAAGATAAATAAATTAAAATCATAATTATAATAATTAGAAACAGAATTAGATTGTTCGAAGAAAACTATTTAAATTTCAATCGAGAAAACAGAAAATGGAAATCTAAAGTAAATATTGACTTTTTTATATTATTAGTCAAATTATTCAATAAGTATCATAAAAATATCCAGTTGTTGATATTCGATTAGGTTAAAATGATTATGTTGGATTGTAATAAATTTGTTCTTTTACTAAAAAGCAAACAATTGTGAAAGTCTACTATGGATTACCTAATTATCCTTATGATGTTGTAAAAGGAGTTTTAAACCTGAAAAACAGTATGATTTTAATACCAATAGAAAAAATACATAATCAATTTAAGGAAAATAAAATATTATGGATAGAAAAATTGATTTAATAAAATAATATTTCTTTAGTAAATCAAAAATAGAATTCATCATTAGAAATATTTTAATATGAGCTTTATTTATAAGATAAAGAAATAGATCCTAATTAAATATAAAAGTATAAATAAGAAAAAATAGAATTAACTATTTGTTATATTTATTATAGAGATTTATTGAATCCATAAAATTTTATCCATTTTTTCGAAAAACAAAATTTGATTAAAACTTATGGTAAAGCTATAGACGAAATTTAAATTCTGAAACCTTCATCTATAATAATTAATAACTTAATAGAAAAGGATGGGAAAGAATTATCGGAATTAGTGGATTACATAAAATAATTAGATTTGTATTATAATTAAAAATAAATTTAGCCCTTAAATTGAACTCTCATTTATGATAAATGATAAAAATGATTTGAATGAAATTAAAAAATTACTTAATGGAATTTTCGAAGAAGATAATCATATTGAAAGAAAAAAGGTTTATCAACTGTCAATAACTGGTTGCCTTTAAGATACTATTGAATAAGTGATAAAAGAATTGAATGAGGTTTGATGAAATTACATAAATAAATATACATATATTTGTAAACAATCATTTAGTCATATTTCCTCTAATAAATGATTCTAGATCTGCATCTTTTTCAACTGTAGTAACATATTATGAATGGATTTTTTCAGGTGCATAATACTATCTTATCAATTCTTATTTCCTTTATTCTAATTAATCTTGTTCATATTCTTCAGAATCTGAATGTTATTCTAAATAAATTAGAGATAATAATTATACATTTTTCTTCTTCCATTCTTTTTAATACATCATCTCTTTTATCAATTTCAAATTTAATAAAATGCATAATTTCTTCTTTTGTATTGAAATCTTTAACTAATTCTTGATTATCTTGAATAAATCTTTATAATTCTTATTCTTAAGCTTTTCTTTCTAATTCCCTTTCCTCTTCGAGAATTTCTAATAATTCTTAATTCTAACTTCCATAATAATTATAGGATATATTCTACAAAATGTTTAAAATGAAAAACATACCTTATAAAGTTCAGTTCTTGATTTTTTAGGTTCTGCAGGTGGTTCTGAGAAAAACAATTCACGAACTCCAGGTAAATCTTTTGCAGCTCCAAAATATCTATATCCTTCTTTTCCTATTAATTCAATTCCTTGAGTATCATAAATTTTAGCACTTAATCTTCTATAATCAGGTCCTCCTAATTCTTTAATTCTATCTTCCCATTATCTTAATTCTTAAATAACTTTATTAATTTCATCATTCAATTCTCTTATTCTATGTTCTCCTAAACCAGCATTTTAAATATCTGACACCAATTTCGATACTACTTTTAACACTTCTTATCTTTCCAATTCACATTCTTAAAGATTTACACATTCTGAAACTTTTGGAATTGACTTATATTTTCCATCTGTAGTATTACGTATATCTCTTTTCAATCTATACCATCTTGAAAGCATTGCTTTTGCTTTTTCTGCATTTCTAGCCATCTTTTAATATAATTTAATATATATATATATATTAATTGTTTAAAAATTTATTATTATAATTCATTATTCAAATATTCTTTTATTTCATTCAACAATATTAATTGAAAGAATTTATAGACTACTTCCATTACTCTTTCTTATAACCATTTTAAGAAAATTAATATATCCTAAAATCAAATCTTTCGAGCTTTTGATCTACTCCAAGTATTAAATCAATTTGTTTAATAAGATCCATGAAATAAATATTAAAACCATCTCTAATTATCTAAATATTATTATTATACATAATAATAATGAAAATCTCATCAAATTAAATACCATAATTGTAGCTTATAAATGCTGTTCATATAACCTTAAATAGTAAATGCCAAATTATACAATTAAACAAAGATCAATAAATTATCATGGAAAAAAGTAGCTTATTAAATATTAGAATTTATGATATGCATAAATTCCTCTATGAATTACTTAAAATTGTTAAAGATACATAATAAACTTGAATTTATATTTTTTGAGAAAGTTTAAGTATAAAAAATTCTTACTTTACCTAAATCTGATATTGAATTTCCTTCTAAGTATGAAAACAGATCAATTTATGATTGCTTTGAAGATATTGTTCATAAAGAAAAGTTGAATGATTGTTGGATTGAAGGTATTATTAAATATCGTTATTAGAGATTAAGTGGAAAAGTACATTGAATTATATTGTGGAAAGATAAGCTCTTAGATATCTTTATCTAACTTAATCATATGAAGCGCTTAAGCTAAGTACCAAATATGACTATTATGAAAATCTTAAATTTTGAGAGAAAAAATTTATTTATAAATTTTTGATTAATGTTAAAGTAATTAAATATATAGATAAATGAGATCTTACATGAGTAGGTTAAATAAAGAGAAATGTCTATGAGAATTTTAAGATAAAGTAAAGATTAAGAGAAATGAATTAGTAAATAATATAAAATGGTGTGAGTAAGATTATAAATAGATTGATTTTTGATTAATTTTATTTTAATAATTAAAATGCCACCTAAATAATAAAAAGCAGCACTTAGAAGACCAGTAGCTGTATATTATAAATAATAAATGATAGAAAAAACAACCTAAGATAGCAAATTAGAATTTAAATCAACAGGAAGCTGAGCCTGATGGAGATGAATCAGAATATTAACATGAAGTTTTGAAATCATAAAATATTAATAGAGAGAAAGAGAGAGACCTTAATTGACTGAGAAAGAATTAAATGAAGATATGCCATCTAAAATGTTGATACCTAATAATCCTTAAGCTCCAAAAAATATTACTCAATATGATTATTTATAAAGAAAAGTAACTACCCATTATAATGATAGTATAAAACAGATGAATTGGTTGAATAATTAATAATTCACTTTAGAATGGATGGAGAAATCATTCATAAAGATTCGAATGAATCTAGAATATAAGAGGAATTATGGGAAACAAAGGATGCATTGATTAAAGAAGCAGAAAGGAATTAAGAAATGGAGGATCCTGGTGCATCAAAAGATATAGAAGCAATAAAATAAACAATGAGAAATAAATTTAATTATAATGCAAGAGAAGCATAAACAGATGGAAGAGTAATAAGAGAAAGAGGTGTATCAACAGAACCTCCTCCAAGTGATACATTAAAAGGATAAATTACTTAATGGGAAATATTTGATGCTTATATATAAAACAAAGCTAAAGAAGAAAGTCAAAAGAAAAAAGATCATACATCAGATAATACAGTTTATAAACCATCATTTAAGAGATGTTTAAAAATTATGGAAAGAACAGTTGTACATAATGATCAAAAGGAAAAATACAATGATTACAAATATTATTGGAGTCAAGGGGAAGTAGTTGAAACATCAAAAAATGAAGGGTAGATTAATAAAAATAATTAGACATCTATTACCTATATGGAAATTTTCAAATGAGAAACAAAAGAAAAAGCATGTTACATCTTTGTGTTGGAATCCAAGATATATGGATTTATTTGCTGTTAGTTTTGGTAGTTACGAATTTTCTAAATAAAGAATGGGTTTAATTTGTTTATATTCATTAAAAAATACAACTCATCCAGAATATGCATTTACATGTGAAGCTGGAGTTATGTGTTTAGATTTCCATCCATAAAGTCCAGCATTATTAGCTGTAGGATTATATGATGGAACTGTACTTGTTTACGATATTAGAAATAAACATAAAAAACCTATATATTAATCTACAGTAAGAACTTAAAAGCATACAGATCCAGTATGGTAGGTTAGATGGAATCCAGATATCTCTAAAAATTATAATTTCTATTCAATATCATCAGATGGAAGAGTTATGAATTGGGTTTTAATGAAAAATAAATTAGAACCAGAAGAAGTTATTCGATTGAGATTAGTTGGTAAAAATGAAGAAGAAAGCACTTTGATTGGTTTAGCTTGCGGTTTATGTTTTGATTTTAATAAATTTGAACCTCATATCTTTTTAGTTGGTACTGAAGAGGGTAAGATACATAAATGTTCAAGAGCATATTCAGGACAATATTAAGAAACATATATTGTATTCATTTTATTATTATTATTAATAGGGTCATAATTTAGCAGTTTATAAAGTCAAATGGAATAATTTTCATCCTCGAACTTTTATCTCTGCTTCTGCTGATTGGACTGTTAAAATCTGGGATTCTAAAATCTCTTCCTAAATTATGAGTTTTGAATAAGGAATGTAAGTTGTTGATGCTATGTGGGCACCATACAGTTCCACAGGTATTTTTTTAAATAATTTATTTTAGTTTTTGCCTGTGCCACTCAAGATAAAATTTTTGTTTATGATTTAAATGTTGATAAAATTGGTAAACTTGCTGAATAAAAACCCTCTAAATAACCTAGATTAACAAATATTGCCTTTAATTAAAGAGATCCCATAATCTTAGTTGGTGATACTCATGGTGGAATTACACTACTTAAATTAAGTCCTAATTTAACAAAATGTAATAATTCTGACATATCCATCTAGCTGGAGTAAAACCATCTAATTTTCCAGATGCCAAAGTACCAAAAGAATTTGAAAATATGCCTTTGGAAGAATATGAAAAATAAAAAATGGAAACGCTATTACAGGTAGTTTCTAAGTGGGAAAGAGAAGATTCCTGATATCATAAATTATAAAAAGTATTTATTAACATTGTTCAATTCATATTTTCAAATCAAAAATTAATATAATAAAAGTAATTATTTTATCCTAATCCATCAGTCAACATCATAACTTTACTTAAAAATTTATCATCTCTTATCTCTATTTGATGACCTCTCTCATGCACATTTAATCATAATGAAAAAAATACAGAATCAATTAAATTGGATCATTCAAAGATCTTTAACTTTAATAAGCTATTGGACTTCAAAAAGAATGAAGACTCAAAAATGAAATCTTAAATTAAGAATATTAGAATTATCATAAGAAGATATTATTTTAAAACATAGAAGAAATGAACAATTATTAATTATTGTTTAATTAGAANTCTAAAAATTATAATTTCTATTCAATATCATCAGATGGAAGAGTTATGAATTGGGTTTTAATGAAAAATAAATTAGAACCAGAAGAAGTTATTCGATTGAGATTAGTTGGTAAAAATGAAGAAGAAAGCACTTTGATTGGTTTAGCTTGCGGTTTATGTTTTGATTTTAATAAATTTGAACCTCATATCTTTTTAGTTGGTACTGAAGAGGGTAAGATACATAAATGTTCAAGAGCATATTCAGGACAATATTAAGAAACATATATTGTATTCATTTTATTATTATTATTAATAGGGTCATAATTTAGCAGTTTATAAAGTCAAATGGAATAATTTTCATCCTCGAACTTTTATCTCTGCTTCTGCTGATTGGACTGTTAAAATCTGGGATTCTAAAATCTCTTCCTAAATTATGAGTTTTGAATAAGGAATGTAAGTTGTTGATGCTATGTGGGCACCATACAGTTCCACAGGTATTTTTTTAAATAATTTATTTTAGTTTTTGCCTGTGCCACTCAAGATAAAATTTTTGTTTATGATTTAAATGTTGATAAAATTGGTAAACTTGCTGAATAAAAACCCTCTAAATAACCTAGATTAACAAATATTGCCTTTAATTAAAGAGATCCCATAATCTTAGTTGGTGATACTCATGGTGGAATTACACTACTTAAATTAAGTCCTAATTTAACAAAATGTAATAATTCTGACATATCCATCTAGCTGGAGTAAAACCATCTAATTTTCCAGATGCCAAAGTACCAAAAGAATTTGAAAATATGCCTTTGGAAGAATATGAAAAATAAAAAATGGAAACGCTATTACAGGTAGTTTCTAAGTGGGAAAGAGAAGATTCCTGATATCATAAATTATAAAAAGTATTTATTAACATTGTTCAATTCATATTTTCAAATCAAAAATTAATATAATAAAAGTAATTATTTTATCCTAATCCATCAGTCAACATCATAACTTTACTTAAAAATTTATCATCTCTTATCTCTATTTGATGACCTCTCTCATGCACATTTAATCATAATGAAAAAAATACAGAATCAATTAAATTGGATCATTCAAAGATCTTTAACTTTAATAAGCTATTGGACTTCAAAAAGAATGAAGACTCAAAAATGAAATCTTAAATTAAGAATATTAGAATTATCATAAGAAGATATTATTTTAAAACATAGAAGAAATGAACAATTATTAATTATTGTTTAATTAGAATAAACTCTAAATTAATTAAATAAAAATAAAGATTTATTGATTGCTGAAATGGACATTCAATAATTAATTATTGAAAAGCATGAGAATTAATTAAATGTTTTTAAAGTGGATAAATCACTCATAAGTTTTAGAGTTGGAAAAAAAAATTGCAGAATTAAATGATTAATTATAATTAATTAAAGATTAATCGATACAGATGCTCAAACTATAGGGTTTTAGAGTGGTGAAATCTCTAGATTTCAAAAGAAAATTGAATAAACCAAAGTTGATTTAAAAATCCTTCAAACTAACCTCCTTAAAAGAACAATCTTAAGATAGAGAAAATTTAATTGAGGATTAACTTAAGGAATTAAAAATTTTTTTTAAAATTAATAATGTAAAATCAAAAAAATTTGTTGAGGCTTTGAAAGTTCTTAAAAAAGAAAAAGAAAATTATAATAATTTAAAGTTAAAGCAACTTTATTTCTTATAAGAACTTAACGATTTATTGGAACTTGAATAATTTGCTCCTAAAATTAAAATTTTTTATTAATTTAAAGAAAATCTTTTCAATTCAGTCTATTACTAATGACCGAAAAGAGTAATTAGAAAAGAAGAAAAAAGACTATCAATCTCGANTAACAAATATTGCCTTTAATTAAAGAGATCCCATAATCTTAGTTGGTGATACTCATGGTGGAATTACACTACTTAAATTAAGTCCTAATTTAACAAAATGTAATAATTCTGACATATCCATCTAGCTGGAGTAAAACCATCTAATTTTCCAGATGCCAAAGTACCAAAAGAATTTGAAAATATGCCTTTGGAAGAATATGAAAAATAAAAAATGGAAACGCTATTACAGGTAGTTTCTAAGTGGGAAAGAGAAGATTCCTGATATCATAAATTATAAAAAGTATTTATTAACATTGTTCAATTCATATTTTCAAATCAAAAATTAATATAATAAAAGTAATTATTTTATCCTAATCCATCAGTCAACATCATAACTTTACTTAAAAATTTATCATCTCTTATCTCTATTTGATGACCTCTCTCATGCACATTTAATCATAATGAAAAAAATACAGAATCAATTAAATTGGATCATTCAAAGATCTTTAACTTTAATAAGCTATTGGACTTCAAAAAGAATGAAGACTCAAAAATGAAATCTTAAATTAAGAATATTAGAATTATCATAAGAAGATATTATTTTAAAACATAGAAGAAATGAACAATTATTAATTATTGTTTAATTAGAATAAACTCTAAATTAATTAAATAAAAATAAAGATTTATTGATTGCTGAAATGGACATTCAATAATTAATTATTGAAAAGCATGAGAATTAATTAAATGTTTTTAAAGTGGATAAATCACTCATAAGTTTTAGAGTTGGAAAAAAAAATTGCAGAATTAAATGATTAATTATAATTAATTAAAGATTAATCGATACAGATGCTCAAACTATAGGGTTTTAGAGTGGTGAAATCTCTAGATTTCAAAAGAAAATTGAATAAACCAAAGTTGATTTAAAAATCCTTCAAACTAACCTCCTTAAAAGAACAATCTTAAGATAGAGAAAATTTAATTGAGGATTAACTTAAGGAATTAAAAATTTTTTTTAAAATTAATAATGTAAAATCAAAAAAATTTGTTGAGGCTTTGAAAGTTCTTAAAAAAGAAAAAGAAAATTATAATAATTTAAAGTTAAAGCAACTTTATTTCTTATAAGAACTTAACGATTTATTGGAACTTGAATAATTTGCTCCTAAAATTAAAATTTTTTATTAATTTAAAGAAAATCTTTTCAATTCAGTCTATTACTAATGACCGAAAAGAGTAATTAGAAAAGAAGAAAAAAGACTATCAATCTCGATTACAGTAAATCTAACTGCTTGATGAATTTTTCAATAAAAAGATTTTGTAATACTTAAATTTTAAATGAGGGATCGATGAGCGGAAAAATTAAATATTATTTTGATTGAATGTAAAAAAATTAAAATGAATATTATAATAATATGAATAAGAATTTGGATTTCGTTGAAATCAATTTAAAACAAATCTACAATTATTAAACATGGAATAAGATAGTTGCGATATGATAAAAGAGAAGAATAAAATGCTGAAAATGCAATTAAAATAATGATAAAAGTAATTAGTTATATAAAGAATATTATAAATTCTATATACTAAGTTTAAGATCAAATAGTAAATTTTTATTTATAAATTAAATTAAAAAAATGCAATTAAAGTCAATAACAAGCGAGAAATAAGGAAATAAAACTACTGGATTTGGTTCGAGTAGAATAGATTATTAAAGACTTAACACAGCCAAGTTGAAATCATTAGAATCTATAATATCTGATAAAAATAATAAATAAGTTTTGTAACCTTTAGGCAGAAAAGATGTATTTTTAATTGATACATCTAGCATAGCAAATTAAAATGTTATAGGACTATTTATAAGAAAAAATACATGAATATTCTTAGGTTGAGAAAAAAATTGAACTTTACAAAAAGGAAGGAGATCAAATGAATGATTATGTGGAAGATCTAATTAAGGAGTATTGTTTGTAATTAGTACGTTAAGGTAAAAGAGATGATCCAACTCCTGATTAAATAAAATTTTTGCAAGAAAAGAAATAATAATTGAAATAAGAGACAATACAGTTACATAATTTAAATAAGGTATAATATTTTGAATTGGAAGTTTAACAAGGATTAAGTTTAAAATTGAATGCATAAAAATAATAATTGAAGAAAAAAATTTAACTATTTGATGAATATTATAAAAAGACTGAATAAAAAATCAGGTAAAAATAACCTAATCTTGATTTTAATGAAATGCCTAAGGCTTAACGAAATAAATAAAAACCAAATGCTGTAGCTATAATATAAAAGACACCAGATGAAATTTTATAAGAAAAAACATTATTAATAGATGAATACACTAAAAAAATAGAATAATTGACATTTTAGATATAAGAGATAACAAGAACTTGCATTTTAGAGAAATAAGAATTAATAAAAAAGATTCAAGATACTAAAGAAGAGTAATTAAAATTAAGTGATAAAATATTAAACTTAAGATTGAGATTGAACAAATTTGATAAATTAGAATAATCTTTGTCTAGTGATAAGCGTATTTCTGATATAAAATCTAATGACACAGAACATTCATAACAATAACAATAAGAATTGATCATATGAATTTATATATTTTAAATTAATCATGGACTAATAAATTGCACTTTATCTGAAAATGATTTCCTATTATGAACAAAAATTATAAACGATCAAATAAACCCTCTATTCCAATAATATGGATAATATATTTAGATCTTTTGAGTTATTATCGAACAATGAAGATACTATCACTAAGAATTCTTTGTTAAACTTTTTTGTTCAGAATCTACATCCTATCAATTATAAAGATATTATTGAATTCATATGGTTTATAGGCGATAAAGATAGATTTACGATCAGTAAACAATAATTTAATGTAATTGTTAATTTTTAAAAAGATTAGAATTACTTAACAAAACTTTTACTTCATAAATCAAACACTATCATTGATCACACCAACAATGATCTTTAAGTCTAGCTTTTAAAATTACTCATTCAATAAATAAGGGTGATTAAACAAATTAAAGACAATAAATTATAAATAATTAACAATGATGACTTCAATATTTATAAAGTACTTATTATAGATTTATTTCAAAGATCTTTTAAAATCTTAGTGATCAAAATGATATAATAACTTGCTCTACTCTATTAAATTATATGAAAAATAAAAAAGTCTAATTTAACAACTTTGATTATGATTTACTCACTTTTGCCCTATTTGGAAAGAAATGCAACATTAATTTCGATCACTTTAAAGATTGTTCACTCTTTTCCAACAATATTTCAAATAAACAATATATAAAATCAAGAGAAATTCCAGAAGAAAAATAGATGACTCATTCTTATATTATCAACCTAAGTAAATCTATTATTCAACAATAATAATTGATGCCGATTAGTGAAGCTAGTAGTATTGTTGAATTCAAGGCTTCTGAAATTAAACCTAAAACTAAAAGATATTAAGAATAAACTAATGTACCTAGACCCTATTGATTGATATTAAACATTTATTTTTAACATAATAATTCATATCAAATTATATCTATATCTAGTGAAACTAATAGAAGATTTTTATATTAAATTTACATATTATTGAAATTCTATTATATTCAGTTTTTCCTTAAATGACAAGATTCTAATGAAGTATTATGCTCATAATTTAATTCTTTTTTCTATTATTTTATTTATTATAATAACTAATTAAACATATCATATTCTTGCATAAAATATTATTTCTAACTTCAAATTAAAAATATAAGGAAAAGAAACATCTTGAAGTTAAGAGATTTTTCATCGCAAAAATTGAATATTGAATAGGAGAAAGATTCTTAATTGAAAAAATCTAATAGAAAGAATTCAAAAGCAATACCTTACCCAGTTTGTATAAATCTGAAGTGGAAATTGAAAAATTATTATTAATAAATTTAAATAATAATAAAATATAAAGATGGCTTAAGCTGATAGAAAAGCAGTTGTTAAAAATGCTGATATGTCAGAAGAAATGTAACAAGATGCAATAGATTGCGCAAATCAGGCATTGGAAAAATTCAACATTGAAAAAGATATAGCTGTATACTAAAAATGTTAAATATTAGGCATTCATTAAAAAAGAGTTTGATAAAAAATATAATCCAACTTGGCATTGTATTGTTGGTAGAAACTTTGGTTCATATGTAACACATGAAACTAAACATTTTATTTATTTCTATATGGGATAAGTTGCCATCCTCCTCTTTAAAAGTGGATGAAAATTATATATTCATATATATAACCATATATTTATGCCATGTCTTTTATAAACTTTGTTCTAGAAAATTAGAACAATAATAATTAATATATAAGTTTCATTCTTAATTTTTTCTGTTATATAAAATATTTATCTAATTTAAATTGAAATAAATCATAAAATTTTTAGTGCTTAATAAAAGAATTTAAGCATATACTTAGTATAATGTAAAGTCAAATTAGAATAAAAAATTAAATGAGAATCCTTAATTTTTTTATAGATTTTATCATAGATATTTAATGTTTTTATCATTATATTATAATTAAATCGGAAATTAATAACCTTGAATCTAACATTTTCGAATGATAAGAAGTGATTAAATAAATATATAAGAAGAAATTATATATATAAGTATAAATTTAAGAATTTATATTATATTAATGAATAAAAAGAATAAGAAACCTACACTTTTAGCATAATTGTATTTTGATTTACTTCAAGAGATGGATAATGTATGAATAAACATAAATTAGAGAGCATAATCGATAATGATATTGATCAGTCATAAATAGTTAATCAAGATGATACATCTTTATAATTTAACATAATTTAACTCTTTAAATCAATTGATTAGATGCGCTAATAATTGCAATAACAATTAAATGAGCATATTAAAAATGATTATGAAACAGTAATCTAAAATTTAGAAGCCTCTGTGAGGAAACATATTAGAACCTAATATTAACTGAATCTTTAGATTGAATTACTAAATAGTAAAATAGAAGAACTAATAAAAGAAAAAGATATCTTGGGGAAATAATTTGAAGATAAAATTCATAAATTGTAATTATAATTGTAAGAGAAACATACTGAAAGTACAGGAAATTTATAAAATAATTTTCTAAACCATTTTTCTTAATTGGATTTGAATACATAAAAGAAAACACCATCAGCTTACGAGAAAATTAATAAGTTAATGTCAAATAAGTCTCAATAGAATATACTTAGTGTAAATGGTTTCTTAAATTAAGATGAGCGTTCTCTTTCTTAAAGAAAAACGTCTTATCCTTTAAGAAAATCGATTGATACTAAATTACTATCATAAGATAATAAGAAAAGATAAATTTGCTTTTAAAAGAGCAGACTCTAATAATCTATTGTTAAATAAGATTACTCATGTTCTTAGACATAAAGGGATGAGTAAGTAAGTGTTGATTAGAGAAAGACTAAAAAGATTATATTATAGTTAAAGGGATCAATTCCTTAGTATAGTAATATTCATTTAACTAGATCTGGTTTGCAATTTTGATTAATTAATATATATATATATGCAAAGTAATACTATAAAGTAATTATTGTTGGATATTACAGAAATTGTAGATGATGTAATACATCTTCTTTGAATTAGGAAATAATTAAAACATGCCAACAGATCAATTAAGTAAATGTAAAGTAAATTTACGAGTAATCAGAAAAAATATAATATGATTATATACTCTAAGTTGTTACTCATTTGAATAGGTAACACTCTAATCAATTTGAAAAGGGTGAAAAATCTATATGAATTATAATTAGAAGAGTAAATAAACAATGATTATGAAACAGTGATCTAAAAACTTGAAGCATCAATTAGAACTCATATAGGAATTGAATAGTAATAGAAATTGCAAATTGATGCTTTAATATAAAAAATAGATGAAATCATTACAGAAAAAGATTTTATTATAAAATAATAATTAGAAAAAATAAAATCTTTGGAATAAGTCATTAAAGTTAAATTTTATAATTATTTTAGGATCAACATAAAAAATATTTAGATAGTTCACCTAAAGAGATTTTGCATAAAAAAACCCCTTCTGCTTTTGAAAGGCTGAGTAAATTGGTTTCAAATAAATCTTAAAAAAGTTTATAAAACTCAAATAATTAAGCCAATTTTAAAGCATTATTAAAAATATGTAATACAGAAAAAGATCGTTCTATATCTAAAGGAAGAAAACAGTTATCTGCTAAAAGAGAAGTTGGATATAAAAGAGTAAATGATGAAACTTAGTATAGAAATGTATTTATAAAGAAATCTAGAATCTAAATTGACAGAAAAAAAAAGATAAAGTGATTCTAAAGGTGAAAAACGACATCGACTATAAAAATCAGAAAAATTAAATGAACAATCTTAATAATCTGTAAGTACTGAGAAACAAAATAAATATAATAAAACAACAAAAAAAGAATCATCATTAATAAGAGTATTATTATTTTCTAAAAAAGTAAAAGCCAGAATAAACATTATCTAGCCAAAGTTTTGATTAAGTTGGTAAAAGTTTATAAGCCTTACAAAAATAACTTTCAAATTCTCGTCTATAAAACAACCAAACCTCATAATTACTTAAATTTTTATCTAAAAAATGATTTTATATATATATAATCAGTAACCAGGCTTTTGCTAACTACTTCTAATTTAACTTTTTGATCTTAATTTTTCTTCAACTTATAAACATTAACTAGGTTACACAGGAATAAGTCTTTTTATTCTCCTGCGATATGTATCTATCCTCTGTTGTTCAAAAAGTTTTAATGCTTATTCTCTCTATTCATCTAATTCTATAAATACACTTCATAATATAATAATAAAATACTTCTTTGTTTAGTTAAAATTTGAATCTCTTCTGCGTTTGTTAATCCCTTAATAAATCATTTACTATTAAACTTTACTTATATCATATTGTGGTATTTCCATTGTTGTGCTTTCTATTTACTATTTAAGCCTAAATGAATATATTCCTAAAGTATTGATAACTTCAAGAAATTCCTCTTCTGTAAGTTTTTCAATTAAAGGTCTCAACTAATGCCATCTAGGATTTTCATACTTTTATTAAGTGTATAATCTGTCAAAAATTGAGCTTTATTTTTCAGAAGAAGGTTCAGGAGTTAAGTCTCTAACTTTTTTATGATTATATTCTAATGAACATTAAGCCTATTTTAATAACATATTTAATGAAACAGCTATCTAATTTTCATTCTATTAAATAACATATTTTTGATTTTCTGGGTTTTCTTGATACTAGGTTGATTTATAATCATTTATTATATCAGTTTATGTAGAGACAACCTTTTATTTGCTTTTTTTAATAGTTTCATATTTATTTTGTTCTAAATTTTTAATAATTGATTTTGATTCTTTTTTTTCTTTAATTTTCTGTTCTTCCTTTTTTCCCACTAATTCATTATTTATTTAAATCGTTTAAGTTTATTTATTTAATTTTCCACTTTATTAAATTTAATTCACAGCTTTAACAGATTCTATTTAATAAATAATTAGTTTAATTTCTTAAATTAATTTAAATAGATCAAATCCTTCCAAATTATTTAATTTATTAAGAATATCTTTAATTGGAGTAGAATTCTCTTTCATTAAATCACAATTATCTAATCTAAGATTACTTTAGCCTTATTTCTTCAGCAATAGATTTAAAATATGTTTTAAATTAGTCATCAAAAACTAATTTTGTTATTTAAATTAATAAGAATTCTATTTTTCATTCGTGATCATATTTGATAGATTATAAATTTCAGTTTTCATTTACTCAATCTTTGATTATTAATTTAAAATTATTTCATTTTACTTACAGTTATCATTCGAATTTAATATTAAATCTTATAATAATTTTAATTATTCTTTATATTCATTTTCTTATGATGATATCTTTAAGTGTAATTCATCAATTTCTTCTTTCTTTTTTTGTATATCAATAAGATATTAAGCACTTATTTAAGCTTGATAATCTTCCATAATAATACGAGTATCAATTATTTTTTTTAAATCTTCATTTTTGGTTTTGAAGACATTATTAATTTTTTCATAATCAATTCCATAATGATGTTATTAATTACGTAAAATATCTAAAATATAATTAATAGATTTTAGATCTTAAATATACTTAAAGATAATATAAGGATTAGATTCTCTTTCAAGTGCAATTTTTAGTAAATCTTTGGTTGTAAAATCATCAATGAACGGTTTTTTAATATCATCTTGATTGTTATGAGATACCCTTTAACTTTATAATTTATCCATAAATTATTTAACATAATGTTCATATTGAGTTTTTATGTCCTTAATTTTTTCATTCATAAGAACAAGAATTTCTGGATCAATTATTTATGTCTAGTCAAAATATTTAATATTAAAAACAGATGCAGAATCATCGGTTTATTGATTTTAAACAAACTGTGTTTTAAGTAGAGAGACTTCCTTTTAGGATTTATTAACCATTAATTCTATGTTATTCTAATCATGTTCAAGTTTCTAAATTAATTCTTGGATTTTGGATTCTTTTTTGTCTAATTCAAGTCGAAGTCTCTGTATTTCAGGGTTAAACTCCTTCATCTTACCAGTCTGCCTTATAAGAGGAGCTAGTTTTTACCAATTTGATTTGCAAACTAACATTTTCATCTTCACTTTCTGATTCACTAAAGCCTTCTTTAAAATCATAAAATTTCTAGATATTTCTTTTTAAGATTTCCACATCTTTGGATTATACAAATTGTAATATGCAATCAACTTTGTTCTTTAATTCTGTTTATAATGATGGAACATTTTTATTGAAATTTATGGTTGTATGATCAAATCCATTCACAATTAAGTCAAGTATGAAATGCATAATAGAAAGAACAAAGGTTTCTACTTTATTTTGGCAGTCCTTAATCATTAAGGAATCAATACTAAGATTATGCGATTATTTTCATCATCTTGCTTAAAATAGCTCCTAAGACCTCGAATTGTCATCGTAATTGGATAAAGCAATTTATCCAAATTGAGTTAATTCATTAAATTAATAATGGGATTTGTGTTTTCTAAAATATTCAATTCTCTAATAGGATAGAAAGAAATGCGTATTCTAATTTTAGGATTGGATAACTCAGGGAAGACAACTATTTTATGTATTCATAATTAATCTATTTAAAGATAAATTGCATTTGAATGAGGTAATCTAAACTGCACCAAGTAAATCAATATTTTATTAATAAGCTATGGGTTTCAATGTAGAAACTCTTACTTATAAAAATCTAAAATTCCAAGTTTGGGATTTGGGAGGTCAAAATGCAATTAGGTATTCATTACATTTATACGTGTAGATTATATTGGAGATCTTATTACCCAAATACCAATGGCATTATATACGTAATTGACTCTTTTGATGAAGGAAGACTAAAAACTTCAAAAGAAGAATTGATGACCTTATTATAAGAAGAAGAACTTAAAAATGTTCCATTATTAATTTTGGCAAATAAACAAGTTTAATTTGGTTATTATTATAAATTTACAGGATATGTAAGGAGCATTGAGCGAAACTGAAATTTGTGAGTTCTTAAAATTAGAAGAAGAAAAATCACGAAATTGGACTATGTATCAATTTATTATATTTGATATTAGAGTTAAATGTAGTGCTTTAACAGGTTTAGGTTTAAGTGAAGGTATGGAATGGATGGCTAATGCTATGAAAAAATGATTAGCCTTGTTTAATATATAAAGAAAATAAATAATTCTTAAAAAATTACTTTCAACTAGATAAACCATAATCTATCCATATTTACTAATGTTAATCTATCTAATAATCTTAAGTATTATTTTATAAGTAAGAATATTTTCATTTTATTGTAAATTTATAAATTATTGAATTTAAATTTATTACAAAGATAAACAATTATAATAATAATCAACTCTTATTAATTGTCTATAATTCATTTATTTTCTTTTAATAAGACATAATTCAAACCTTTAAGAAAAAGCTTCAGAAAACTTAAAGAAAATTTTATTTTCATATAATCACTAAAATAGATAATTATTGAGTTCAATATTTATAAGACAGAAAAAGTGTTAGTTTTTTCATTTTTCATATATACACCTATAATATAATGTAGATTTTTTATAAATTAAATAAAATAGAAATGAAAAAATTAATCGGAAAGGGGTTTTATTTCTTGATCATTATTATTATATCAATTGTTCATTTTGGTTTTCTTCCTCATCATCTTCTCCGTCCAATTTTCCATCGATATCATAGAAGTATTCTTATGAGTCTTTATCTAATATCCACCATCCCTTTGGAACAAAATCGCGAGAATAGTAGCATCCATTTGGCTCAAAAAATCTATTGTCAAGCAAAGTGAAACTCACCCTTCTTCATAGTCTAACTCATAGAGAGTGTTTTCTCCTTTGATCATAAAGCCAATTTCATGACCATCTTCAAATACAGGATCAATCAACTTATTTTGGTTTGCTTCTATAAATTTTTCTGGTTTATGTTTTGGTAATATATTGATATCTATTTTGGAAGGAATTTCATCAAAAATAGGTTATGATTCAATCTAATCCATTTATAAATATTATTTATTTTTCTATAAAATAATCTGAAATTTTGTATTTTCAAAATTGAGGAAAAATTATTGAATTATAATATTAATAATTTTATGTTATCATAAAAAAAAGAACAATTTAGGTAGTAAATTAGGAAGCAAAGATTAGAAGAACTTTTTATGGAAATAAGAAAAAGAAGTATTTAAAAATGTGATACTCAGCAATGTTAAGATTAAATGGATGAGGAAATAATTAGTCTTTGCAATTAAATAGAAACAGAGCAAAATTTTAACATTTCCAAATTTCCTCTTCTAAAAGAAATTTTAAAGGGAGATTTAACAAATTAAAGAATACTATTGTTATAATTGATAGTGAGAAAATGCCAAGAAACTTAATAGACAGAGGTGATAGAAACACTTTTTGAAGATTTTCATTTAGGGTAAAAAATTTTGGAGCAGTGCGAAAAAGAACAAAATTTAGAATTTTTAGATGAATAATTATATTTACTTGGAATTCTATCATAGTCTTCATTATTATGCTAAGCTTCACTTATACAATTTTAAATTGTTCAAATTCTTAATAAGATTGTGGAAGTAGAAATTGAGTCCGATGATAATTATATGTCAACTTTTATGTACATAATAACAACATTTGTCGAACCAAACAGCAGAATTCCATTTTAAGATATTAAACCACTAATGTCAATTTTAGATAAATTATGCAAAAAATTGCGAGGAATAAATTATTTAGACATAGAATTTGATTTAGAGAACAATGAAAAATATTCTGAAACAAAGCATTCATTTCTTAGTAGAATCCTCCTATTTTTTCGATATTATATTGATAAATCTCAATTCACTGCTAACTTAACAATCTATTAAAATGTTTGGATAATCCTCACAACTTTAGCATTTATAGTTCAAGAATAATACTCATTAAGATAGAGTGCATTACAAGTTATTTGTGAATCGATGAAACTAAATGATCAAAATTTAAAATTTGATATTATAGAAAAGCATCCAGACATTTTTTTTCAATTACTTACAATTATCGATCACCATTCATCAAGTAATAAAGCTACTGATAAATGTATAAGAACTTAAGCATCTATTATTATGAAATAATTGTTTTGCGATTAATCTTAATATATTATTTAGAATATTCATTTAAATTAAATACCATTACAATTTTTGTAATTGATTGAAAGAGAAAGTAATTATATATTTTATGTTAGAGGATCGCCAAGTCTTATATCATTAATTAGATGCCTTATTTCTCATATGTTCTAGTAGCTCATTTTAGTAATGCATCGATTTATATAATAATGGATTATTAAATCTATTAATATCTCTATATAAAGAAATGAAAGAATGGCAGGATTTTATAATTAGTAAAGTTTTAATAAAATGTAATTAATCTATTTATTATATTTAGTAACCTTTGCTGTTATCCAACACAATTTAAGTGATAATCGTATATTGAACTTTTTAAAATAACATAAACTCGCAATATATTTGGATGATATAGTAATAAATTGCAAAAATGAAACTACATGTCAAAGAGCGAATCGAATACTTAAATATCTTTAATGATACAATTAAATTTATAAAAATATTCTTCATATTTTATATACTCCTAAAATTCCTAGATGATCACTTGGATAAACTCCTTCTGCAATTTTATCAGATCCAAAAAGAAGGCATTCTTAAACTTGAATATTGTTTCCTCTAATCCATATGTAATCAAAAGTTCCAGCAGGGTCAGTATCCATGAATGGACCTGTTAAACCCGTTGGAAATGTTATTTCAGGTTCTTTTTAGTTTGCCAAGACATAAGTTGATTTAAAATGTTGATTCATTTTTTTGTATTCTTAAGATTCAGGAGTTAAGTTAAAGTCTCCCATTAAAAAGATCCTCTCATTCATTTAGCTCAAAAGATAGGTAAAAATATTATCTATTTGATGACTTCGAACTTGATCATCACCAATAACATGATGCAAATGTGTATTGTAAATATGCACATCTCCAATTACAATATGTTATATATTTCTAAATACACTAATATGAACAAATTCATGAATTTTAACTTCAATGCCTTTTCTGACGAGGATTGCATTTCCATCTATTCTAAATTCAGGATCAGGATGTAAGGGGAATTGTAGTTGAATAGGAGCAAAGAATTTTTAGTAATCTTCAGCTAAGTAATCCAATTCTGGAAGTGCTACTTCTTAAAGAGAAATAACATCAGCATTTAATCCTTGTATAATGGTCTTTAATGTCTCTCTTCTTTTAAGATATTAATCTTATGTATTTCTAATATTGTAAGTAGCAATTCTCATTAAATTTTAATAATGTTGTTTAGAAGAGTCATTTTCAGATTTTCAAAGGAAAAGATAGATAAGATATTAGATCATGAAGAATATCTTACAAAACAAATTGACAAGATGGCTGCAGACTTTAATTCTTAGGATAAAAAAATATTCAACAATTATAAAGTTTTCTATACGAAAACAAATGTAGATGGTACTTAGAATTTGCTTAAAATAAAGGATTTTCAACTAAATTGAATAGATCTGCAACAATATATATTTCAATATGGGGTATGGTAGGTGGACTTTCCTATTTATACATTAACCCTTGGATAACTTTGATTCCAGTATTTTTTTCAATTTAAACAATATCATCTTATGTGGCTGGAAGGAAATACTTAGGAAAGTTGGTAAAATCAATAACATTGGAAAAGGATTAAAAAAAATGTTCGATTGAATTAGGAAATGGAAAAGTATTGGAAGTGAATGTTATAGATAATGAAATATTAAATATCAGCGATGTTATTTAGGTTTCAAAAAATAAAATAGAGGAAGAAGTGGTAACAAATAAAGTATTATAAAGAATGAAAAATATAGATAATCTAATTATGTTATATAATTTGAGACATAATATGATGGTAAATTATATGAGGATTTGAGAGTACTTGTAACAAAAGATAATGCCGAGATTCCAAATATAAAATTATTATAAGATATAATAACAGGAGAAGATGTGAGTGGATACATTTATGAAGAATTAGTAGAAAATAAGGAAGATATAATAAGAAAGGAGACAGATGAAGAATTAGAAAAGAGATTGAAAGATGAATTGAAAATATGAATTTTAATTGTGATAATAAATTAAACAATAAAATGACATCAGAAGATCCAAATGAGAAATGGAAGAAGATTCTTTTAAATCCTTATGGTAAAAGTAAGGATGATGTACAGAATGAAATAAGAGCAATGCATAAGGAATAATAAATGATAGATGAAGCAATAACAAGAGAGGCTTTATTATAATCAATAAAAGCAAAGAAGACTTATCGTAATTTAACTAATCCAAATACAAATGCTGATAAATAGAAATTAGTACCAGTAGATGGTGATTTAAAATAAGGAGCAAAAGTATTTATGAGAGCATGTGCTTCTTGTCATTCATTAGAAATATTTACAGGAAAACCATATGCTGCAGATTTTTCATTTTAAGAATCAAGTGGACCATCATTAGCATAAATATATAATAAACCAGCAGCTAGTTAAAGAGTATATGAGGAATATACAATGGCTTTATTAGATTCTAAAATATTTTGGAATAGTTATAATTTATTTATGTGGGCAAAAGATCCATAAGCAATGTGTAAGGGTACAAAATGTTTACAAAGAGGAGAATTATTAGAGAGTGCAGAAGATAGGTAAATAAGATTTAATATTTGTAGGGCTGATTTAGTAAAATTTTTAAAAGGATTTACAAAAGCAACATCAGATTTATATAGACGATCATTTACAAAATACCATGGATATGAATGGTAAAATTATAGAGAATAAGGATTGGCCAAAGCAAGAGAGGTTGCTCATTAAAGATAAGGATATGAATAAGAAAAGAAATGATTTATTATTAATTATATCGTTTTTTGTTTTCAATCATGAAGTATTTACTAATGATTGTTTTGGTGTTTATGATAACAACCAAAGAGATTAGTTATATGTAAACAAGTAAAGAAAGTGGTTGAAATTAGATTGTTTACCAGCTACTGATTTAAATGGTTAAAAACATGATCCAACATATGCAGAATAAGCAAGAAAACATTTAACAAAATATGCTGAACAATCTACAGAAGATATGAGAAAGTATTCAGGTAGATAACCTTATCCAAATTTGAATACTTATTCTGAATAAAATTGTGCAGGAAGCGGAGCTGATTTACCAAAAAGAGATAGAAGATTTAGAAGAGGAGGATGATTATAATCAATAATCTAATTATATTCATATTTCATTAATCTTTTCTAAATTACCAAATAAAAAGATAACTTTAAAATAGTTCATGTTTACAATTTGATAAAATCATTAAATATTATATATAACTCAAATATCATCCATTTATTAAATAATCCTTATAATCAAATTATTCTTCTGGATAAAAAGAAGTAATAACAGTTCTCCTATTATATGTACGACCAGCAAGATGAAATTTAGCTTTCTTTGCAGGTATTTAATAATAAAATTTAACAAATATCTTTCCTACAGCTGGATTACAAAATCTAAATTATATAGTATTAATTACCCTGATTCTTTATCTGGTCTTGGTATTTCTATTTTTTCAATTTATCCATAACGTATACATTCACTTCTAATATCTTCCATTAACTCTTCATAAATATCATCTTCATACAAATCCTCAACTGAACACTATCATTATATCATATAATTTATACCATATTTAAAAATTGTACAACCTTACTAGGTATCAAAGAAGATTAAGGAATTGTTAACATCTATTATACTTATGGCATTCTTAATAAATCACAAGATGCTAAAAATGAACCAGCATAATTTGAAGGTTAATCTCTTCCATTAATTTTTTTATTTTGTTAAGGTTCTCCTTAAACTTTACATATTTTTAATTTCTTGTCCCCAATCTATAAATTATTTAATGCTTTTAAAGCTTTTGCTGTTGAAACTGTATTTTCATATTCAAAAAAACAATATCCTTTTGATATCTCTGTATTAGATGTAGTATCCTTAACTAAATTAAAATATTTAGTTGTTCCAAAAGATTAAATTAATTTCATAACATCCTCATCTCTCAAATAAGTTGGTAATCCTCCTAAATACAATCTTGTATTATCTTCTTATTTCTATTCAGCATTTAACTCCCCTTCCCTTGATTATGGATTTAAAATCCTTTCTAGAAACTTTCGTGGTCTCTCTACTTTTATTTTACAATTATTCACAAATTAAACTTAATCTTAAGTTACTAATGCTCTCTTAGCTTCCTTAGAACTACATTCCAAAACAACCCATGATTTTGTAGCTCCATATTCTATTGTCTTTATAGGTCTTTCAGCTTATATATTATTTTACAAATACTTATTTTTGGATCTAGTGATGTAATAAGTGTATTAAAATATTCCTCCAATTCTTTTAGTTATACATTCAAAGGAACATTTGATACTATCATCATATAAGGATTATTCTCATATATTGCATATTTCTCTTTTATATGTTAAGGTAAATCAGGATCTTATAAAATCTTAGAACTCTTAACCTTATTCTACCAATCATCATCAAAATCAGTCAGAATTTCCTCTAATTATCTTATTTACAATTACCTTCTTCTCCCCATTTCTTCTTCTTTTTATTTTTCTTTTTCTTTTTTTTCTACTCTTATTATTACAAATTTGACTCTTTTTTATCATTTCTCTCATTCTCATCAGATTCCTACTCAATTTACTCTCTCTATTCTTTTGCCTCTTTGATATCCACTTCTTAATTCATATAATTTAATAATTAATTATTTTCATTCCTCTAATTATTATAATCTTCATCTCTTATTTTTTATGCAAATCATACATTATCTAAATATATATATTCAATCTTAATCAAATCTTCCATTCTTTACTTTATCAATTTAAACTCTACTCTATTCTATTCTAATTTTTTATTAATATCATCTTATTATCCATATCTGAATTCTTTTATTTTATTCTCATATTTTCAACATTTTCAACATTTTCCTCTCCTTTTTTTTACTCATCATCATCTTCATTCTCTTCTATTTATTTCTAAATCTCCTCATTTTTATTAATATTTTCATTAATATTTCTCCCTTCCCCAAATCCTTCCAAATCTTCATCATACTTCAAATCTCTATATTATTTATTTTATACCATTCTCAAATTCTAATTAACCTTCAGAATCATTATCTGAACATCTTTATTAAATTTCATACGAAAATTCCTCCTCATATTTCTCACTATAATGATACTTTCTCCCCTATTCATCTATCTTTGTTTCCGATCTTCTTATTACACTTGAATTTAATAAAACCAACTATAGAAAAACGATTATTAACATATTATATATTAAGAAAGTAAAGGAATAAATAAAATCAAAAGTTTATTAAAGTCTCTACATTTTAAAGGATCTTTTCAAATAGTGTATCCAATTATTCTTTCCATATTGGTTTTAACCCTTCTAGTTATTCAAGTTTTTCGTTTTATAATAATCCTTCTAATACTTCATTATTATCACCAGTGTTTTATTAAATGTTTATTTCATTACAAAATAAACCATCTTTTTAATATTATATTGACAATTTTTTATAGACCATATTGCCATTAGGATTTTTCAATTTTCTCATATTTTAAAATCTATTCACAAATTATTTATGCAACAAACTTGCAATTATTACTATTATTTATTAAGTTTAAATTTTATATTTCTAATTATAAGTAGGTAAATTATTCACTATTTATAATAAGTTTGGAATTATTATCTAAAAGAGCAAGAATTCTGTTGCTATTGCCAATTTTTATTCCCTTTCAATATGAATTTTATTTGCTTAATAAAAATGACATCTCTCTCCTACAAAATATGATGTTTCTTATTTTGAGGTTTTAAAAAGACTAGCAATTAATTAGCATTTTATAAGTTCTGGAATATTGCACTCTCTAGTCAGCAATTCCAAATTTTAATAAATCAATCTAGAAAAGCATTGAACTCTAAGTTTTTTCCAATCCTTATTCTAAATTGGGTTAGAAATTTCATCAATGGAATTACATTCATCAATATATGTTTAACTTTTTAAGTAGTGAACGACCTTATTTGAAATAATTTAAACGAACTATTATTATTATGCTTCTATGGATTTTATGCCATTTGAATTTATAACCTTCTAACAACTCTAAAGCTTTTTATTTAATAGAGTTATTGTTTTTTTTTCCTCTTTTTTTCGTAAACTATAGTTTTTTGAAATCACCATAGATGAAAATACGAATAGAAACACTGCTTTCAGTTTTCTACGGGAATTGTTTGTACTGCTTCTTAATCTCTCATTTTCTTTAATCTAATGATTAAAGATCACCTAATCTTAATATAGTGGAAAATGGTTTATTATTGTTGACTAATTTAAGCTAATCGAATTATATTTATCCTCTTCTATCTTTGTATACCTTCTTAAAGAGTGTTTTAAGCTCTCAGTTGAATTGTCGAAATTTTGTACATTAGTTTAGTAGAGGCTATAACATCTTTATTTACTACTTTTCTCTTCTATTTATATTCTGTTTTATTTTCTTTTTTCTAAGTTCCTTTCTTAAACAATTTTCTTATTCTAATAATACTTTTCAAGAAGGTCTTAGGTTTAACACTCTTAATCTTTTTCTGTTAAGCCCAATAACTATTTTAATGGAATGTTGGGGTTCTTTTAAGAATATTAATGATTATTTCTATTCAAGTCTTCTATTACTGAGATTGTATTAGGTTTAAATCCATTATTTTTATTATTTCCAATTGTACTTTTCGTTGATATCATTGGTAAGTTAAAATACTCATTCATAAGTATATCTCCTTTAGAATGATTAATTGAGCTCAATCTTCTTATTGATTTTGGCGTAGATCTTTATGAATTTATGGATGGTGTGAGTTTGAACATTTTAAATCTTAATTTTGATTAATTAATTATTATATATTTAGTTTATTAATCTACCTAAAAGTTCAATCTTCTTTAATAGTTCTGATTATAAGAAATTCTATTACTCTTAACAAATAATTTTTTATTAGTAAATCATCTAAATCGTCATTCTTACTCATTCCTTCATAAATTAGAATATAAATGTAAACCAATTAAAAATTTAATTTATTATGTAATATAATCATTATAATTATTTTGAGAATTAAATATGCTAAATCATAGAGATTCACAAATTTGTACTAATATATTAATAATACCTTCAGGCTTAGGCTGAGCAGTAAAAAGTGAATTTTCTTATGTCTATTAATTGTATTTGGCTTTTAATAATTTAACTAATAATTCATTATTATTATTGGTAGTAAATATTATAATTATATATTTATAATAATATAGTAATCAAATTTTAGTATATTTTTCTATGTGTCTATTATTTATATAAAATAAAACGGATTAATTAAATGCTGTATTGAAAATAATATAATTTAATTTTTCCAAAAATTTTCCTTATCATTAATTTAGAATGCAAATAATCCAAGATGGCATGATAATGAATAACTCAGAGATGGAGAAAAAATAGACAGAGAAAGAAAAAATAAAATCAATATGTTAGCAGTTGAAAAATATTTGTACTGTTTCTTAAAAACTCTTGACCCCTTAACAAGCATAAAAACGAATAAGGAAGTAGAAGGTATTGAAAAAAGTAGAAAAAAATCATAACTCCGAAAAAGAATCAAGCGACATTAAACCCAAAAAGACTATTCCAAATTATTATTAAGTATTTCGAAATGAATTGGAAGAGAAGATTGCATTAATTAGTGGATTATAGCAATAGATATAATACATAAAGTTGACGATGTCTCAAATATGAGTTATGAAATAATAATTTTTCTTATATTCTTTATACATAAAGGAGATGTCTTAACTATTTCTTGAATTATAAATTGGAAAATGACAAAAGACTTAGCTTACTTGAAATGATACTCAATCAAGGCCTCTTAAAATTGAATTTTAAGAAAACTTTACCTGAAAATAAAAAGTAAAATGATTTAACTGATTAGGATTTGATTATTCATTAAATTTAAATTCTTCAATAAAATAATGTGTATTGAAAAATTTAAGTAAATTTTAGTATTATTTTTATTCCAGCACATCACTTCGAAAATCAAATATCTAGAAAAGGCTTGATAAAATTGTTAACTTTCAAATTTGGCTTATCTTTTAAAAAAGTCGCTTTCACTTTAAAAGTTTTAAAATTTTATATATATACATAGAGTAATAGTATTTTTGATTCCATTATTATATTATTAATAAATTAAATTAATATATACAATAGTGATGGTTTTTCACCAAATAATACAGCATTCTTTTCTTTTTCCTTTCCTCTTATTTTTTTCAAAATTATAACTCAGCATCTTTAAAAACGCTTCTTCTTTTGAATTTAGTTCTAAACTTTTCGAAGTCATAAAGCTAGTTTTGGAATAGCTTTCTTTATTCTCTTATTTCGAAGAATTCAATAAATCTAGATTAACAATTTGATTTTATTCACTATCAAGAGTGAATAATTAGGCTTTATCATTGATTGTTATCTCATATTTTGAACCTTATTTAATTTCTTAACCTTTTCTATCATACCTTTTAACTTAAGTTATTTTGATCTTAAATACTCTAATTTCCTTTTTTTATTTCCTTTTTTAATGCACTTTTTGGTTAAGTAAAATCATTTATTTTCCTCTCCTCTTTTTTCATTTCTAGGATTTTTTGTTGTTTTAATAAATTGATATATTTTTTGAATGATATTATTAACAAAAACATGAATTATATGATTTACTATATCCTTTTAATTTATTGATGATTATAATTAAGAATATATTTCTTAGACTGAGTAATTTATATTCAAATTATTAAAACTATGTAGCCATAATTATTCATGTANAAGACTATTCCAAATTATTATTAAGTATTTCGAAATGAATTGGAAGAGAAGATTGCATTAATTAGTGGATTATAGCAATAGATATAATACATAAAGTTGACGATGTCTCAAATATGAGTTATGAAATAATAATTTTTCTTATATTCTTTATACATAAAGGAGATGTCTTAACTATTTCTTGAATTATAAATTGGAAAATGACAAAAGACTTAGCTTACTTGAAATGATACTCAATCAAGGCCTCTTAAAATTGAATTTTAAGAAAACTTTACCTGAAAATAAAAAGTAAAATGATTTAACTGATTAGGATTTGATTATTCATTAAATTTAAATTCTTCAATAAAATAATGTGTATTGAAAAATTTAAGTAAATTTTAGTATTATTTTTATTCCAGCACATCACTTCGAAAATCAAATATCTAGAAAAGGCTTGATAAAATTGTTAACTTTCAAATTTGGCTTATCTTTTAAAAAAGTCGCTTTCACTTTAAAAGTTTTAAAATTTTATATATATACATAGAGTAATAGTATTTTTGATTCCATTATTATATTATTAATAAATTAAATTAATATATACAATAGTGATGGTTTTTCACCAAATAATACAGCATTCTTTTCTTTTTCCTTTCCTCTTATTTTTTTCAAAATTATAACTCAGCATCTTTAAAAACGCTTCTTCTTTTGAATTTAGTTCTAAACTTTTCGAAGTCATAAAGCTAGTTTTGGAATAGCTTTCTTTATTCTCTTATTTCGAAGAATTCAATAAATCTAGATTAACAATTTGATTTTATTCACTATCAAGAGTGAATAATTAGGCTTTATCATTGATTGTTATCTCATATTTTGAACCTTATTTAATTTCTTAACCTTTTCTATCATACCTTTTAACTTAAGTTATTTTGATCTTAAATACTCTAATTTCCTTTTTTTATTTCCTTTTTTAATGCACTTTTTGGTTAAGTAAAATCATTTATTTTCCTCTCCTCTTTTTTCATTTCTAGGATTTTTTGTTGTTTTAATAAATTGATATATTTTTTGAATGATATTATTAACAAAAACATGAATTATATGATTTACTATATCCTTTTAATTTATTGATGATTATAATTAAGAATATATTTCTTAGACTGAGTAATTTATATTCAAATTATTAAAACTATGTAGCCATAATTATTCATGTATCTTGATAGAATTAAAAGGCATTTTTGTTGGTTTCTTTGAACAATTATTTTATATATAAGAATTTACTAGAAAAAGTAGCAATCTTGAAAATCTATAAAAATTAAGCAAAAATAATTTTAATTACCTTGAACATATTACATAACTAATATGAAAAAATTTTGTAACAAGAGAGTATTATTTTTGCTTAAAAGAGAGAAATATAATTGAAAAATAAAAATTATATATAAATGCCGATATTGATTTTATGATAAGATTAAGATAAAAAAAAGTGATTTTAGTTGATAAATTAAATTTAAAAAACTATATTTATGAGGAATTAGATTGTCTTAAAATTTCCAGAAGCTAAATTGTAAAATATTAAAATAATTTTACCTTATTATGTATTTTTATTTTGGAATTTTAGTTTGATAACTAATTTTTGAAAGTTAATTGTACTTGCTTAAAATAAAAAAATAAATAAAGTAAGCAGCTCGTGATTAAGATAATGAGCATTAGAGATGAGTTGAATGAGTTTATAATTGAGTTTTAAATTTTTGAATTTAATTAAAACATAAACACATCAATATAATTTATCTTCTTCCACCTCCCTGAAAAATACTTGTTTTTCTAGCCATTATACTAGCATCTTAGGCTCTTATTTAAGAACCTCATCAAATTTAAACCATTTCTTTTCTCCATTCTTCAACTTGACTAAAATATTGTCTTTTTAATGTTAACACACTTCAATTATTTCTGAGTTCATTTTAAAATTAAATTTATATTCTAAATTTTGCATATAAATCAACTTTTAAATAGTTAATTAAATTAGAATAATTATATATTGAACAATTTTAGATGCATAAGTAAATTGAATAAATTTGATGATCTGATATTATTTTTGTTTTAGATTATTATATATTTTAAATTTTACAATAATTCTAGAGATGGGTAAAATTTAAAAGAGACATAGGATATTTGATTATTGAGTATACAAATGAAATTGTTTTACTTAGTTAAGTAGAATTTATAATATAAATTTATATAAGTTAGAAATACCTATGTTGAGTAATAAATTAATTGAATAATTTGTATAAGGTTGATTATAGAGAATATGATAGAATAAGAAAAAGAGTAGATAGAGTAATAGTAAGGTTAAGTTTATCTAATATTAAGTATATTAATAAATATAGTATAAAACGGATTTTTATTGTTAATTATATAAAATATGAAAAAAGAATTGGTTATTGTATTGTTGATAATGGGATGTTTGGGAACAGAATTTGATGATTAAATAGCTGAACTTGAAGAATCTTAATTTGGATAGACAATATTGTAAACAATTTAGATGGAGATGTAAACAGATGATCCAGTTGTATCAAATTTGGTTGATATAATGCAACATTTAGAACAAACATTAGAAGGTGAGTAGAAAAGAGATGATGAAAGAATAGCAAGGTTCAAATAAAACTGTGATATTGCTTTGAGTTAATTGACAGAGATAATAAATACAAGCACAGTCACATCACTTACTTTAAAGAGTGATTTAGATTCATTAAATCCATAGAAAGTATAAGCAGTAGCTAGTTTAGAAAGAAAAAATTTAGAAATTGTAGATTTGAAAGCAGAATTAGATTATTAAACATTAAAGAGATAAAAGGAATCAGCTACTTATTAAACAATTCTTGATAATCTTGAATAAGCATTATTTGGAGTTAATTAAGTTAAAGGATACTTCAATAAATATTTGGATGTTTTAGTAAAGAATAGAAATAGATTTTAATAACCATAACCATCATTCCTATAAGAAGATTACAATTTCTAATATAATGATGAAGATATATAAGAAGATATTGATACTAAAGGAATTTCTTCATTTGCTTAAGTTGCTTCAAAAGTTAATAAGTTAAAACATCATGTAATTAACAAAACTATTGATAGGTTCATTTAGAAGGTTATAAATCTATGATTGAAATTTTGAGTTAATTAGCTAGTTAAGCATAAACTTCAGCTGATGAACCTAGCTAATGTGAAGTATTAACAAGAAAAGTCTTATCTATTCTTAAATAAATTGAAAATTACATTCAATCTGAAAGAATAAGAGAAGATTAAGCTGAAAATCTTAGATAAAGTTCATTTGAAGATTTAAGAACACTTTTATCTGATTAATTGGTTAAAGCTAATTAAGATAAAACATATATGGAAGGTATCAATTAATATATTAAATTTAGGATTGATTGATTCCTTATCTAATAGAATCTAATAAGCTAAAAATGAAAAATTTGAAGTCGACTAAAAGATTACCACTAAATCTAAAGAAAAAGAAAATAGAGAAAATGATTGTAGATTAAAAAGATAAGAATATGAAACTGATACTTCTAGTAGGTATTATTTTTATTTATTCTATAAGAATTAAATAAAAAAGATCTGTTGCTGTAGCTGTTGATTTGATCTCTTCAAAATTAGGATAACTCAAGAGAAAATTAATTGCAAATTGATTAGAATCATTATTAAAATACAGTTTACATTATTTTATATCTTCATTCTTATATTTATTATTAATAAATAAATTATTCAAACCTAATCAACTATGCATTCAAAAACCTTCTCATATCCTAATCTAAATTTTCTTCCATTAATCAATTTTATTTACTCACTTATCTATTATGGTACACTAAGTCTAAGCCAAGTACCATTTCTACTTCCTTGATCTTCTATTATTAGACCATCATCGGTATATTAAAATTAAGCATGTATGTTACTTAGATTCTATATACATGAAACTCAAATAATTACAGGATCCTCAGCAAATAATTATTAATTTCTTCCAAAGATTAAACAATTCTAATTTTTTATTAATTCAAAACAAAAAGTAAAACCTAATCTATTCCCTTCAACTATTTTCATCTATACTGAGCATTTAATTCCTTATATATCTAATTTCTCTACTCTATATTAAGCAGATCCCATTTATAGAATAAATTATTCTTATAATAAGATTGGATATATTAATAAAATATATGTTCCTGATGTCGAACCTAAATCTTACAAACAATAATTTTGATTATTTGAATTCCATGTTATTTTACAATGATATCTACTTACATAGTCTTCACTTTAAACTATTGTATTATCATAACTTCTTCCTATTGTTATTTCTTAATTCAAAAAGTTATATTATTTTGGAGGTTCTGAATATTAAATCAAAATCAACCCTATTGAATTTCCTTCTTATTTTCCATTCACGTATTTATATTTATCAATCTAAGTCTTTGTCCCTTCATCTTCATAAAAAGTAACAACTTTCTAAATAGTTTTCTCATAATTATATGAAGATATCAATGAAGAACGTTAATTTCTTGTTAGACTCAAATCAATTTCATTCGTTCCTTAAATAGTATACTCTTAATTTAGTTTTTCCTTTAAATAATATGAATAATCTTTTAATCCCTATTTTATCCCTATGTATTATACAATTTCTACATTGAAGTAAATTTGGAAATTTTTCTGATTTCTCATTAATTCCTATATTAATTAAATCATCTTCTTCTAGATTCATTAAAATTGCACCATCTATTTAATTTGAAATAAATTTAAATTAAAATTCTTATAGTTCAGCCACTGCCAACCATGTTTCAACCTCTTTCTATTTCCATTATGATGGGTAATTTTTGATTTTTATATAAAGTTTATCGAAATCCATTAGAAAATATTTTAATATTCTAATACTTATAATGAATATTTGCCCTCTTATTTATAAATTAAAATTCAAACAATTCTCTTTGTTGAGCGATTTTATATTATCAAGTAATAATATTGAAATATGGTAGAAATACCAAGTATGAAACGATCCTCAATTTAATTAATAGTTTAGAAAATTAGTATGTTAAGCGAAAAAGAATAAATAGAGTTCTTAGGTAAAAAACCACCAGTTTGTACTAAAAGTACAATAGAGAAGCTGATGATGAACTTTTAATAAATTTCCAGGAACATTGATGATTTAGATTAAGATTTAAATCAATTGGCTAAACGCCTTGATTATTTAGAAGTAAGCTATATTAGATAAGTTTTGTTAGGAATCAATCACAGAACATTATACCCTAGTTTAACCATAAAAATAAGAAATCAAAAAAAAAAGAAGAACTGCCAACCTCATCAAAAGAGATTTTTAAGTACTTTTTTTTTATAGTCTTAAATAGTGTCCTTATGAAAAATGCGACAAAATCTATGGAACTGATATTTCATTGAATTTACATATAAGACTTAAACATAATGGAGGATCCAAAATTGAAAGAGAAGAATTAGCAGTAATTAAATGTGTTTAATCTTAGAAAAAAATATTGGAAGCTAAATATTAAGATGACATAGAGCCAAAACACAGCTACAATTTACCACCTAACTTCATTGAAGATTTTTATATACATCATTAGGAATATATAAACAATTTAGAAAAAACTTACAACAAGAGATTATTACTTTGATTTTAATTATATAAAAATATTAGTAATCATTATGTGTTACTTCAAATACAAAATCTTTATGTCTGGTATTAATGATCATTAATTGTACCTCAATCTATTCAAATAAAATTAAAAAAAAAATTAAGTGAGGGAGAAGTTTTAAATTTTTTTATAAACTTTTTTTTTTTACTACAATAATTACATCCATAATTAAAATAATACTTATAAAAAATATAAACAAAATTTTTTAGAATTCAAACTAACAAATAAAATAATGTATTTATTAATTTTTGATTCTTAAATCTTTTCTTCAAATATATTTCCATTATTTAATATTATCTTCTACTAAAATATTATTCTTCTGCAAATTCTTTAATCAAAAAGTAGGCAAACACTATTTACTAAAAAAGGCAGACTACTGATTTAAGAATCTTTGTTAAACAACAAAAAGCTATTTTGGGGATGATTGAATTTAGATTAAATTAATTAGCATTTGATTTATCATATTAAAATGTTTTATAAGATAAATTATTATTAAAATGTAAATAAATTTATCGACTTCAAGAAAGCTTTAAATTTCAATGATAATCTAACTAGTGTTCCACTTTATTAGGTTATTATTCTTATATAGAGAAAATGATCAATTTATTACTTTTATGATGGTTCTATTTATTTTGTAAATTATGCTAGAAATCTTGTGCTATTCAAAAAAAACCCTTATTTAATAAATCTTATAATATTCTATAATACTAGCAGATATTATTGTCTTTTAAGTCGAGACTATAAAGTATGGTTTTAATGATGTTCATTAAAATTTTTTTTTTATTATTTTTATTTAAGCTTAAGGAGATATACATAATGAAAATACATCAAAAACAAAATAATAAATTCTTAAATATTTTCTTTTAATTTTGTTATTTCTTAACTAATAATTTGAAGTGGAATGTGAAGATAAAAAGGAAATTTTAAATTAGGAGTATATATCAATAGTAAACTACAAATTAAATATTTTACTTATAATATTCTTACTTTCTAAGAGTTAAAAGATTGATAAAGAGAAATAAATATAAAAAAGTGGATCTATAAAAGTAGAATAATTAAAATTTATCAATGATTAAAATGAAAATTAAAAAAAACATTGTTTTACATAAAAATCATCCTCTTTTCATGTAAGCGAAATAGTAGAAGAGTTTTAAACAATTAGTAAAGGAGTCATTCATTAAAATGTTGATTTTAATTTGATTTTGGATGCACTTTAAGAAGGTGTAATATTAGTGCATTTTGAAAAATCAGATGATCCAAATTTACCTAATCTTTAAATTGAATACTAAAATTAAATTAGTAAAAATATGTTTTAGAAAACAAATGAAGATCTTCTATAACTATTTGAAAAATTACCTACTGAAGTTCTTTAAGATGAATAACCTATATTAGCAAGGAGTTCCTTAGTTTTATTACAGAGTTTTGCATCATAATAATACAAAAATATTCATAAAAGAGCATCAATATTGAATGCTGTTTGTACATTTGCTTAAGATACAAAGAAGGATTGTAAATTTAATAATATTCATACATAATCTCCTGGTATGGCATAATTATCATACTAAGTAAATTATGATTAACTATAGTTTAGCTTAATACAGTATTAAAATGTCTTATATATGTTTTTACTAAAAAAAAACTAAGATTTGAGATCAATGGTAAAGTTGAAGCTATGATCTTGGAGACAAATTTTGAAGTAGACAATAATAAAAAATTGATTGAATTAATCATAACTTTTGGAGGGGAAAACATTTTATTGATTTTAGCTCGTGATGTTGTTCATAGGAAAAATATTAAAGAACTTTTGGATATAAACTAATCTAAATCTAAGACTTTGTCTTTTGTAAGTCATGAGTTTCGTTCACCACTAAATGTAATGCTTAATATTTTAAGTGAATTAAAAGAAGTTTCTTTTTAGAATAAGAATCTTTTTAAAAGCATTTAGATAGTTAAAGAAAATGCTGCATATATGTTAAATTTAGCAAATGATTTACTTGATTTAGCTCAAATTAAATCAGAAACATTTAATTTAAATTTAAAAACTTTCAATTTATTAGAATTAGGAGAGGAATGTCTTTAAATGTTTAAGCTTTAGGCAGAATAAAAAAAAATTGAATTGAAAAAGGAAACAAATATAACACCATTATATTTATTTACCGATAGAAATAGATTAAAATAAATATTTATTAATTTGATTGCTAATGCAATGAAATTTACATAATCAGGTTCAATTATAATAATATTCTAATAAAAAGGATTATTAGTCGATGTTGGGGTTAAAGATTCTGGTATAGGAATTTCTGAGGAAGGATAATAAAATTTATTTAAAGCTTTTGGAAAAATTAAAGATGTTTAACATCAAAAGTTGAATGAATAAGGGGTAGGATTAGGATTAGTAATAAGTAACAAAATAGCTTAATAATTATCTTATAATAATTAAGGTTTATAAGTAATTTCAAATTGTAATAAAGAAAAGGATCATGGATCTTTCTTTTACTTAACTTTAAGTATTTAGGATTTTCATTTAAAAGTTAAATCAATAAAAATAGATCAATTAAGTAATTCTATAGATTTTCCAATTATTTATGAAGAAGAAGATCTTCCAAATTACAATATAACAACTTTTGATGCTCTTATATCTTAAAAGGGTAGTACTAGAGACACTAAAATGTAATGTTAGCATATTTTAATAGTTGATGACAATGTATTCAATCAAAATATTCTAGAAATGCAAATATCTTAATTGTATTTATTTATTAATTCTATAAGTACAAAAACCAAAATTGATAAATCATTTAATGGATTGGAAGCATTATAGTTTGTAAATTCAAAAAAATGCAATGAAAAATGTACTGGTTACAATGCAATATTTATGGATTTAGAAATGCCAATTATGAATGGAATGGAGGCTTCTAAATAAATCTTGAAAACTAAACCAGATATTAATATATTTATTGTTTCTGGATATGATGATGATAAAATATAATAAGAGGGTTATAAATTGGGAGTCAAATAGTTCTTAATAAAACCATTTTCAAAAGACAAAGTATAAAAAATTATTTAAGAATATAATTTGTGATTTTTTGATTTGAGTATTTTTTAATTTATTAGTTTTTTTACATAAATAAGTAATTTCATTTTAAAAGATATTGATTAATAATTTTATTAATAAAATAATAATGCAAGAATTTTCAATTTAAGAAGACCTTCTAATATTAAATAAATTAGAGATTATCAATTTTTATTATAAAATTAAAACTAAATTAAATGTTTTTTTTTTAAATATATAATGAAGATATTTAATTTATAATAATCATTTAGTAATGGGAAATTAAAATTAATCTTCTTTGTTTTTTTCATTACGTTGCTAATCTAAAGAAAAAGAACTTAGTGGACTCAATTCTTCCATAATAGAATTTTATTTAGGTAGTTCAGGTGTACTAGCTTTAGGGGCATAGATTGGAGTTCGAGTAACAATAGATAAGTTTTTACTACCTTTATTCATTAATTTTTGATCAGGACTGTTATATGTGTCTAAATAGTGATCAAAAGAAACTTTAGTTGGAGAATCTTATGTTTTAATTAGAAATTAAGAAGCATTTTCATTTCGAAAAAAAGGATGAATTAGACATTAAGTTGCTGTATACCTTTATTCAGGATCTTAAGATATCATTCTAAACCTAATTATAGTAATATAAGTTTACAATAAATCTCTGGCATCAGAATCTATTTATTAATATTTATTTCTTTCAAAATCAACTTAAAACTATTTATTCATTTTTAATATCTCTTGATGTCCATTTCCAACAAATAAACCTTCTCCCAAAAGTAAAATATGAAAAATAACGCCTGCAGAGAATATGTCACAAGCTGTAGTATAAGATTAGGTTTTATCTATCATATTAACTACTTCAGGTGCTACAAAGCCAGGAGTACCACATTTAGGATAAAGATATGGATAAGAATCAACTTTTACAGATAAACCAAAATCAGCAATTGTTAAAGAATCGATATTACCTTTTTCTTTAAAAAGAACATTTTCTGGTTTTAAATCTCTATGCATAATTCCTTTAGAATGAATATATTTCAATCCAGATAATATTTAATACATTATCTTTAAATTAAATTTTAATATATACTTTCTAAATTTCTTTTCTATTGTAAAGAGTAAACCTATTTTTCATTTCCTTATATAAGCTTCCTCCCTAAGCTAAATCCATTATTAAATATATATTATTATCTCCTTCATAAACTTCAATCAAATTTATTAGTTGCTCATGAGGACTTAAAATTCTCATCATTTATATTTCATTCAATACAGATTCCTATTAAAAATAAAAAAGAAGATTACCATTCCTTATTCTATTGTTTAAAGTTTTTTCTTATCAATGCATTTTGAAGCAAATTTTTGATTAGAGTGTAAATGTTATAATTCAAGAACCTATACATAAATGAGTTTTATTTATACTAAAGCGTAATTTCCTTATCCAATTACTTACAAAGCCAAATATTCTTCCTGTACTTTTGCCTAAAAGAACAACTTTGAAATATGTTTTTTTAATTCACGAAGTACATCTTCTTCTCCAAAGTACTCCTATTCAACATTACCATTGTCAAATGTGATTCCTTTTAACTTTAATGGCTATTCTGTAGTATATTTCCATACTATTCTCTTAGTATTTTCTATATTAAAAATACGATCAGCTTTCTTGCGATTAGAGTCCTATTAAAACAGTTAATCATTAACTAACCTTATTTACAACAACTTTATCCCAAAAAAGATATAAAAATCTCGTCGAAGTTCCCAGAAACTTTTTTTTAAAGAGCCGACATTGAAATAATTCATCACAAGATTTAGGAAACATTAAAAATTAATGATTATATATCTTAGCTTTTTGCAAACAACAATTAAAGGTTCTCTTACTAACAAATTATTAAAGTTTTATATATAATTTTATCATATTATCAAATACTTATATCATCTAAGAAGAGAATAGAATAAATTTATAAATATTAAAACAAAACATTTAGGCTCATATTTTTGTTGTTTATCCAATAAGATCTGGTTGAACAATATAAATAGAAGTCTATCAATCAATTTATACATCTCTTTTTTCTTATATTGAAATCAACTTTAAATATTTATTTTTTTCCTAAATATACCCTGATTATTTTCCTTCAATTAATTCAGTATTTTTTCTATGTTTATTTATTCATTTATGATTTAAATTACTATGATTAACTTATTTTTATATTTCCCTTTTACTTTTAAAGCTTACAGTTCTCTATTCGGTTTCAAATAATTTAAACTTTCAAAGTTACAAAATCAATTAGATTACTTTAACAATAATCCTAAATAAATTATTCAAGGTGATTTATATATCCAATAATATTTTCTAAAATGATTGAAAAAAAATTTTGATATCAATTTAGAAGTTGAATTTAGATTTTAGAGTATATTTTTTTAAAACATAAATCATAATTTATAATAAACTAAAAAAAAAACTCTCATTTTAATCTTTTTTAAAGAGTTCTTAATAAATAAGTTAAATTAGTTAAATATGTATATCATTTTATTAATTAATTTATAAAATAGACACTTAGAAATAATTTATTGATTGGCTTCTATATCGCTTAACTTAATCCTATACCTTTTTTCTTGAATATAATACTTATAATTATAAAAATAATAAATTGGATGAACAATCAAGTAAATTTTAAACTTTTCAGAATCCCACAAAACAAATTGAACCATAAAAACTACTTTTATTTATTATTTTTTTTAAATGTTTCGAAATAGTTGAAATTAATTGAAAATAGCTAAACTTATTTAATTATTGACGCTATAAATTATTCTTTTAATCAATTTATTTGAAATAAATTGCCTTAAACTTTTATGTATTTTAAAAAAAGGTAATTAAATTAGGATAAATACTAAGAATTTATAGATAAATAAGAAATAAATTAATTTAAATAAAAAATGTCAGAATATTGTGAATAAGCAGACTTTAATTAAGGTGGATAGCTGACTCATTAAAAAGAGCACCGTTTTGAAGAAGATTAATTACCTCATGAAACTGAAAAAACCTTAAAATAATTAGATTCAGAGTTAGCTGTAGATGAGGAGTATAGAGAAGCATTTGAAATAGCTAGAAGACTATTAAAATTTTATAAAAGTGAAACTGCAATCAGAAATGGATAATATTTTGCTGGAGCAGGTAATAAATTTAACAATTTTTAAAAGCATTATATTTTGGTTTTCGATGTAAAAATGCCCCTTATTTGTTAATAGAGATTTCAGAATTGATAAAAAAGGATTCTGCAACCAAAGTAGCAAAATGCTATTTGAAATTATTAAAATTTGTTAGAGTTGATGCAAAGGTTCCCTAAATTGTTCAATTAGCAAAAAGTTTATAATATTTAGATCCTTCAATATACATACCTAAGTTTGTACGTTTATTGGAAATAAGGTATTTAAATTTGAATAATGTCTAGTCGAGATAAGCATAAAAATATAGTTGATACAGCAATGAAATTAATAAAAAGAATGATGTTAGATTGGATGGCTTATGGAAGAAGACCATCATCTTTATGTGGAGCAGCATTATTAATATCTGCAAGATTTCATGGAGAAAATGTTTCAACTTCTTAAGTTTGTAAAACTGTTCAAGTTTGTGATGAAACTATTAGAAAAAGATTAGCTGAATTTAATTAAACTGGATTATCATAGTTGACAAGAGAATAATTTGAACAAATTGAAAATATTGAAACTGGAATTCCTGGACCAGTAAATGATCCACCTTCATACAGAAGAATTAAATAATAAGAAGAAGAAATGCGAAAAGGGTTGACAGAAGAAGAAATTAAATAATTAGAAGAAAGTACATTGAAAAAAGCATTGGAAATGATAGAATTGCTAAAGGTCTAGCCTGAAATATATAAATAAGAAAATAATTTGAAATAAGAATACCCTCCATCAATTTCTGAGGTAGTCAAAGAATAAAAGGATTGTGAAATTTTATCCTCTTTGAGTGAGTCAGATCAATAAGAGTATATCTTAAATGAATAGGAAAAAGCATGTAAGTAGTTAGTATGGTAAGCAATGTACAAAGAATACATTTATGATTAATAAATTAAAGAGAAAAAAAAACAAGAATAATAATAACGGAATTCTTAGAATGGAAATAGACAATAAAATTAAGGTAAAAAAAAAGTGAAAGTTGAATAATCTTTTGCAACCCCTGAAGAATCGGTTAAAAAAAATTATCTAAATGATGGAATAAATGAACAAGCTGTTCATAATCTATTTTCAAAATATAATTATTGAGAAGATCCAGATTTATTCATTTTTATTATCCAAATTTTATGAAATTTTAGATTATAATATTTTTAATGATCATTTTCATTACTTTTTTGATCTAAACCAAACTTTATTAAATCTAAAGTATGGTTCCACTTCAACTTTGTTTTCTTCTAAAAAAATACTTCCCCACAAATATTGTCCAAAAAACATTTATGCTATTTATTTTAACTTAACACAACTTTTCAATGAACTTTCTAATGTTTATTTACACGCTTTCTCAGGTTTAGTAGCTAAGAACTTCTTTATTTCAGGATTCTGATTTATAATCGTTTATGAAAAATGGATACCTAAATTTTTTATAAATATATACTAATAAAATGTTTTAGGGCTCTTGTATAATTTTTAGGAATGTTTTTACTCTCTCCAGGAAGCATAAATATTTCATTGTTTTGTTCTTATTGTTTTATCTCTTGATTTATTTGAATAGGCTTCTTGAGTTATTTTTCATCTTTTTGGATTAATTTTACAATTTTAGGTACAATATGTTTCTTAGAATTATCTTAAATTATTTAAGTGCTGGGCTTTTGATCCTCAATATTTGAATCTTCTTCGGCTTCATAATAGTTATTTTAATAATCAGGGTAAGAGTATGAATCAATATTCAAAAAGTTTTTGGGTACTTAATAAGCCAAACTCTCAAGTTAATCTTCATCAAAGTTAATATCACCTAAGCTATCTTAATTCCATTTTTTCATTTTTTTTTATATTTACTCTTATCGAATTCATAATACTTTTATATAACAAAAATGCCCAATAAAATTATATCTTATTATTAAATTATAGTATTAATTTATTCAATTATACATAATTTATAAATAAATGGAAAATTATTTATTCGCATTTTCTTGAGTTTAACAAGGATTCATAAACAAGTCTAATTGGATTAAAATATTATTCAATAAAATGGATTAAATTAAAATTTTCAAAAGTTTAATATTCTTATCAAAACAATAATTCTATCTTTTATATAAAATTGATAATTGACTTTGTTCAACTTAAACATGAAACTTAATGTATTTTTTCAATCCTAAACTGATAATATATTTGAAAGTCAAGATCAAGAAAAATATATTAAAAAATTCTGCAAAGGATTCCATTTATGTACAAACGAATGTTATTATTCTTTTTTGATCCAATTCAATATTAAAGAATTTTCTATTATTCAAACCCAATAGAGCAAAATATTTAAAAGAGAAGTCATAAGATGCTTAAAAATAGATTTTATAAATAAAAAGATGAAAAAGAATAATTATACATCTTCACAAAAATTGAGCTTAAGGATAAAATGTTCAATGTTGTTTTTGGTTGCTTAATTTTTAAATATGTGCAGAATGGGTTTAAGCTCAATTAATGAATTTAAGTACATTCATAAAAAATAAATTTCCAAACTAAGTATCGAATTCTTAAAAATATTCTGAAGTTATTTTCTTAAGTTGATCAAGATTAATGTGAATTTTACCAAAAAAAACGGTAACGAACTAAAAAAATAGTTGAAAACGAGAGAGTTACGTTTTAGAATTAATAAACTATAAATAGACAATTAGATATTTTTGGATGAAGCAAGTATTATTACAACAACTATTAGAATTTCAGAGTTTGGTAATAAAAGCACATATAATATCTAAGAAAAGAAATTTGATAAAATATCTAGCACAATTTTTAGTTTAATTAAGTAAATTTTTTTATGAATGATATTATAGATAATAATATTATCAAATCAAACACATATTTATAACAAATGTATAAAAAAGTTTACCTAATTTATATATTCTTTTTATTTGGGAAAATTTTTTTACGTAACTTGATTAGAAAATATCAAAAAATAATATTTTTATTAATTATGTTACTATTCAATTTTTGATGTTAATAAGTATTCTACTAGATTGGTCATTTTTGTATCACCCATTTTACTAGTATCTGCTATTACGCTGCAACCCCCTTTAGATAAACCAAAATATCTTTTCCATTTATTTAAATATTATTTACTTCCAATAACCAAGAAAATTTATTTGCGACATTATGAAAATGCAATTCTCCTTAAAAATGATCTTAATTCCATCCACCAAAAGTTAATTCTGAAGTTCTAGATCCTTCTTATCTTGAAAAATAGAACATTTCTATAATTATACTTTTAATTTCTTTCATAATTTTCTTCTTTAAATTTGTTATAAAATTTAAATTTAAAATAGATCTATTAGTTTTACATTGTTATAAAATTTTATAATTACTTTCCTCTATTGCATTATATATTCGAGATGGAAAATTAGAATCTACACTAAAGGTATTCTTGAAACTTTTTGTAACTTTGACTTGAAACATCTCAAATTTATTTCGAATGAATTTATTATGCATCCTTAAACATTTTTATTTGAAAATCTTTAATACCATGCTTTCCCATTTTTTCTGCATGGAATCTTGAATTTAAAAGATAAACACAAAGAATTTACCATATATTTTTATGCTTTTATAAATCTCATTTTAATTCTTATATTCTTTTTACGTATTTTCAAAAATCTGTTATCTCTCCTTTTTTATTCCCAAGCTAATTTAATATTTAATTAAAATATCTTTCTATAATACAAAGAATTGAGTTTTAATAATCACATTTTTATTTATAAAAAATTAAATTATTTTTTCAATTTTATTAAATTGAGCTGTTTTTAAGCATCTAAAACTTATTTAAAACTCTATTGCTTGATCTTATTTAAATAATTATTGTTAAATAAAACTATATTATATCTTAAGAAAATTAAAAAAATAAAATTTTATTTAATATCCATTTAAATTTTCCTCCTAAAGTTTACCTATTGAGATATTTTTTTGTTAAAATTTTATCCAATCAAAAACTTAAAATCACTGAAATTATAGATTTTTATCCTATCATAAATTTTTAACCAAGAGCTTTTCATTTTGATTTGAGTTTAAATCATAATATTTATTTATAAACTATTTATAATATTTAATTTAAGTTAAAGTAGGTGATGCCATTTGATCTTCATAAAAAAGATATGTTAATTTCATATTTACTTCATTTAAATAATCAATTGATTGGAAGTCCAAAAATATTACTTATCAAAAGGGAACAATAATAAATAATAATTTAAAATTTTTGAAAACAATACAAAAAACAGAAGGATATTCATGCACTTAGTTAAGAAACTTTAATCGAACCATCACTTATGATTATAGGTGTTTAAATAAAAAATAAGTATTTTCTCGGCTAAGATGTTTAAATTCTGCAAAAGGTTTTATAAATAATTAAAATCAATGCTATTTAAAACAATTTTTGTAAACGATCTAATTAAGTAAAGAAAATATCAATTATGGAGTAACAATAAGGATCCTTTCTTATTATACTCTTTTTAATTTATGTATCACAATGATTTTTTTTTGATAAGGAAAAAATAAAATTTTATCAAAAATATACATAAATGTAACTACAGTTTATGTGCAAATTTACAATGTTATTTGCACAAAGAGAAAAAAATAAGATTAGGTTCTTTAAGGTTAAATTCCTCTATATATTATAAAAAATTCATATTTTGTAAAGTTATACATATTTTCAATTCCTTTTTTATTAAATAGATATTGATTTTTAAATTAAAAAAATAAATCTTGAATTATTTGATTTGTATTTTAATATGATATTAATTTCCAATTATAGGTCTGAAAATAAGATTTAAACAGTCAAATTAAGAGATTTTTATGATCATATTTCTTTTATTTACAAATTTATTTCTAATCAATAAAGGATCTTTTAACTTAAAATCTAAGAAGTAGAAATGAAATAATGGATCAAATTAAATCATTAATTTAATTCCCATAAAATTTTGTTAGTCCTATTCGATCTAACAAGAAAACCAGAATTCGAAGAGTCAAATTTGAAAAAATTCATAAGGAAAATATTTTCTTATAATTATATTTTTTATATGCAATCTAAAAAAAACAATTCAAACTTAAGCAATTCTAAGCTGGAAAAAAAACAATTAGAAGAAAAAGTTAATTAATTTATTTAAGAGAATGAGGGGTTAAGCACAAGTGATTTAATTAGTAAAGCTTCAAATGCTTAAAGATCAGATTAAAAGTCTACAAGTTTAAATAAAAAGCTTCCACTTGCAAAATAATAAGAAAAGAAATAAGGGAAACCACCATTAACAAAAGAAGCTGAAAAACATTTTGGCTTCGAAAAATAAACATAAATAAAAAAAGAAGAAATAACCCAATAAAATAATTTTTCTTAAGCAGAGTCTTCTAAAATTACTTCAACTTTAAATGAAAGATAATTATAAATTAAATTGAAGGAAAAATAGAGAGAAATATAACTTTTAAATGACAAAGTAAAAACCTATGAGTCGGAATTAATATAAATGAAAAACTAAAATAGGGAATATTAAGAGTATGATATAGATTATTATTTAAATAGAGTGTTAAATGAAAAAATAATCAAAAGTACTTTGCATTACAATTAAAGACGATTCTTAATACTGTCATAAAATATTATAAGCAAACAATAATAAATTTTTCGAATGAGTTAGCTAGTTTAATTAACAAGATAAATTTAATATGAATTGGAAAATTAAGTATAGCATTTTATAACAAGCTTATTACTTTGAAAGAAGCAATGGAGAACATATAAGAAACATTTGATGGTGCTTATAAAATTAATACCTTTTGTGATAAACAGCTAGAACGGTTAAGATACATTTAATCATAATAATTACATGAACAGGAAGTGCAATTCGAATAAAAGAATAACACTTAAAAGCAAGTTTTATTAATGCTATCTAAAGTGGATGCTTGCATATCTGATATAATAAATTTATTTGATAGTAATAGATAATAATATGTAAGATATATAATATGTTATTTAGAATTTCATTGATGATTAATTAATCTCTAAACTAGATGCATTATCAATTAATTTAAATAGGGTAATTTAATGCAAAGAGTTACCAAATATCAATCTTAAACCAAATTTAGTTATTTTGTAAGAGGAATTTCATAGAATTTAAGGAACTTTTAATAGTATATTTCCTCATTACAATAGTGTGAGTGAATTAATAAAAAAACAAATTTAAAATGATTAAATATATTAATAACTTGATGAAATATCAAAAGTATCAAAAGAGTTATAAAATTGTCCTTTAGGGATTCGATAAATAAATATTTTGAGATCCTTAGTGATCCATTGTCTCCTATCAATTCATACATTTAATTTTAGACCTACTTTTAAACCCTTTTTTGAAATAATCTAACCTTTCCTTCAAGATTGTTAAGGCATCTATGATTAATATTAAGATAATAACTAATAGATGGGATAATAAGTGATATGGGAATTATGGAAATCAAGTAATAAGAATCTTTAATAATCTACAGAGTAAAAATTTTAATTATTTTTAGAAATATCATAAAAGAGATAAATTAGATGAAATAAGAATATTAAGGATATTGGAATCACAAAATATTTGATCTTTAGTAGAAATGAAAATTAAAATTAATAGTTATTTCACATTTTGACAGGATTAAATTATAAAGATTCTTCATAAACCATTTTTTATAAAGTTTCTTTTTTTAATTCAAAGTTATCCCAACTCCAATCAAAGACTTTATCACATCTCGGTTCAGCTTCTGGGTTATGTAACCCATCAAAATAATCATGTTCTAAACATTGTTCAACAGTGTATCTTTTATCTGGATTAAATGTAATCATCTTAGTTAATAATTCACAAACTTTTGGATTAGCTTTAGGATAGAGTTAAGTGAATGATTATTTTGTTCGTTTAGGTAAACTTTTAATATAATTAATTGCATTAGGATTTCCTATATATTTCATATCATCAGGAGTAGGTGTTCCTAAAACTGAAATTATTCTCTATACTTAATCTAGATAATCCTCACCTTATTTTAAATGTTTTATAATTACCAGGAAACAATGGAGTTCGACCTAAAAGTTCTGCGATAATGCATCCAGCAGCATAAATATCGACTGCTTTTGTATATTCAGATGCATTTAATATTACCTCTGGAGCTCTATACCATCTTGTAATCACATATTCAGTTTTAAATTCTTCCTCACTTTCATAACCTCTAGCTAATCCTAAATCACATATTTTTAAGTCGCAATCCTTATTCAAAAGGATATTGCTAGGCTTTAAATCTCTATGTATCACATTTGCTGTATGAATGTAAAGCAACCCTCTTAACATTTAATATGCAAAATATTGAATATGTTCATCTGTCAAAGCTTGTGATGAATAAATGACTTTATGCAAATCTGTTCCCATTAAATCTGTTATTATATAAATATCATTGAATCCTGTTTTTGATTCTGGTCGAGGTAAATCAACCAATGAAATTATGTTTTCATGATCAAAAAACTCTAATTATAACTATTTTGAATTACTTAACAATTTGATCTCTCTTACTATTCTTTTGGCATCCACCAAATCTTCAAATGCATTTGGAATCTTAACTAATTCATTTAAATACTTTCTTAACCGCTACCATCTAGCCATTCTTTTTATTTTTAGCAGAGCATACTACTCCATAAGCACCTTGTCCTATTTACTTAATGAATTCATATTTTTCATCTACTACAAAGGTCTGACCTTAATTTTTTTAAAAATAGTTTACCTCCGCATTCAAAAGCATGTTTGCCCTTCGAAACTGGAATTTTTGATTTTATTGGATGCTTATCATTTTATTTCATATTTAATTATACTAAATTTCAAGTAATTTCAAAACTTAATTATACAAATAGAGTAAATCTACAACGTGTTGATTCTTTTTTAGAAATCAATACACTAAAAAAACACATTTTGTATTCAAAATTTTACTTTCAATTAACAAGAATAATAGATATTATATTATAACAAAATAACTCAATGAATTAAACATTTTTAACAATTCAGAGATTTATTTTAGAATATTCCAAATTTATTTTGTTCACTTTTATAGGATTAAATGTTTTTATTTTAATTTTATTTGATACACTGGTTTGAGATCTTTATTTTGTTTCTAACTTATCATAAGAGTTTATCTAATATTTTTCTCAATAAATATTATATATAAAATAAATAATTTTGTTTACTAAAATCAGAATGTAAAAAAAATGATTCATTCAAATATTTTATTCTTAATAGACAACAATAAATAATGATGGTTCAAAAAAAGATTCTGCAATTTAATGAAGAATTCTTTGAAGAATGAGTAGAATACTTATTAACATCAAAAATTGAATAGTAACATAATTAATAAAAATATTATTTTTTGATATTTTCTAATCAAGTTACGTAAAAAAATTTTCCCAAATAAAAAGAATATATAAATTAGGTAAACTTTTTTATACATTTGTTATAAATATGTGTTTGATTTGATAATATTATTATCTATAATATCATTCATAAAAAAATTTACTTAATTAAACTAAAAATTGTGCTAGATATTTTATCAAATTTCTTTTCTTAGATATTATATGTGCTTTTATTACCAAACTCTGAAATTCTAATAGTTGTTGTAATAATACTTGCTTCATCCAAAAATATCTAATTGTCTATTTATAGTTTATTAATTCTAAAACGTAACTCTCTCGTTTTCAACTATTTTTTTAGTTCGTTACCGTTTTTTTTGGTAAAATTCACATTAATCTTGATCAACTTAAGAAAATAACTTCAGAATATTTTTAAGAATTCGATACTTAGTTTGGAAATTTATTTTTTATGAATGTACTTAAATTCATTAATTGAGCTTAAACCCATTCTGCACATATTTAAAAATTAAGCAACCAAAAACAACATTGAACATTTTATCCTTAAGCTCAATTTTTGTGAAGATGTATAATTATTCTTTTTCATCTTTTTATTTATAAAATCTATTTTTAAGCATCTTATGACTTCTCTTTTAAATATTTTGCTCTATTGGGTTTGAATAATAGAAAATTCTTTAATATTGAATTGGATCAAAAAAGAATAATAACATTCGTTTGTACATAAATGGAATCCTTTGCAGAATTTTTTAATATATTTTTCTTGATCTTGACTTTCAAATATATTATCAGTTTAGGATTGAAAAAATACATTAAGTTTCATGTTTAAGTTGAACAAAGTCAATTATCAATTTTATATAAAAGATAGAATTATTGTTTTGATAAGAATATTAAACTTTTGAAAATTTTAATTTAATCCATTTTATTGAATAATATTTTAATCCAATTAGACTTGTTTATGAATCCTTGTTAAACTCAAGAAAATGCGAATAAATAATTTTCCATTTATTTATAAATTATGTATAATTGAATAAATTAATACTATAATTTAATAATAAGATATAATTTTATTGGGCATTTTTGTTATATAAAAGTATTATGAATTCGATAAGAGTAAATATAAAAAAAA